TAATGAGTATAGGATATCCCTGCTTCTATGAAGTGTGGAATTCCCACCATGACGTCACTACATGTAGGTTGGATATATTTGGAATATTTCATAATACTGATTTTCCGGATTGTAAAAGAAACGTAAATAGTGAAAGGGAGAGCTCGAGATACTATAATTTCACAAGAAACAGAAGGGAAATGTGTAACACAGTGTTTAAAGTCGATCTGTTTATTTGTTTATCTCCTTCTCATCAAATCAGTATGAAATTTTGAGGTGTTTAAAACTATAAAATACAAAATGGTTGATGTGAGAGGCATGGAAAGTAGAACGTCTGACCAGTCATATAGGGAATTGAAGTCAAGACAAGACTGATTTTTGTGCATAAAAAGTCAATTTGATCATTTTTAGGCCAGATTTGTCTACCTCATAAATCTTGTTAGGCACTATATGTATAACATAATTTCTAAAGGATTTCAGTATTTCGTTTTATTCATACAATGTATTTCAACTTCTTGCTAGAAAATATATTGCATAATCATGATAATAGCAAATACATATTCTATCACCAAAAAAATAATTTAACAAGGGTTGTGCTTGTGAAAATAATAGATACTGTTTAAAATAATTTTTAGAAAAAAAATAATAAACAATTTTTCACAATGTTGTTGCACTTTTGATCAAAATAACAAATATTGGGTACCGTCTAATGGTGACCACACCTATCAGAGTATGATTACCAACTAGGGATTTTCTTGACTAGCTAAACTGAACCATAAAGTCTTATAATGGGGAAATTTGTACTAAATTAATAACTGATATTTAATTGTTCTTTCTTCCAATGGTCTGACGATTTCAAGTACTTACTGGCCTGTCATAATGAAAGTTAACGATTGTTTTTGAGGCAAAGGTACAGAACTGCTTATTGATTTTCATAAATAAAAATGATATGGCACTGAAGAGGAATGGTTTTATGGTGACACAGGATTATTTTCATTTTCATAATCTTACTCTTAATCATTGAAAACAAGGAATGAGCTGTAAAATTGACAGCAAGCCAGGTTTTCGGTATTTTGAAAGGTGCTTTCAGGTTTTTTCCAATCTATCAAGGACAATAACTACTGAAAGTGCAAAATGAAAATTGTCAATATCAAACTTGACCACCATTTTGTAATCAGTAACAGCATATTAAAATCTTAAACCATTGGTTGAATGGTTCATAATTGTACAGAAACTACAAAAAGAGCAAGTTTTAAATTAATCAAGACTCATAACTCCAGGATGGCAAAAGTGAAAATTGCAATAGTGAAAATCATCAATATTTGAATTTTACCTCCATTTTTTCACCAGTAACAACATATTAAAATTTTAATAGCATTAACTGGTCCAGTGGTTCATAAGAAATTGACATAAAGTGCCTGTTTCCAATAGATCAAGGACCATAAAAGTGCAAATCATCCATATCAAACATAGATGTAACCTCCATGTTGTCATCAATAACAACATATCATAATTTGAAAACCATTGGTATAAGGGTTCATAAGTTATTGAATGGAAACCACATACAGTGCCATTTTCTAATATATCAAGGACCATAACTCCTGAACGGTAAAAGTGAAAATCTTCAATATCAAACTTGACCTCCATTTTGTCATTAGTATTATAGCAACATATTAAAATTTGAAAATCATTGCTTGAAAGGTTCATTGTTATTGCAGAGTTCTGGAAATGTTTTTCCCCTGAAGGTCCTTGAAGAAAATCTGCTGAGCCTCACTATTATTTCTATTGCAAAATACCAATATTGTGTCAGCCCTTTGTACAATTGTGGTGTCAAACCTTCAGACCACCGCTTTTCAAAAACTCTGTTATTGCACGAAAGCTTCCCCCCCCCCCCCCCCCCCCCCGCACGTTCCCCACCCGCCTGCCGTGCTTCACCAATTTAATAACTAAAGTGGATAAGGTCAATTCCTTATAATTTGCAACAATAAATCAAATCTTTCCAAAACTATAAATTCAAATTAAATTTAATGATGTGACTTGAAGAACCTGTTAGAATGTCACTCTATCAGTAGTGTTGTTTCTGTTTTTTTGTTCTGTTGCATCAGTATCAAATCAACATTTGTGGCTTCTTTATCTAGCTTACTGCAGAATATATAAAATAGAAAGGATATGGGGTATCCATCCATAAAATAAAATCAGTATATGCACAGCAAAAAACACAAAAAGCAAAGGAACAGTACTTTTATAAGCATATTTTTACACTGCCTTCCAAATTATGTATAATCTTTTATTTCCTTGTTAGTGGTCTTGGTAGCTAGACTGGCACCAGGCAGGTTATCTATTGTGTATTTTTATGCTACTGGATGACATATTGTCTAGATAGGCAAATCGGGAGGTTAATTTGCACCTAAAACTAGTTTAACCCCACCACAATTTGTGTCTGTAGTGTACCAAGTCAAGTTATCTGGACCATGTGTTCTTCATTGTTGTTGGTCTGGGTTTGGTTTTTCCTCAGAAGGACTCAGGTGTAGGTGGTTGGGGTGACAGGATTTGGGGGTCATTCCTTTCTATATTCATGTATTATGTACATTTTTAAACAGACAAGTTATACTAAAAATTTGAAATTATCGTACATTCCTGAATAGACAAGTCTGACTAAAATTTTTTTTTTTTTGTACATGTATATTTAACATATGTTTAAAACAAACATTTGCATCTATAAACAAATTACAATGAATTAAAGTTGGACATGATGAAGCTGACATCAGCTGTTATCTGTGTGCAAACAAATGACTCTTTACTTCAGATACTTGACCATTATACACTGTTAAAAATAATATTTATGATTTGGGTTTTTTTGAAACTTTGTATGTTGCAGCTGTTGTCTGTAATAGAATCAAATTTGCCATTATTTGGTAAAGTTTGTCACTTGATCAACATATATGTTGTATAATGTATAAAGTTTGGTGCAGGCTGGTTCATGCTAGTGGGTTGCTTTTCCACCCTGAACTGAAAAATTGTTCAATAAATTATTTTGTATATAATTACTTAATTGATTTTTGACGATACATTCGTTTAGTTTTTATGATGATATAATATTAGTCATATCAACATATTTAAAAATTAATGACAGTTAAATTTTTCCCTTCATAATTTTAATGTCCTTAAAACATGAAGTACCAGTATTGTCTAACCCATAAGTTAAAACTCCATATGAAAAGCTGTAGTCCCTCCCTATATCAAGCAAGTGTCACAAGCCTAGTGTATTGTGCATGACCTGAAATTAATCATGTTAATCATTGTTAATTTTTCAGTGTTCATGATCTGACATCAATTTTTCTGTGTTCATGATTGGCCACTAAAAACGTTGTTGGGCCAGTAAAAATTTCCTGAAAAGAGGCCTCACACTAATTTTCAGGCTTGCAAGTCAAAAGTTTTCATGTAGACTGATTTTTACTTTGCACCGTTATCGTCAATTTACGGTTCAAAGCTGATTGGATAATGGATGGTTGCTGAATAAAAATTCTCTCCACTTACATGTACAAATATCATGAATATACAATGTACACATGTACATCTAAATATTATTTTTCCTTAAGGTTTGGATTGACCTTGTTCAATAGAATTTAAAAGATTTATAAAAATAAAATTAAAAAAAATACATCACTTCAGTAGTGTATTTTAAAGGGGTTGATTTCAAATGACATAAATTTCACATGCAGAGCACAGTCCCGTAGCCAGGGGGTTTGAGGGGTTCGTATGAACCCCCTTTAAAAACAAATAAGCAGCATTAAAATTGACCTTCTGTTTGAACTGTGACTATAAAAGTTGAGATTTTGTTTGAACTGTGACTATAAAAGTTGAGATTTTGTTTGAACTGTGACTATCATAGTCTAGATTTTATTTTAAATCGACTTTGCGAGTCGATGTAACTCTCCCTAGAAAATTCCTGGGTTAGCTACAGGCCTGAAGCATGAAGGAGACCTTCCAAATGATCAGAATGGAGATGTGTTTGGTTCAATTGACTTCTTTTCTTCTTGCTTCACAAAAGCAAAATACAACATAATGTATCGATGAAATATATATCCTATCATTTAGTGTCAAGTTTCAAAAGTGAATGGAACTGTTCATCATACTAATGTACATGTAAAACTTACAATGTACATCAAAAATCAGCACTCTAGTAAACCCCTTTTCGTTGTTAATAAGAGGAATGTTGTGCTAAACCTAACTTTTTGTAACCCATTCTATGTTAAAAGAATATTTTCTGAAATAGAGTTTCTGTTAAAAATTATTTGAGAAAAACTCGAATTTCTGACAGTAACTGGTTCTTGGTCAGTAGACTATAACAAAGTTTTACTATTTTTCATTCTTCTGTCGAAGGCCAAGGGGTTGGATTCATTAACATAATAAAAACGGTGATCACTTCAATTGATTTTCTCGTTAATAATTTGTATTCTTACAGCTACAATAAAATTGCAAATATATTGGCATATCTAGGAGGGGGCATGTTTTGCCTTCCTGGGCCTGCAAAATTTTTTGCATTTTGTAGTGGCTAAAATCACCCAAACATTAATTCATATCATTTTTAAAAAATCAATGATTTTTTTTATATGAAAAAACAGAACCCCAAAAATGCTACTATGGTCGCCTAAACACATAATTACTTCCTTTTACCTTGTTACTTATTTTTACCTCAAGAAATCAAATTAAAGGGAGATAAATGCAAGAATATCTTTGCAAAATTTCTATACAGCTTGACAATGAAAGCCAGGGTTGCCTTCATTGTAAAAAAAATGTTAGTAACTCAGAGCCATACATTTAACTGAATATTGATTATATACCGGTGAAAAGATTAACCGGTTTTGCGTATCTAGATCTAACATCTTAACCTAAAACTACTATAATTTACACAAAATAGTAATCTCGGTCTAACCGATAAATATAAGTGCATTTGCTTTTCATGTGTGTTAGAATGTATACCTCGGCTGAACACGACGGCGTATTAATCGAATACCTACCAATATGCACTAGCTATATGTTCACTTTTAGTCCTTCAATTATTTATTTCACAATAAAATATACTTGTGAACATATATACTGTATTCGACGAACTGCCATTTTCTTTCGATCATATTTAATGTTGACATTGATACCCAATCGGTTTCCTTCCACAGGTCACGTGAGATCAATTTAACATCAGCATCTTTCTTGCATCAGTATACTAATCAATATAGAATATTCAATAGATATCAATATTTTGGATCAATCAATTGTATATCATCTATTATGAAAAGTCCGATAGATATATAAAACAAGGGCCACACAATATAAAAAAAGCGTGTGAGATATTAGTTCATAATAATTAATTTATATATAATAGTTTTTAATAATCTTACTTTGAGCAGAGACATATATACACATCTGCTTTGAGAGTGAGACTAATATTACACGGTTGTATAGCTGGGGTCAGAGACATATACACCTCTGCTGGGGTTAATACATTGAATCGTTATTTACCTTGTCTAAACTCATCAAAATGCAATACAATGTATATATGTTTATTCCACATTTTATTGTTTTTAACAGTACATCTTATTTGTATATTTAGATAGTAGATACAAGAAATGTATGTAATAAAGAATAACCCCCATTTTATCAAAAATAACCCTTAACTAAATTTCTTCATAAAAATGCATTTTTAAATGCTATTTTCTAGAAAGTTTTAAACAACAAGTCAATAAAAATATATTACTGCACCCAGAGACATATATACACATATATGTCTCTGCTGCACCCTATGAAAAGTCCCCTTTCCTACCATATAAAAATTATTGGTGCACCTTCTAAAATTAAAATATATATTTGAAAAATTTGCTATCGAAAATTGAAAATTTCCCAACTTTGGACACCAGAATACCTACCTACCTACCTTCTTCGCTCCGGGTGGAGCATAAGGACACCATAATAACAACTTAATAATTAATAATGGAAATGAAAATTAGCTCTCACCGCGGCCTACAATCATTTATCTTCAATGTCTTATATTTTTTTCAATATTAATTGGCAATCCATAGAGGCGTTTGACAAATTGTAAACCTATGTCTGAACAGAGAATTGCCCCCAAAAATGGCCATTTACAGGTAAACTTTGCGGGACAATGAAATTGAAAAATGAATTTAGTTGCATGAGTCCCTTTGTCTCGTAGTCGTCCCAGGTAGTAGTCAGAGTAATCTTTAGTCGGAGCAAGGAGGTAGCGAGTCAACTGCTTCACTATTATATATTTTTTTTTTTGCCAAGAAAACGGAAAGGTCAAATTAACGATGTGTATTCCGTAGTGTAATGTAAAGATGTTTCATAACATTTGAAATTATCTTCCGGCCTTTACAACCGACACTCATTTTACAAAACTAATAAGAAGATGTGACATGATTGTATTCACGATTCAAATTGAAGTTATTACAACTGCATGTGATTGACTCACTCAGATACAAATATCTCAAGTTATTTTAGGAAGGGATAACTCATGCTTACGTTAAAATCCACCCTTATTCAACCAAAACGTTAGTAGAAAACTGGTTTCATTAGGAAACACTTTTTTTATATAACATATGACATATATTTGTTTGATGTGTTTTCAGCTTTTGATTTTGCCATTAATTTTGATAAAGGAATTTCCGTTTTGAATTTTCCTTGGAGTTAGGTATTTTTGTTATTTTCTTTTTGTTATGATTGGTGCAAAGCTTTCATTTCTTATATTTTAATAATTATGGTTGATACTCTTCATTATTTCAACTTTTCTCTTCTTGCATGTTAATAAAATGAAAACGCTAAATTCGAAAGTGTAAGCGACGTAAATAATATTTGCATCACAAGTTCTCTGCTACTCAATAGTTTAACGGAAAAATATCTTTAACAATTTAATAAAATCTGGGACCAACTTATATAAATGTATTAGTCTTAGATAAAATAGTCAAAAATTCAAACAATTCATGATGTCTCTGTAAGATATATTAAAGATATTTTAAATCGAAAATGAGCTTCGGCAGAGAGATACATATATAAGACAATATAATTGTATTGTATGTCTCTTGGTTTTATTAAATGTTTATCTTTTAGCCCACCAGCGTAATGAAATGACTGTCAAGTACTACCGTTACCAACTAGCGAACAGCACTATTATTCAGTCAGGTTCTCTTCAAATTGTTAATCACTATCCGATGAGATTTAAGATACGAGATGATTCAGTGACAGTAAAAGGCAACGGTTGTCAACGGAAACCCGCGAAAACACGATAGACTCTTGCGATTTCGCTTTCGTGTTTTCGTGTTTTCGATTTCGCGTTTTTGTTTTCGCGATTTCGTGCTTTCGCTTAAAAATTGCGTTTTCTCGGTATAGCTTTTGCGATTTCGCGTTTTCACCTTTAGAAATATAAATTTATAATTATGACGATTTCCCCCTCCTTTTGTGTCTTCCTATTTACGTGGTGGCATGCAGTATCATCCAACTAGTATGTCTTTATCATATTTATCTTGATGTTTGCTTATTGTATTTCGCACTCAGTTATTAGGTATGTTCTTTCACAGGATATTAGTTCATGTTGGACCATGATGACGGTGCTTTCACCTATTGTTCCTCTGTAATTTCTGTATACATGTTTTGCATAGTTGACTGGGATAATCTCGCTTGATTTTATTGCGTCTTTCGTTGGATTTCCCCATGCCTAATTCCTTTAAGTCATGATTCTATTCCTAGTACTGTCTGGATTTGTAAGTTTACTTTAATTTAGTCATTAATGAAAATTCTTTTTTTTATCTTATACTTCTGCAGTTGCAGGTCAAAACTCCTAGGTTTCATGTATAAGTAATCTCTATGCTGTAAGTATCCAAAATTCGTTCGCTATGAAGGTGTCGGTAGTGACGTTTTGGATTTCAATGAACGTAATCTATGTATTACTGGTAAATCATTGAGTCAAGGATTTCGTTACCACAAATTACTTAAAGGGCATTAGCTACTATTTTGACATAAAATTGAATTACGATTCATTTTAAAGTATTAATAAATGCGGAATTATTAAAAAATATTTCGTTATAAGCAGTCAATTTAGCTCAAATATGTCAAAATAAGCTCAAGATTGTCGACGGTCATATAACCTAAAATAAACATAAATAGAAAAAAATATAACTAGACAGCGAGCACGTGCAAATGGATTTTTTTTTAGGTCTGTTTGATTTTATGTTAAAGGTTAAAACATATGTAAATCATCGTTTTTACCTGTATCAGAATGATTTTTTTATGAATCAAATCAGTCAGCGAAATGGCTGATGTATTATTGACTTGCAAGTAAATAAATTAACCTCATTCAATTCGCATTCATGTGACCTTCAATCTAACCTCTTAGTTGAAGATGAGTTACGCATGTATTAGGCGTGTTCAACTATTAAAAGGAAAAGAATGTCTACAAAGAAAGTGAAACAATTGTAAACAATTTCGTTGACTGATTCGATCCACAAAAAAATCATTCTTATACAGGTAAAAACGATGATTTACATATTTTTTTAACCTTTAACGTAAAATCAAACAGACCTAGAACAATCCAATTGCACGTGCTCGCTATCTATTTATATTTTTTTTATATTTATGTTTATTTTAGGTTATATGACTGTCGACAATCTTCGGATGTCATCTCGATAGTTAATTAGATGGCGTCTAGACTTAAATACACACGAAATGCTGATACATATTATCGAGTCCATTCATTGTGCATTGTTTATTTAAGACTTTTTATAATTTGGATAGTACGTTTTAGTGTGTTATAAATCAAATGTGATGATCTGAGTCAAATTGGTAAACATGAATATGGCAGCTAATGTCCCTTTAAAACCGTTACAAAATTCTTTCATAGATGCAAAGATTTGTTTTGGACGTTTGGCTGTACCTGTATAATACTTATTACAAATTGTTGTTTATCGAGCCCGTATATTTAGATACGATCCGGGTAATATGTCGATCTTTTAAATAAACTTATTCTAAAAGTTACCAATTAAAAACTGTCATTAAATCTTTGAATATTGTTTTATCGATATACATGTTATAGATATTGATTTTGTTATCAATAATTAAAAACCAACTAAATACTATTGCTATACGCCTATGAACATTCACGGTCCCACATTATGTCGATACCTATATTTTTTACATTGCACAAGGTCATGTTTTTCTCTGACTGTTATCCAGTGGATATTAGATGTGTACTGGTCGATAGTTTAGTCTTGGATACTAGTACATGATTTTTTTAAAAATTGTTATTGGCTTTGAACTAGCTTTCAGTAACTGAGTTTACAGTCAGTCCACGTCTTATACATGTATAGGACTTACTGCCATTGAATAATGATTTTTTTCCCATTTTTTGGGGTGTTTTTTTTGCAAAAAACTATAGCAGATAGAGAAAAAATGAACAGAAACTAGATACTCCAAGGAGCCTGTGTTTCTCACCTGACAGTTTTGCACGAAATTGATACAATGCAGTAGAATATTTCAAATAGTTTCTGGAAAAAAAACTACTACTAGGGGGGTGTTCAACGACCTTGACTACCCATGAGGGTATTCTAGAAAAAACGCCAAAAATTCAATATCATCCTTCAAAGACAATAACTTCTAATAATAGACTGACAATTTCAGGCATGTTGACCTTTTTTGTAGTATGTGTCCAGCTGATAATTTTATAGCTATTTACAGTTTCTCTCTATCTACTATAATTTACAGTTATGGTTAAAAAAACAGAATTCAAGAACAGTAACTTCTTTAAGGAGTCAACTGAAAAGTTAGACCATGTTATATTATAATACGTCTTGTGCTACTTGTCAGTTTCGCCATATGCAGTTTCTTTCAATCTACGAAAGTTTTTGCCAAAAAAATACAAACATATATAGATAAAAAGTGTCTTTCAAGGGCAATAACTCCTATAAGGAGTAAACAGACGATTTTGGCCATGTTGACTGATTTGTAGATCTTGTCATGCCGATCATTTTTCTTTTGCATTTTCTCTCCATCTACTATTGTTAACGCAAACATAAAAAAGTATAACATCGTCATTCAAGCGCAATAACTCCTATAATAAGTCTACTGACAATTTCGGTCATGTTGCCTTAATAGTAGATCTTGTCCTGCTGGTCATTTTTGCCATATACAGTTTCTCTCCATTTACTATAGTTTCCACAAAAAACACAAGAATATGGGGATATGGTGTTTTAATTGTAATCACTCACTAAGGAGTCGATTGTCGATTTCAGACACATTGAATTATTTGTAGATCTTGTCCTGTTGATAGTTTCTGCCAAAAAAAAAAACCACAACTAGAGGCTCTAAAGATCCTGTGTCGCTTACATAGAAATATGTGCATTTTCAACAATGGACACTACAGCACTGTGGACTTGAATAGAATTCATGACATAAATCTCCTTTTTGTTAATCTGTATTTTTGCTGATCATTTGTTATCTGTTTATTGCCATTGTTAAGTTTTTGCCCAAAATACAAAAAAAGGTAAAAAAAAAGTCATCATTTAAGGGCAATCACTCCTACAAAGAGAATCTACCAACAGTTTCGACAAAACTTGATTGACATAATTGTAGATCTTGTCTTGCTGATCATTTTCGCTATTAAAAGTGTCTAGCGATCATTTAAAGTATTCAAGATAATAGGCAAAAAGCAAAAAATTGGTAAAAATCGTAACTTTGAAAATTGATGCTCTGGAAAAGTTTTACATCGATTTTCTTCGAAAAATCCAGTGTCTACCTAATAGATCAGTTAAAGGTATTCTACTTCTTGGTGTCAGGCCTGCCACGGCCGAGCTCCATATTAGACAATTAAACATTTTAGGCAGTATTATTTATAGAAGTGAAAACTTAATTTTAAATCAAATTCTTCACAGACAGATATCAACAAAATCAGAAATTTCAGACAGTTGGTTTACCTACGTAAATAAGCTTCTAGTTCAATATGAGCTTTCTAGTTTTGAAAAAATGATAAAAAAAAATCCGCCGTGTAAGTTTTCTTGGAAAAAGAATGTGAAACTAGCAATTGATAAATTGTGGACTCAAAAATTATTACTTGACTGTCAAAATAAATCTACCCTGCCATACTTCGATCTGTCAAGTTTGAAGATTGGAACTAATCACAAACTTTGGTCCTCAATTGAAAGTCATGATTAAAGATGTCCGCCGTGGTGGTATAAAAGATCGTCTAATCACAGGAATATATGTACTCCAGTCCAACAGAAGTAAATTTAATAGACATGAAGTCAGCGCTGTCTGTCCACTTTGTCAATATGAAGATGAAGACATTGTACATTCCATTTTGAAATGCAACGCTCTATTTAGATACAGAAAGTCATATATAGAGGAATTAAAATCAATAATAAACAGCATAAGTAATCCAAATACGTGTTCATGGAAGAAGCTAGCCAGTGATAATTGTCTATTAACACAATTGATTTTGGACCCAAGTGTTTTGGTAAAACAGAATATATTATCATGCAGTGACAATATTCTCACTAAAATCATGAGAGGACTGCTCAAGAAAACTGTGCTTCTCCCTCCATTGTGGAAGAACATTGATTATGAACTCAGAGACATCAAGGGTGTACATAATTTTTTAGGCCCAGATTTTAAATATTATCATTAATTTTTCTATGTAAATACTTATTGATAAGATTATCCCCTCATGTGACCATACATTTGTACTCATGAACATTTACCCACTTTGGGGTGCACCAATATAGTAGTGGATAATACAAACTAAAGAAGAACTCCAATAAGGATTCGTCTGACGATTTGGGCCATTTGACTTATTTGATGATCATGTCTCGCTGATAATTTTGCTCTTTAAAGTTTCTATTTACCTTTCATAATTTTAAGATAATAGGCAAAAAGGGAATAAAAATCGTCATTCAAGGGCAATAAGTTCAATCTGGGACTATTATACTAGTAGATATATTATGCCCCAGCTTCTCTAAGGAGTCATCTGACAGTTTTTATGTAAATGGACAGTAGGTAGATTTTCACATTCTAAACATGTCTGCCTTGTCAAATTTTCTCTATTCATAGTGGTTTAATATAATAGATAATAGATACAACTTGCATTTTACCCCATATATTCTATGTTTAGCCTTGTCACCCATGTTTGTTTGCAGGTGGGGTCATCAGACATTTTTTTTTTAAATAGATACACAAATAATGATTGTGGTCAAGTTGTTTGAAAGTTGACCCAGTAGTTTCTGAGGAGATTTTTTGTAAAAGTGAACAACAACGACGCACTCAAAGGGATGAGAAAAGCTCACCTGGCCCTCTGGGCTAGGTGAGTCAAAAATGGTTAATAAATCCCTTTCAAACTCCTATAACGAGTCTGGGACTAATATATTATGTCCCAGAACGAGTCAACTGACGATTTGGGCCCTGTTTTATTCTTTGTAGATCATGTCCTGCTGATCATTTTTGGCATTTACCATTTCTCTTTATCTATTATAACTCGAAAGATAATAGCAAAACAATGTTGAAAATTTGTTATTTAAGGGCAATAACTACCAACAGTTCTGGTCTATATGAAAGGCAGATCAAACTTGACATTTTGACCATTTCTGTCCTTTTCAGATTCTCTCTATCTACATTGTATAAGGTTTACTAGATAATATAAAATATTTGCATTTTACCCTATTTTCTATTTTTAGCCTTGGCTGCTATGTTGGTTGGAAGGTGGAATCTTTGGACACATCTTTCAAACTAGATACTCTATGAATGATTGTGGTAAGTTTTGTTTGAATTTGGCCCAGTAGTTTCAGAGGAGAAGATTGTTGTTATGTTGGAGAGTGGCAATTGTTGAAGACATACTTAGATCCAGGTGAGCAACACTTGCTCTTTGGAGTCTCTGTTTGTGTCTACAGAAATCTATTATTAAAAATGTGTAATCTTAAACACCTTATGTGGACTAAAGGTATTCATGTCTTTCCAATTCATAATGGAAAAGTGCTAAGAGAAAATAATTCACTAGTGCATAATCATAATCCTGTTTGAATTTAGTTATTCATCTAAGAAAAACTTTTATCACTACCTTAGTATCAAGTTCCAACATAAGAACAAAATTATAATGATTTATTGGATTTTTTCTCTCACTAAAATAAAAAATAAAATAATAACAAAATTACCGAACTCCAAGTAAAATTCAAAAGGGAAAGTCCCTTAACAAATGGCAAAACCAAAAGCTCAAACACATCACACAAACAGAAAATAACTGTCATAAGGTTCAGCATCAAACTTGTGACAAGATCCACAAATCAGTCACATGATATAAATAGAAAAAAGTGAGAAGATATCAGGGGGCAATCAAAAAACATAAATCGAAGAAAACAAGACAAAACAATGGCCAAAAGGAATGTATGAATAGACCATCCATAGTTTTGCTATCTGTGTCATTGGGATGCTTTTATGTTGAGGTATACCCAACATCTCCTTTTATTCATACTGTCCACTAATCAGAACAAATCAAAAGAAAAGTAAGCATTGGATGAGACTTTAACTGAATGCAAACATGTCATTTTCAAGCATTGGAAGGATTAATTTAGGAATATCTGTATTCAGTTCTGTTTAAATTAAGGGTGGCAAAAGTGGTATTGCGCACGAAGAACATGACCAAAAAATTGACTATAATTAAAAAAAAATCTGTGGGCAATTCCTGTTTCACTGGTATAAAAATACTCATGGTGAAATCATGATTAGTTAGATCTGGTGCTAAGCCACAACTAGAAGCTCCAAAGAGCCTGTGTTGCTCACCTAGGTCAATGTGCATCTTCAATAATGGATACTCTTCAACATTGTGGACTTAAATAAAATTAATAACAAAACTTTTTTTTATTGAAACTTGTATTGCTGATCTTTTTTTTTTAATTTAAAATTTCTCTCTATCTTCTTTAGTTTTTACCCAAAACACAAAAAAAGATAACAAAAATCCTCATTTAATAGCAATCCCTGTGATAAATTGTCTAGATTTTGGCAAAATTTGAGTTACTTGTAGATCTTGTCTTGCTATTTACAGTGTCTAGATATAGTTCTATATCAACTGAAGGATATCCATTTCATATGCAGGGGCTGCTTGAATGTTGTTACATATAATTGGAACCCTACACAATGAGGAAATTGACATATTCTTTTGTATTAATGTTTCAAATTGAAAATTGGTTGCTAATTTGACAATCTGTTTTATCTCTTCACTTTTTATAGCATCCAGTTACATAGAACTGTCCTATAACTAAATTAGATGGCAGCTGATTTAGTTTTGAGATATTCAAGTGGTCACTCATCAACTAACAAAAAGAGGAAGAGATTTCATATGTCTGGCCTGATGATAATGAAATATAAACATAAGCAGAATCAATTTATTACAAAAATAAATATAATTCTGAAACAAATCTAATTACTAACAGTATTGTTTTACAGCATATATTGTGAAAAATTATTAAACAAGATGACATTTTTCATTAAAACCTGGCATGAAATCATTTCAATATGAAAACTATTGATTTCTGATTGTCTTTAAGTGTAAAACATACCATTGATGACGTTATTAATTGATAAATAAAAGAAATGTGTCTGAATAATTTTCTTGAAATCTGTTTTTCAACCTGTCATTATGATCTTAAACACATATTACAAACCTTGCAAGATTAATCTATTGAAAACACCCAAGACATATTTTACACTCATCAAATACAAGAACATGTAGTTATGATTTTAAAATCTATTTTCTTCATTGAAACCTGAACAATATTCATCAAAATCTAATATTAAGTCAAACTAGATTAAACAAACATAAAAACTCCAATTTCAATCAATTCAATATAAAGGAAATCTTTTAAAAGATTTCTAGAGACTATTTCTGAAATGAGAGAGTACTTTGTGACCTCAAGTGCATTACATCTTTGATTTGATTCTTTTGCATATATATTGCATTTCAGTTGAATTTATGATTATCAAAATGACCCATTGCACGTCCAGGGACATTTAATCTTATGTATGCAAAATGGAAGAGGGGTCAAATATCTGTTTGTATATCTTATAAGCATCAGACCATCTTTTTTTACAGATAAACTGCATAAAATACACCTAAAAATCTGAAAAAATAAATCATAAAAAATTAGGTAGATTTTTTATAACATTAATTCATTAATTTGTTTTTAATAAATCTTTATCTATACAGTATACAAACTCTGACAATTAATTTATTGGCTCAATTATTATAAAGTTGTCCATAAGGACTTGTAGATAGTCTATATTAGGACTTATAGTAAATATTTATTGACAAAGTACATAATAAATAACGAAATGACTGAAATAATCATGACAGCAACTGCAACATAAATAACAAAGGGGAGATTATCTATGTCAAGAGTCTTATTTGGGGTCCAATGAATAGTACTACAGTTAGTGACATTTAAAAGGCTGTTCTGATTACAAAATATACCCCCTCTGTACAGGGTGGTTTGTGCAATACCTATTTACCATAGAGACATAATTGGTAACCTTTTTTAGTAATTGATTTAAAAGTCCTTCAAAAATTGTCAGATTCCTCTAACAGTAAGAAAATGGGGGATATAAAATCACCTAAAATATATTAAATTTTGATTGAAATTTTAAAACATTCTGTTTTAGAACTCAAATGGACTATTTAAACAATAATGAACATTTTAACTTTTATTACTTCTTGTAAATCATCAATCATGGAAAAAAATTCACCAAGAGAACAGAGTCTTTATTTATATTATCAATGTCATTTTGATTTTGCCTTGTAAAAGAATCTAAGAATTCAGAATTGTACAAAAGAATAATAGTGAGACATGTAATACTAGACATTAATGTTTGGCTGGAAACAAAATATAAAAACTCCATGAAACTGGTAACCAGACAGAAATGTTATAAAGCACCAATACTTTCAATTAAAGGACACATAAACATTGAAAATAAATTAAAAAAAACTATCATCAAAAATAAACACTCAACAATACTCAATAATGTTTGGCACAAATCAACAATACACATTTTATATATATTTTTTTTATTTTCAAAATTTCTGCACAACAAAATTTACATATAACATAGAACTTTAAATTGTACCCTTGTTAAAACACCAATCAGTGATCGGGAAGGACGTGCGCCTTGCGCCAATTGCGCTTATCGACCAGAAATGGCGCATAGAGTGACAAATGTAAGCGCCCGCGTGGCGCATGATATTTTTCACTTCATTTTGAAACGTTGAGATATCGTCAAATGGATTTCCGATCGTATTTCGTGCCGCCATGTGTGAGTACACAACTCCAATGATAGGAGCACCTATATGTTTTTGGGACGTCTCGGGTGTTTTCAAATGGTAATAATAGCAACATGCGGTATGACTGATTACCCAAAAAATGTAATTAACCATCATTCATGATATAATTTTTTATAAACAACTTTAAATTTGTGAAAATTAGCTAGTACAGTCGAGAATTCTTCTCTAATTATAATCTTTTAAGTAAGCTTGCTATTATATCGATTGAAAAATCCAAAAGCCTGTTTATGAATAGCATAGTATTTGTCTCCATAAAAGGGGCTTAACTGTCCTTGTCAATTTTTTTGGACTTTGGCTCGTTTTGACATAAACATGCCTGCAGCGAATTGTTGTCGTGTCTTATCAATTAACGTTGCTCTCTACTGTTATTCTTGTCATCGTGATGAAGTAATAATAATACAAGTGCAGAGGAAATGCCAGAAACATCCTCTAATACGTAACGTCTGGAATAAGTATGGTATCGACGAAGACCCAAATTTAATGTAAAAAAAACATGAACATGAACAAGGGAACAGTACCAGTTTTAACATTGTAAATAAAGGTTATCGTAAATATTGCCCGGTTTGGAAGAAGTTATTGTATATTCATTGAAATTGAAATAACAAAATCACAGGAACAATTTCCATGATATTAATTAGAATCATACTTGTAAGTACAGTGAAATATACACTTTTTTAATTTTTTTTTTATTGTTAACGAATGGCTTACTCATTTGACAACATGGCCAATTAATTCTAAAAAAGGCCCATTGAATTTATTTTTGGGGGCCCTGAGCCCATAGAGAAAAAATCCTTCCAGATCACTGCCAATTTATAAATATATGTTGTTGAGGTATCCAAACCAATAGTGACCATCTAGCATTATTAGGCAAAAACAAAAAACCTTTAGTTACACTATTAAGGAAGTCATTTTCCTTAATTAAATTTTTCCTACTCAAAACACTGCATTTGTCCAAAATAAATTTAATAACTCATACTTTATTTGTTTTTTGTTATGGCTATTTGAATGCTATTTGATTTATTGTCTAGATTCCTCCATATAATATCATCATTTTATACCTATAGCCACATCTGTCAAAATTATGCTCACTCTATAAACTCAATTATTATATCCCTACATATTCTAAAAGCCTCAGATCATATGATGACATTAAAACTGTCTGAAATAACAAATGCATGAGGAGTTATATAACAACTCTCTTGTTATAAAATTTGTTATGATTAAACAATGCCAAAATAAATTACACAATATAATTAAGTATATTTGTTAACAGAAATTATATTAGTAAGATTGACTATCACATTATGCTGTTATTTTTGTAAAAGCATATACATGTAACAAAATTTATACAATTGGACGGAATAAGTGAAAATATATGACAAAGCCTTATTAAAAATATAAAATATAAATCTAAATTAAAATTTTATCAAAGAACACAAACTTCTATCATGTAGTGTTATTTAGGGATAAATATAAATTTGGGTATACATCAATGAGACTGGAACTCAATGACATTCAAAAATGACATATATAGTTGAACCTATAGCCTTTAACAAAAAACACATGTATACACAATATGTTAACCAGTTGAGGACAAAATATTCATATTTAAGATCTGCATAAATGCCACTGATACAAGTGTTGAAACAATGAATGATAATGGAAAGAGACTGACAAGAAATAAGACAGTATAATTTCAATTGCTGGAAACACATTCAATAACTTTGCTTTGGTATCAATATCTTTTGTCTATTCTCTTCACAATATCTTGGTAATTACCAATGGAATTCTACTGGCTAAAAGATTTCAGAGTGCCCTGATTACCTGAATCGTAAAATGTATTCTTACACTAAATCCTGCTATTTTGCTACAAACTTAAAAATCCTAAAGATCAGTATCTTCTGTCTACACCCAAACTTTGAACTTGAAGAAAGCTTGCATATCAGGATCATCAACAGATTTGCCGTTGACACCAGCATATACCTCTCTCAATATTTTAGTCTTGAATTTGTCTTCTAGAATTTTGACATACTTTTCCAATACACCTGGAATAAATATGTGAAACATATTGATAAGCAGTGTAAATGACTGCATCTATTTTCAAATTAATAATTAACAGACCTCAGACCAATATTTACAGAACTGCGAAACTCTGGGTCTAAACCTTAATTTGACATATACTATAGAAATTTCATATCATAATGCACTTGTGTACTAAGTTTTAAATTGATGCGACCACAGCTTATAGGCAAACTACCTTGACAAAATATTTATCCAGATATTGGATGTACGTACAGACAAAAAGACAGGAATTGATGGACATACAGACTAGAAAATATAATGCCTCTACTATTGTAGATTGGCCAAGAAATAAAATTGAATCTTTTTATGTGAAAACACATTTTTTTTCTGTTCCTATTCAATATATAATTATTATCATTATCTTTTTCATTAGATCATCTAAGTAGGGGTGGGTTTAAAAAGATAAATGTTATAACATTGATTTAACTTTTAACTACTTTTAATATAAACTGTTGACATAGAGATAAACCTCTAATAATAATGATAGAACTTTTCATATCAATGTCAAACTTCTTGATTTTTCCAAACATCTCATAAAACAGAAAGATCATTAGTTTTGTACGGTAAAATATTCCATACCCTGCATCTGCTATAAACTAACAAAAACTTTCTCCAGAAATGTGCTGAATTTGTTCAATAGTTGAACTTTAGCCATTAAACTAGAGGCTCTAAAGAGCCTGTGTCGCTCACCTTGGTCTATGTTCATATATATCAAACAAAGGACACTCTCCAACATATTGTAGACGAGAATAGACTTCATGAGGCCACACTTCAAAATATTTTGGTTTGCCAAAACCCTACCCAAAGGTAGAGACAGTGGGTAGGTACGTAGGCATTTTCTTTTTCTTTTTTCGACAAAGAGAAATTGAAGTGTCAGATGTTTTTTAGTCTTCATACCTATCTAATTAAAAAAAAACTTTTTCACATCAGGACAATAAAAAATGTTGAGTAGGCAGCTATTTTCTGGGTAGGTAGGGTTAGGGCAAACAAACATATTCTTTTTTATGGCCTGACGAAAATCTCTATTATGTTGATCTTTTAGTCTGTTTAGTTTCTCTCTATCTTCTTTAGTTTTTGCTCAAAACACAAAAGAGGGTAAAAAAATCCTCATTTATGGGCAATCACTCCTATGAGAGTGACAGTCTACTAACTATATCGGCAAAATTTGACTTTTTAATGGATTTTGCCTTGCTGATAATTTTTTAAGTGTTTATTTATCTATTACAATTTAAATCATATAAGGCATAACAGAAAAAACATGTTTCTCTCTAAATATCATAGTTAACATGATATTAGGCAAAAATGAAAAAAAAATGGTAAAATTTGTCATTTATGGGCAATATCTCCTATAAGAATTTGTCTAACAGTTTTGACCTATGAGGACAATTGGTAGTGCTCATAATCCTGAACATTTTCGCTCCTTTCAGATTTTCTCTATTTATAACAGTTAAATAAAAAATAATAGACAAAACTTGCATATAACCCCTATATCCTTTTTTTTGCCATGCCTGCCATCTTGGTTGGCAGGCGGGGTCATCAGACACATTTTTTAAACTACATACCCTAATAATGATTGTGGCCAAGTTTGGTTAAATTTGTCCCAGGAGTTTTAGAGGAGAAGATTTTTGTAAAAGATTACAAAGATTTACAAAAAATTATTAAAAATTGACTATAAAAGGCAATAACTCCTTAAGGGGTCAATTGACCATTTTGGTCATTTAACTTATTTGTAGATCTTACTTTGCTGAACATTATTGCTGTTTACAGTTTATCTCTATCTATAATAATATTCAAGATAATAACCAATAAACTGTTAACACAGAGATATGTCTCGCCTTTTTGTTATTTTAATAATGCAAATGTTGAAATTAAAATAGCAATACTTTAACATGTAAGTTATGCAAATATTCAAAGTCAATGAACCATGACTGAAGGTACAGGACTAAACAATCTCCATGGAAATGAGATGTGCCAATGCTAATACAACTGCAAACCAAATACCATTGACTTTTCATAAGTCGTTCCCTTTAAACAAACCTAAACACAAACATTAACTTGTAAACTATGTAAAAGTTTCAAAGTCAATGAACCTTAATTAGGGGGTGGGGTTATATAATCTCCATGGAAATGAAACTTGCAAATGCCAATACATTTGCATACCAAATATCATTGACTTAACATTAGTGGTTCATCTTAAACTGACCTAATCACAAACTAAGCAAAAGTTTCAAAGTCAATAGACCATGACAGAGGGGTAGGGACCAAATATTCTCCATGGAAATAAGATGTGCTAATGCTTATACAACTGCATACCAATTATCATTGACCTACCACTAACAGTTCCCCTTAAACTGACCTAATCACAAACTAATACATGAAAACTAAGTAAAAGTTTCAAAGTCAATAGACCATGAATGAGGGGGCGGGGCCAAATAACCTACATGGTAATGAGATGTGCCAATGCTAATACAACTGCATACCAAATATCATTGACCTACCACTAGTGGTTCACCATGAACTAGACCTAATCACAAACTAATACATTGTTGATGCCGCCGCCGACGCGGGAAACAGCATACCTATGTCTCGCTTTTTGACTCCGTCAAGGCGAGACAAACTGCAACATTTCCTTAAAATTACCAATTGAGGGGCAGTAACCCAACTAAGGGTTGTCGGTTTTGTCTGAAAATGTCAGGGCAGATAGATCTTAACCTGATGAACATTTTTACTCATGTCAGATTTGCTCTAAATGCTTTATTTTCAGAGATATAAGCCAAAATCTACATTTTACCCCTATGTTCTATTTCTAGCCATGGCGGCCATCTTGTTTGGCGGGCCAGGTCATCAGACACATTTTTTAAACTAGATACCCCAATGATGATTGTGGATAAGTTTGGTTGAATTTGGCCCAGTAGTTTCAGTGGAGAAGATTTTTGTAAAAGTTAACGATGACAGATGACGACGACGTACAACAGACGCCAAGTGATGAGAAAAGGTCACTTGGCCCTTTAGGCCAGGTGAGCTAAAAAGTGTTCTGGCATATTTGTGCTGTGAAATGTAAGAGCATCTTAGATAAGACACTTATTGATGCACCTTACCTAAACCCAGGACTCTTCCATAAGCTATCATATTAGTCTGTAATCTAGGATCATCATATTTCTCTGCTTTCATCAACAATCTGACAATATCTCCTATGATATAGGCATCATCAAATGTTGGGGTCTCAGACAATGGAAACTTGCAGTACACATCGACAGCAGCTTGGGGGTCTTTGACTGTTAACATCTCTGCCAATTCAATGTAGGCATCATGAATCTGAAAAAGAAATGAAATTTAGAGCTACATATATCTTGAAATCAAAGCATAGGTCATTCTGACTATCATCAAAAGAAAGTTTAAATTTCTTGCTAAATCAATTGTTTTGGACAAGTACAATTATAGGCAGAAAGAATAAAAACTATAGCCAGTCTGTGTCCCTCACCTAGGTCTGTAATGCATCTTTAACAAGTTTACCGTTTCGCTTTATCTGTAGTTTTCAGTTTTCACCCAAAACACAAAAAGGGTAAAAAAATTGTCATTTAAGAGCAATCACTTCTATAAAGAGTCTACTTAAGATTTCGGGAAAATTTGACTTTTTTTTTAGATCTTGTCTTGGTGATCATTTTTGCTATTTAAAGTGTCTATCTCTATCTTTTATAGTTTTCAAGACAATAGACAAAAAAGTAAAATATTGGTAAACATTGTCATTTAAGAGCAAGCATTCCTTATTAGGAATTGACTGATGATTTCAGCTATGTTAATTTTTTAGTACATCTAGTCTTGCTGATCATTTTTGCTATTTAAAGTGCTTATCTATCTTTTATAGGTTTACAGATATCAGGCTTAAAACACAAAAAATTGGTAAAATCGTCATTAAAGGGTAATAACTCCAATAAGGGGTCTTCGGACAATTACAACCATTTGACTGAATTGAACATCTTGCCTTGTTGGTCTTTTTTGGTTATTTAAGGGGTTATTAGATGATTTAAACAATGTTAATTATTTGTAGATCTTGTCTTGCTGATCATTTTTGCTTATTCAAGTTTCTATTTATCTGTTTTATTCGATTTTCAGGTATTAAGCGAAAACACCAAAAATTGATAAAAATCGTCATTAAAGGGCAATAACTCTAATAAGGAGTCGCCTGACGATTTCAGTCATGATAACTTATTTGTAGATCTTGTCTTGCTGATCATTTTTGCTAATAAAAGTTTCTCTCTATCTATTATAGTTTTCAAGATAATGGGCATAAAATGAAAAAAAAAAAAAGGTAAAATTCATCATTTAAGGGCAATTGTTGTCTGACAGTTTTAACTTAAATGGACAATAGGTGGAGCTCAACATTCTGACCTTTTTTGCTCGACAGATTTTTTCTACATATAGAGATTTTCAAAATAATATACAAAACTTGCATTTCACCCCTATGTTCTATTTTTAGCCATGAAACAAATTTTAAAACTAGATACTCTAATAATGTTTACCCTTGGGCCAGGTGAGCTAAAAAAAGTCATTGTATTCTCTCCATGAATTTCTCAACTAGCAGAATAAAAACGTAGGGAGTTTAAAGCTTTTTAGGACAACGCCCTCATGCACAACTAGAAAAAATGTTACCTCCGGAGCCATGACAATCACTTCATTGTAGGATTTTTGTGATTCCTCTATTTCACCAGCTGATCTGTGAGCTCTTGCCAGACCTAGACGCGGTTGGTATGTCTTTCTGTTAATAGGAGCTGCCAGGGAGGGCTTATTATCTGAAATCTGTGTCGCAGCAGGTGGTGTCTGTGGCTCTGGTTGCTTTTCCTCTGACTTTTCTGGTGATATAATATGTGAGAATTTAGGTTAATGAAACTGAATAATTAGTGAATATTTATTTATTATATATAAATGTTTTTGTTCCATAGCTCATTCTTATCATTTATAAATAGAAGCTACTCAATTTCTTTAAAAATGATACTTTCTTTTTCATTGATTTTGCAGTGAAAATATATTTTACATTAACAGTTTGAGAAATAAAGAGAAAATATTGATACTGTGTACAATAAAACAATTATAAAATGGATTGCTAAAAAAAATATAAATGCTAAATCAGAAATTTCTAATTGCCAAATTACACTACATTTTGTGTAATACAATAAATGTGAAGAAGGAAATTTGATTTACTATCCACAATTGGTTCAAATCCATGAGATTGTGTTAGGTTTCATCTAAATAGGTGGTTCAATGACATTATACCCCTAACAAGTGATGTAATTATTTTTCTTATCTAAATGAACGAAAAAAAATTGTCATTATCAAGTACAAATTGAAGTAAATTTGTGTGTTTCCATATATTCTTTATTGTAGGGGTTTCAATCTCTATAATCCAGACCTTTTGGTCTGTCCATTCCTGAATTTATGTTTACTTTAAAATTTTAAACCAGAATTTAACCTTAATTAAAGTGACCGAGTTATCAAACAAAGAGTAAAATAAACGAGAAAATGAAGATACTGCTGTTAGAGTTTGTACACTGTAGGTTCCCTATTAGCAAAAGCTAATTGTGAAATTTTAAGTTCCTTGATAGGAAATTCATCCTATTCACTGATACCAGTTATTATTTAAATTACAAAAAATTAAATACAAGAGAGCAAAAAAACCAACCTACACAAAAACCATATATTTCTAAATGTAGGGGCCTTTTCAAAACATTTGTTCAGCGCAGGATCTAATTTATACAAAAATCATTTTTATTTACACACTGCCTTATGTGAAGCATCATGCAGTTATCTGACAAAAAAATATTTAAGGCACATTAGTATAGCATTTCTTGAATTTTTGTTAAAATATTTATTCCACAGCCAATTTCTCATATTTAGCTTTTCCAAATAATGGATACAAAAGCAAAAAACACCATCTTTTCAGCATATTCTACAAAATATTTTATAACAACTTTCAGACCTAACATGTAATTTGAGAAAATTTACCAGTAACATCATATTTTCGAATCGTCTTTTGAATATGATAACTAACAAAAAATTTGGTAGACTTAAAACTATTGGAAAACCGCGACTGGATTCTTATCATACAATATTTACATTGATAAAAGATAACAGGACTTCAAGATAAAAAAACATTTCAAAACCTTAATCTATTTTAAATTAGAGCGGAAAAATTATAATTTCATAAGATTTCTAAAGATTAAAGTTTAATTTTGGGAAAAGCTGCTCATGAACTTGAATCTGTAAGTAATGAAAAAATGCAAATCATGTACCAAAAGTCAAATCAACTAATTTCTAATTTGTATCTTTATGCAACATTAAATGTTGTGTACTGTATATTTGCAGATGACATACAAAAAGACAAAAAGATCACCTGTCTTTTTCACCAAACAGAAAGAAACAAAACAAAATTCAAATGAATTAAACAAAACACACATGAAAAACATCAACACACAAACAAGTTCCTTCTCCAAGGGAGATAACTCAAATCTGTAATGCTGGTTTTTATTTCTTTCTAAGAGCTGATTTTTCTGAGTTATCTACCTTGTTTAGCAGGTTGTGAATGACAAGCAGCAGCAGGCTTACCAACAGTTTTACCAACAGGAACTTTGGCAGGGGCAGCCTAGAAACAAGAGAAATTTATATCAAATACACTGTGTTAATACTATAGTCCATGTACAAAACTGCTTCAGGTATCAGATATAAAATAAAAACAGGATATACAATATTGATTTTATTCTTTTTGAATGTTTCTGAAGACAAGGATTGCTCTTCTCTCAAATGTGATTCAAAGAAAACTGGTGGAAAGACTGTACAGGCTGTGTGCATAACTTCAAAACATATTTTAGTCTTCCACTGAGGTATGCAGTGGACAAAAAAACTTTATTATAGCACTATTGCCTATAGTTGCATTACTGAAGTTTTTTTTGTTTGAAAGATCAGCAATTTTTTCAGTAGTTAAAATGGGCTTAATGTGTGTCAATGTCAGTGGATCACTAAATTCACATAAGAAGTTCTTTTAAATTGTAATTCAATGTTTTTATCAAATCATGTTCATAGTTTCAAGTTTACATTTTTCATTTTTACATTGTAGTTCCAGTATAAAACTAGGACTAAAAGATAAAGAATTTTTCATTTTTACATAGAGGTCAAGATCAGATGAACCCTGCCAGATTGATATGCACAACTCACAATCATTCCATACACCAAATATAGTTGACCTCTTGTTTATAGTATCTGGGAAACAGACCTAACAATGAAAACTTAACTAAGACCAATGAACCATAAAAATAAAGTCAATGTCAGTTCAGCCCTGTCAGACAGGCATAATGTTCGTCATTTTGGGAAAATTGGTGTTTAAAGCAGATGTTTAAAAGTCTATATTCAAGGAGATGAAATTTTAGAAATTGAGCCCATGTTTTAGCCTTATTGAACCATAGGGCTAAAATATGGCCCAAATTTTGAAAATTTCAAATTAAAGATTTTTGATTGTATGGCCATTTCCACAACTTATTATAGTTAAAACAATGAAGATAAAGAAAATAGGTCTTTCCATTTAAATTTACATATCAAGTTTCATTGTATGACATCTAAATTAGTCATAAATTACCATGTTCCACTTAATAACTAACAAGAATGTGTCCATAATACACGGATGCCCCACTCTCACTATCATTTTCTATGTTCAGTGGACCGTGAAATTGGGGTCAAAACTCTAATTTGGCATTAAAATTAGAAAGATCATATCATAGGGAACATGGGTTCTAAGTTTCAAGTTGATTGGACTTCAACTTCATCAAAAACTTTACCTGAAGCGGGACAGACAGGCGGACGAACAAACAGACAATCGAATGGACGAACAAACAGACGGATGAACGAACGGACGCACAGACCGAAAATCATAATGTCCCTAGGTGGGGCATAAAAACAGGCCAAATTCAATTGTTCTTGGGATTGGAAACATATAGGGCATGTGTCAGCAAAAAAACCTATATGACTTAAATTACTTTGTCAAACCCTGCACTCTGTTTCCTTGGCATAAATGGGGTGGCTTTATCCATGATTGTCAACTTTTCCACTAATCTCTACCTTTGACCTTTTTGAGTGTAAAATTATATATGTCAAAGCTTTATAAGAAAAGCTAGACAAAAATCATTGTTTCACTTTTTCACACGTTTACACCACAACTTGAAAGTTTTCAGCTTGAAATAATTGACTTCATATTGGTGGCCTAACAGGGCATCTACATTTACTTGATTATTCACTTCATTTTTAGACTCAGGGCAATTTAGAGCTTCACATATTGTATAGAGACCTGTCTTTTATACCAGAGACCATTTGTTGATCTCTATATACCCTTTTGCTGTCTCACTAGACTTTACCAACATATCTTCCTTAAATCATTTAAAAACATACATTATTTTGTAATTGTATAAAATAATCTTACTGCTTTTGCTGGAGTTCCTCTAGCGGCACCTCTTCCTGCAGGAGCACCTGGAAAAATCATTCATTTCAAAAATTAAGAAATTATTGGTACTCCCTTTGAACTTTAAACTTACACAATATTTTAATTCAAATTAACCTACATTTCTGGAAATTAAATACTTTTATTTTTGAAAGCCTAATATGATGACCCTGCACACATAATGAAATATGCTTTGACTTAATCATTTAGGATATTGGTAAATATATGTGCTAGTAATATAAGGTGCCAGGGCAGTCAATTGGAATGGTTATTTTGGCTAATAAAATTTCCACTTTTCCAATTTCAAATACCAGAGGCTCCGAGAATTATCACCTGGCAAAACTACCCCCACATAGCTGGAAAGTATTTTCTTCTGGATTTTCTGTGAAAACATTTTGTAGTAACAGCAAATGAGCAAAAATTGTAATGTATGTTTCATGTTCATTAAGTCATAAAATTTCTAAAATCATTTTAAAAGCACAGATTTGATCTTCAACAAATCTCTACCTTTGGTGCCTTTTGTTAATTTTTAAATAACACATAAAAAGCTATGGATCAAATCCATCTAAAAAAATAGAAAATTAATTTTGTCATGCATAGAGAGAATTTAGACTGAATTCCTCAGCTCTAACCAATACAAAAATCTAATACCCTCTGAATAATTTTCAGATTTTTAATTTTACGGTTTCCAAGCAATTGTGTTTTTAACCAAAAAAAACCAACTTTTGTCAATTTCAGTTATTATTTTTGCCATTCTGCTACCCACGAACTAGGAATAAGCAAATCTGTTCACATTATAAATGAGATTTTACATTTTCATCTTAATATCATTATCATCTTTCAAATTACTTACCCATGATAAGTAAATCAGGAAATCAATGTCACACTATTTCAACTTATTTCTTAGATTGTTGATATCTTGAAATATGGTGAATTTACTTAGTGATATCACCTCTGCTTCAAATTACTACCTTATCCTACAGGAGGATGCAAAATCAAACAACATATTCCCCACTGTGAAAGATAAACACAAATGGTATCTGTAAATAAAAGTACTTTAGCAATAACCCTTCACAACCTCTTGTAGCTGGAGTGGCTGGTCCTTTTCCTCTTGCTGCCGGAGTCCCTCTAGCAGCTGGTGCTCCCCTGGCTGGAGCACCTCTCCCAGCTGGTGCGCCTCTAGCTGGAGCTCCTCTGCCTGCAGGAGTTGGTGCTGCTTTAGCTTTAGATGCCTCTACAGCTTTCTTCTTTTCCTCCTCCTGTTTAAGTCTTTCTTGCCACCATGTTTGTCCTGGAGATTTATAAAAATAACTTTTAAGTTAGAAGTGTTCCCAAAATTATAATACATGTTCAATATTGTGCTGTTGATACTTTAGAGTGAAAAAAATATCAATGATGTATTTCAGATATGTATTTTAAAATAATTTTTCAGATGATACAATCTAAAAAAATCTTTTAAGATATACAGTGGTTTAAAACAAGAGTGCACACACTGAAATGTCTCGCCTTCTTTACTAACCATTGATTTTATGTTGATAGTCCTAAATACAAAGCTTTACTACAAGTAACACATAAACTTAACATGATCCAAGAAAATGAGGTCAAGGTCAGATAAACCAAACGAGAAATACATGTACACCTTACAATCATTCAATAAACCAAACATAGTTGACCTATTGCTTATTGTTTCTAAGAAACAGTCTTAAACAAGAAAACTTAACATTGACCAATGAACCATGAAAATGAGGTCAAGGTCAGATGAACCATGCCAGACAGACATGTACACCTTACAATCAATTTAGGCATTAAATATAGTTGACCTATTGCTTATAGTATCTAAGAGACAAACTTAACCATGAAAACTTAACATTGACCAATGAACCATGAAAATGAGGTCAAGGTCAGATGATACCTGCCAGACAGACATTTACACCTTACAATCCTTCCATACATCAAATATAGTTGATCTATTGCTTATAGTTGAAGAAAAACAGACCAAAACACAAAAACTTAAAACTGAGAAATGAACCGTGAAAATGAGGTCAAGGTCAAATAAAACCTGTGAGACTGATATGTACATCATAAAATATTTCCATACACCATTTATAGTTGACCTATTGCATATAGTATTAGAAAAAAAGATTAAAACTCAAAAACTTAACTTTGACCACTGAACCATGAAACCTACCAGTTGGACATGTACACCTTACAATCATTCCATATACCAAATATAGTAGACATACTGCTTATAGTATCTGATATATGGACTTGACCACGAAAACTTAACCTTGTTCACTGATCCATGAAATGAGGTCGAGGTCAAATGAAAATTGTCTGACAGGCATGAGGACCTTGCAAGGTACGCACATACTAAATATAGTTATCCTATTACTCATAATAAGAAAGAAATTAACATTACAAAAAATGTTGACTTTTTTTTCAAGTAGTCACTGAACCTTGAAAATGAGGTCAAGGACAATGGACATATGACAGACGGAAACTTCGTAACATAAGGCATCTATATACAAAGTATGAAGCATCCAGGTCTTCCAGCTTCTAAAATATAAAGCTTTTAAGAAGTTAGCTAACGCCGCCGCCGCTGTCGGATCACTATCCCTATGTCGAGCTTTCTGCGACAAAAGTCACAGGCTCGACAAAAAAAACTACATGATTTTAGCTGTGTGTTTTGGTTACAATACATCTGGTCTGCAAGTAAATTATGCCTCTAGCCTATCCTTTCTAAGATGATAAATACATTGTCTGTGGCTTGTAGCATGTATTTTTTTTATAATTACACCTTATGTAAGAATCCTGGGTTTTGATTGGTTGATAGCCAGTGTATTTTTCACCAATTTACTTTTATCAAATGAATATCGTTCCTTTCTAAACAGCGCCGGGGTATATGCAAAAAGGATATGCCTTTTTTACCCTCTCTGTCGTGGTATTTGCCAAAAAATACTCTACCCGACTGGACGCTTGTAATGTCACGATCATCAATGCGTTTTATGTCACGATCATCAATGTGTTTTGTACGTTAACATTCGGTGTAATTAAACAGATATAGCATGTTCTTGACACTGGTTCTTTGGTAAAGCGCCCAACGTCCGAGTAAAAAGTGATAAAATATAAATTGCAGCAAAACTTGTAAATAAAGAACATGGAACATCCTCATAGTCTATTCTATTCAACATTTAAATTTCAGCATGTTATATTCATCCGTTAATTTGTAATGATCGAGACAGTTTAGATGAAAAATTGTCAAAAAAATACATTTAACGTCATTTTATTTCCTTTGACGTCGTTATCTGATAGCGTGATTTTCAATACCAACATTACTATAAACTTTGAAATCATTATTTTGACGGTGTTTTGTTATCTTTATTAATTCTCAAAAACTTTAATGACAGTGTGTGTTTTCTTGTGAGTTGAAATTAACACAAATTAAGGTGATACATCTTCCTGTGGACTGTTTCCTTGTACTCAGCGTGTTGGTCTTGTACAAAGCAGAATAAATATTAATATCGTATTAACATGCTTTCGACCCGAATATGCATATAAATCGCTGCTGATTGCTCCTCCTCCTCACCCTCCTACTCCTCCACCTCACCATCATCATCATCATCTAGTTTGCCAATCTGTGTTACCATGAATTATCATTAATGTGGTCATATTTATAAATATTTTCAAAATGCACAAGAATGGCGTATAATGCATTCATCCCTTGCTTTGAATAGTTTGAATAACTAAAAATTTTCTTTTGTAGACGAAACACAACCCTTGGATCTTTGATAGGTTACTTCCCTTGATATTCAATAATACTTTTTTCCTTGGTATTGGAAATTTGAAATGTTAATATAGGAGAGTGACGAGACGTGTTTATATAAGATCAAAGGATTAAATGAATCACTTTTTTGATAATGTTTAAAGTTATTATAATAATGCAATTTTAGAGGAGAAATGATTGATTGATTGTTGTTTTCTGAACGTACAGTGGCAAATATTTCATGCAGAATTATGACCGAGAGAAGAATTTTCAAACAATAAATAAGATGTTGCATACGTTGTCGTTAAAAAAGAATTTAAAAAACACCAACTCCAATAAAAATAAACAAAACCATGACGAGAGAGAGAGAGAGACGACAAAAACAAAAACAAACAGCTAAAAATAAAATTTAAAAACATTTTCCATAGATTTTTTATTCATAGTAGGCAACTCTCTTTGTTGGTTGGTTGTAGCATATTAATCTCACCGACTTTAATTTTAAAAGAGACCACTAAAAACGACCAACCAAACAGCTTCTCCTTGTAGATACTCTTATACTAGTAGTATTATGATTTGATTTGTTTTTTGGTGTTTTTTGATATTCAGATATTAATCAAAATTGATAAATGGTATCATTTGTGCAGTACAGTGACAGATTGAAAAAAGGGGTTGGGGTACGGGGTAGTGTCGTCATACGTATGTCGTTGATACAGACAAGAAGATTTATCATGTCAATATTATGATACAACAGGAAATTTTCATATGCAGGATCTGAACACAAGAATTTTACAGAATAATCATATTTCTTACTGAATAGAGAAAAATGGCCTAAAGAATTACAGAATACAGAAATGTAGACCCCCTCCCCTAATCCAGACCGTCATATATATTATATTGTGACGGATAGTTTTGTTGATCTATTTAACTGTTTTAATTTGCGAAAAGAATATTTGTACAAGGTGTTGTTAATAAATTTAATGGACAATATATACCATGCCCTCTCAGCCGACGTCGTAATTTCATTTAGATGAAAGAAAGTATTTAAAAGCTTGTTTCCCTGTGCAACATGATATAAAACTCATTAGGCAGAGCAATTTTAATGGCTACTTGCATAATTGTTAAATCGTATTAAATTCGGTATCAAATTTATACTAATAAGAAACGTTACATATCTTAAATATTGAAAACAGGTTAAAATTATTTACTTGCATTAATATTGATATTTATCATAATTTATATTTAGTAGTAAATACAGAAGTTTTGAATATTTGATAAATAGCCTGCTGTTTAATCCGTATCGCTCAACTTTGATGCGCACCCATTACCACACCCTTTATCGCACCCCTATTCGGATTTCTCATTTATGACAGTAGTGATTCCGACTAAATTTACATGAAGTCCCATGTTTGTTAAACTAGATTTTTATATTTCAAAAGTGCACATTTTACTCACCAGTCTCAAAGTAGTCTCTTGTTTATTACAGTTTACTTGTTATTAAATTGTTGGTTTATTGTTGCTATTTTTTAAATTAACAGGTTTTATTCAGAATGTGTTTTATATAGTACAACATTACTAAAGGAGGATAAAAAGAACTGAATGAACTACCATACAAAACACAAACAAACAAAAAATACAATAAGCAAAATATTTCTATGGACAACAGCACCTAAATTGTAAGGTAACCCAATAAGCAGTTCCTATATATGATAAAACTTTTAAAACATGGCAAAAATAAATAAATCTGAAGGTAACCCAGGTGCTTTAGATCAGTAAGCAGTTCTTATATACTCTCCTGTTTAAATCTGTGATAAAGCGTATACATGGCAAAATCCGTATCACATGCCGTATCATCCCTCGGACTGATATTGGTATCTCGGTTTTTTTCTAGGTCTGAGAAAAATGCAACTGTGTTACACTTTAACAATTGATTAATAAAAATTGTCACATGGTGTCTTCTTATGTCGATAATTACAATGTATGTTATTGATCTGTAAGTTATATATTCGCCATCCTTAATAATTATCTAATATGTTTATTTGGCATGCCATACTCGATAGAAGTGCTGACGTGATAGAAAGCACTCTTTACCAAAACGTCAATGGAGATTACATTCCACGGAGGTTACATTTCGATGATTTCGTCATTTATAAAACATAATACGTGTATCTGAAGATAGAAGTTGTACTAAAATTAAATGTTGACACCGATATAGATCTGTTGGATGTAAATTTATTTTCAAAATAGGTGTTTGTTTAGAATAGACCATTCCAAGGAGATTACATGCTTAACAAATCTCTGCAGTTTTCAACTTTGCTTAGTTTTTCAGACTGATATGATTTGGAATGAATGACCATATTTATAAACAAAATTATTTATGGTAACCTTATAATCAAATTTAACTCATATCACACTCAATGTTGTGCTTAATATTTTGTCCTGCTTGGTCTTTTTTCCGTTAACGGAAATTACAGGTTTACGAAAAAATTATTTTGACGGCCGTACCGATCACTTTAGTTGTGCAACATGTACTAAACTTTATAAAAATTAAAAATATAGATAATAAAGAAATATAAAAATCTCAGATATAAGTATAACAAGCTACGGGTATATATAACTCGAAGTCGTTAGTTTTGTTTTCTTACGCTGGGACAAATTAATGTCATAAAATGGGCGCTTTAACGGAGAGCCAGTGTTGAGGGGTATTTGCGAAAAATACGAGTCTTGAAAATGAATTTCCCTCGCCTTACAGCTCGCGAAATTTAACATTCTCTTGACTGGTATTTTTCGCAAATACCCCTCCTTAACATGATATATCTGTTCATAGTTCTTTACATCAGGCTTTGGAAGACAATATTTATTTTCAATCTAAGAGCTTAAATAGGTGCATAATTAAGGAAGAAAACTTCGCTCTAGGAAATGTAATTCAATACACAAGAAACAACAAAATGCTCTCTTGTTCATACACAAAAACCCATAAATTAACTAAGAAAATAAAGCAATTACAAACCCACTAATTTTTCAACAGCATTTCCAGATGTAGGTTTGCCTTCCAATTCAATGCTTGATTCATATGAAGATTTACAGTCCTTTAAAATCTGTTGTGATTTATCTCCTGGTGGACAATTCTCATACTGAGCAAATTGTGACAGGCCAAGCAAATACAGTGAATGTCCATTACATGGCTGTATCTGTACTAACTTCTGACAGGTCTAAAAATATACCGGTTTACATTTATACAATAGAAGTACTAACTTCTGACAGGCCTAAAAATATATCGGTTTACATGTATACAATAGAAGAGTCTGTCATCAACTGCTTTCTAAGCCTATCAGCAACAAATATTTCAGGGTTTACATATTTTAATACATGTAAATGTAAATATTTTCTGATAGAAATATTGTTTAAATTTCAATATGGTAAAATTCTTCTTTGCATTATCATTTCTTTTAAAAAAATCAATTTAAGATGGCAGTTATCCGAATAATAATTTCTAGCAATTTAAACTTTGTATTTATTCAGAAAAATTTCCCTAATGGAGTCATATGAATATTTTAAAATTACGGTGCAGTCCTGTGTATCCACGCACTTAAGACTTTTGGCTTCACTTTGGTAATCTCATAAAACCAATAATCAGATAATATTGTGTGAACAAATTCATGACATACTTTAATTTTATGGAATCTTCTTTATGTATGGTTTCACCCTTAAGATTTTATGTAATGTGTGTCCAAAATTACCCTGTTTTGTCAGTTCTTCAAATGTCCGGTGATTTTGTGCATGCCTTCTAAAAATAGCTAATTTTGAATACAGAAAGATTTTATTCTAGGAAATATAGTTCACTTTGAACCAAACAGACTTCCAAGGATGCGGAGCAAAATTTATTTCATCTTGATAAAAATTTGACTTAAAATGAAACCAATTTCATCTGATGATGTAATTTTTTTTTTATGGAAAATGGCTAAATATGGTCAATCATGGGATTGCAATTATAAATTTGTGCTTGAACTTATCAATTTTATTCTTTTTTGACACTTCAGAAAACCAAAACAATTACAAGAACGATTCTAAATGTGTTATATTGCGGATATGACGAAATCAGGTAATGCGCGATATCACCGGCTGTGCGGACACAGGGCATTCCACTGTATAAGGTTATTATTGGCTTGAGAAAAAAACATCTGGAAAACGAAACATTTTCTACTTCTTTGAGGAAAAAATCTTCTTGAACCTACCTTTTCTTGTAATGTCAATAATTGTTCATTCATAGGCAGTGTAGAGTGGAATATAAGAGATGACAATCTCTGACATCTTTGTGTGATCAGTTTCTCATTCCCGCCATTCTTCATCAGAATTTCTAACAATGTGGCATGTGATTCTAGTAATACCCATTCAAACTGTTTATATGCATCACCTTTGGAAATATTTGGTAAGACTTGAGCTGCCAGTAATGCTGCTCTGTAATGACATAATACACGGTAGTATGTTTAACTCAATGCCTTCATCAAAATCAAGCAATATTCAAAGAAATAAAAAAATAGTCTTTGGTATTGTGAAATTGAATCAATGCTGTAGTGTAATACATTTGAATTTTTCAACTACCATGCTAAAATTTAAGTGAGTATTGTTTCTAAGAAACAAATCAGAATAAAGCTGTTTAAGTCTAGAATCCCTTTGAAAATGCATAGACATAGTAATAGAAGTCATCTCAAGTTGGAGCTTATTTCACTAATTTTTTTTTTCAAAGAACAAAGATTATTATAAAGTACGTTTCACTCAATCTTTAGCTTTCTGTATAATATTCTTGTGAAATGTTATTTGCCATTCTTTACATAGGGAATTTTGTCTGTCTTTTTTTTTATCATTTTTTTTTAATGTGCTTTGCATTTAAATTTATCATAATTTATGCTCCCAGTATGGAATTCACCTGTTTTAATTCATCTAAAATGTCATGTTAAAAATCTTAAAAACAAAACAAAAATCCTTTTACTTTTCATTCATAAAAACAGTTTTCAGGTAATGAATTCAGTGGCTGTTTTCACTAAAAAAGTTCTAATTTGTAGGAATGCAATACATACATATGAAGAACATCTTTTCCTGAGATACATTCCTTAATGTCTGCATTCTGTATAAGAAGACGTCCGAGTTGTACAATACCTCTAAGTAAATGCACATTATTAGATCTGACTAGATTGTCTGAATGCAATTCTGGAGTTATCTCCCTGTAAAATCAATGTGTATTTTAAATCTGATGTCTCTGAAAGTAAATCAAGAGTAATCTGCCTGTAAACCAATATACAACTATAAGATCTGATAGGATCCAGCAAAAAAACAAATAAACTATAGAGGTTCTGTGAGCAAAGCTCATAAAATGATACCCCTAGACCCCACACACAGCAAAAACATAGACTAGGATTTGCTGAGGAAAACAACTACAGTTTTTCAGATCAAAAGACAATCTGGATCAGCACATTAACATTATATGATTTCAGATTCTTAGAAAATTTCAATAAATCTTTATAAGATGTATAGAGGGAGTTGAGGATATAAAGAAATGTAAAAAGGGGTACAAAAGTACATGTGAGAAAGACTGGAAGTTTTACAGGATTCTGTCTAGCAGTTCATGAGCAAAAAGGGATAATTGGGATGAATGTATGTATAACCCTACAACGAAATACAACCTTCTTTCAGAAACAGGGGGTATAATTATTATATATGTCAAATGGTATTCAGATTCAGGAATTATCTCCCTGTAAAACAAGGTACATTATTAGATCTGATTAAGTTGGTGAATGCTATTTGTGAGTTAACTCCTTGTAAAACACTACGAACATTGTTAGATCTCATTAGATTATTCTTTTATTGTTAAGTTTATGTTTTTTTTTTAAATATGATCATATTCTAATGTCATACCAATTAGTGGGACATAAAATTTGAGTCATTCTTTGATACTTTATTTTCCTAATCATTTAACCTTCTCCCAGTCTTTAGACATTCACATGGAATTGCACATGATCTAACTTTTTCAATAGTTTGGTGTTTACCTTGGGTCCCTATCTGTCATAGCAAACTTAGTATTCTGTGTCAGTAAAGTTTCCATGGCCTCCAACAAGTAACTAACAGCTTCTTTAACTCTTGCTCCTGGACCTTCTTTTTGTAATGCTAAAGCTAATCCCAAATAAAATCTGGAATAATAATATATACATAATTAAAGAGCTACTAAACCAGCAAGTAAATTTTTCATTTTTTAAGGTACATATACGAAAAATAAAGTTCACTGAAATGAACATGTTTAGTTAATTTTTGAAGGCCATAAGGTCTTCGATGGGTAGTTGTCTCATTGAAAATCATAACACATATCATTATTTTATGCTGTCTGTTTTGAGGTGAGGTAATTATGGAGAAAAGTGTGTTAAACAATTAAAGTTCATACAACATTAGGAAAAATTAATTAATCTTTTTAGAATCTGCAAACAGGAAGAAGGTATCTGAGAGATCCAAAAAGTGCTCACACATTACAGCTCATCATTGTCAAGGTGCTAACCAAATATGATGTCATTCTGTTTTATAGTGGTTTCTGACAAAATGTTTGTTGGACAAACAGACAAACAAGGTGATTACAATATAGCCCCCATTTCTATAGACCCTTAAATGGACAGTGGTTCCATATAACTTGCCTGACCTGTAATTGCACCATAAATCAACAATACAAAAACTTACAAAGAATATTTAGCTACTGGTACTCATAACATATTTTATACAAAAAAATCAGTTTTTTTACTATTAGGAAGGCTAAAAAGTTTTTTTTTATGGAATCATCTTACTATGGTCATTATGGTCAAAATCAACTAGATCAAAAGTTTCGGAAATCTACAACTAGTAACTAAACAATCAATAAATAAATACCACTACAATATCTCTAAGAATGGTTGAAAATAAACAGAAAAGTGTAATTTTCATAAAATTTTGAAATCTAAATTGTCATTTAACTGCAGTCTTTCAAGGAAAATCCATGAAAAGGATATAAACAAATCTAAGTAGCTATCTACCTGCAACTATAAAACAAAGTTAGGTTTTGTGACCAATGCTTTAAAAATCATTAGCCTGGCATATATTTAAAAGTTATAACACAATCAATGCTTAAGTTCTAAATTTCACTTTTTTATTGCTGCACAGATGACTTCCAGAAAATTTATTAAAATCCCATCATTAATTTGGTTGATTGATTTGTTTTTTGAAAAGATATGAAAAATACTGTTAATTCCTACATATAAACCAACCTTGAGGACCAGAACTGTGTTAAGACTGACTTTAATAGTGTGGTGATGGACCAAACAATCTTTGCTTAACAATCAATTTTTGACTTTGACATCAACTGTTTTGTGTTTGGATGCTTAAACTAGGGGAAAACATTTAATTTTCTTTTATGGTTGACAAACTTGAAATTGGTGTAATTTCCAATTACAAACCTTCCCATTTGGTAATTAGGATTCCAATTCAATGTCACCTCTAATCTCTTTGCAGCATCACTAAAATTACCCTGTATCACTAAGAGACGACCAACATGGAAATTAAACACTGCTTTTGCTTCATCTATTACTAATGCATCCATGTATTTCAAATAAGCTTGTCCAAGGGGATTCTCTTCATCTGTGGCCTTTTGTGCTGCCATCCCTTCCTAAAAAATATGTCATTTATAGGAAAATCACGACTAAAACTTTTCACAGAAAATTTTTGTTTTACTTGTTTCCCAAATCAAGGTTTTACCTTGCTCCCCAAGTAATTTATGTGGCATAGTAATTTGCTGGGAATGAGATGCACTAATACTGAAGCAACTTTATCCCAAATATTATTGACAAACCAAGATAGTTTTTTAAATATAAATTTTAGTAAGAAATTGATTCATTAGTTTGATCAGAACCAGCACACTACTAGAAATGATCAGCATTCAAATCATTCTTTGGTTTTATATCTACTTATTTTCCATTTTTTTTCTGAAGTTTACTGAGTTAAGGTTTTCAAAAACAGATGGGTTTAATTCTTTTTAATCTAATACAATAATATATCAGTGAAATATTTCTACAAACCTGAGATGCTTGCTTTGATTTCCATGCAAATAAACCCATAACACGATCTGCCTGGACACTCTGACCATTTTCCAACAGATGATGATATTCCTGATCAATAGCTTTCAGTTGTAGAGCAATCGGTGCCGCTGCAGCATCAACACCTCTCAGTTTACAGATAGCTGCACATTCCTCATCTCTTGAGCTCTCCTTGGCATCAAGATTTAATGAAGGTAGAGCTTCATGCTCCTGTAATAGAAAATTGTTACTGATTTAAAATTAACACCTGTCTCATGATTCTTGTATATTAAACAATATACATTTGTACATAATAGTTTGTATCACCTATCTGGTATTCTCCAATGGAACATTTATAATACACATGAACTTGACCCAATGTTTATATTACTTAGATCTTCTTGCAACAAGTCAGATATTATTTTCTTTCATTATAAGATATTTGAAAAAAATAAGCAACTCAGATCAAATTTCTCATTCAAAGGACTAAATCATGTTATCTTATAAATTTGTTCACAGGTTGACTTTTTATTTTAGCTGCCATTACTTTTATAAACAGATCATATTGAAATCAATATAAATGTGACTAGTGAGTTGCAATGCAATATTCATAAACATGGAATATTTCCACTGTAGAATCAAAAACACTATCGAAGTACTACTACTTTATAAGCAACATTTAGACAACCATATTTGTTTTTCTTGATAATTATTTCTTTGGCTGATAGGAGCTACCAATCACAAGAAATTTGTCTTTTTATGAAACCATATTATAGAAATCCGGAATGAATTCATTCATACCTCTTTTTTCTGACCAAATAAATCTTCACAATAGTATTTTTCTTCTAATATCTTTCCTAACTGTAAATGTAGATTAGGATCCTTAGGTTTTAACTTAATAGCGGATGCAAAGCAGTGAGAAGCTCTCTGTAGATAATCTAGTGGAGTACAACCATCATCATACTGTTTAGACTCACCTAAAGTACAAAATTATTATACTAGAACAATGTTGACAAAAAATGTAATTTTCTTCAATTGTAAATTCAATATCTACAATTATCTTTCAAAATCATCAAAACACATATTCATATTCCATTGTGGATTTTTTTCATTTTGAGTACCAACATCATGAAAAGGAGAGACCAGTAATATTGCCCATTCAAGTTTGCAACACTTATTTTTAACCATGTTACTTAGAATTGCGGTCTTTCAAGTTAAATGTCAAGTTCTCCCCAGATCTGGTTCAAATATTTTGAATATGTTTTGCCATTTGATCTATTTTATGTTAAAAGTATGAATGAATCCACTATTTCAAATTTACACTATTAGCCTAGTCAATTTAGCTCTAAAATCACTCAACCTGCAACTAATTGCAACACAAGGTTTTTTTAGTGCAAATTATAATATAGACTTGAACTAACAACATATTAAAAATATACATTGATAAAATTTGAGGAAAAGTTTATTTTTGGGTGAAATATGTGGTTTTTAGAGAAAAAATGCTGAAAACTGGAAAAGAAGAAAAATTGTTATTTATGGTTACATTTTTAGACCTAAAGCTTGTTGGAGACAGGAAACCTTATCTTAATAGAGTATTATGTAGTCCTCTAGTTTTTGTTATTCATATTGAAGTAATTTTGAGGTGAAATGAGTGATTTTTAGTGAAAAAACGCTGAAAAGTGAAAACGTAGAAACTCTCCGTTGTTAATGGTTAATATTTTTGAAATTTTATCTATATAGAAAAAAGAACACACTATTTTATGTTTATTTTGTGAAGTCCTTTAGTTATCAATATTAATATTTGGGTAATTTTGGTTGAATATATGTTTTAAGAGAGAAAAACTCGGAAAACTGGAAATGAAAAAATCTCGGTTATTGATGGTTAAAACTTTCGAATTGGGATCTAAATAGAAAATAGAAATTACTATCTGATGTTTATCGTAAGAAGTCCTATAGTTATTAGTATTCAAAAAAATTGTAATTCTTGGGTAAAATGTAATTTTTAGAGAAAAAATTTAAAATTGTGAAAAATGGAAATAAAAAACTTGATTATTCATGGTTAAAACTTTTAACATAGGATCTTTATAGAAGACAGACTATATTATCTTATGTTTATATACATATGTATTCCTCTTGTTATCAATAGTAATCTATTTGTTGTGTTAAATATTTGGTTTTACAAACTTATTACAAAACAAGAATGTGTCCATAGTACACGGATGCCCCACCCGCACTATCATTTTCTAAGATCAGTGGACTGTGAAATTTGGGGTCAAAACTCTAATTGGGCATTAAAATTAAAAAAGATAATATCATAGGGAACATGTGTACTAAGTTTGAAGTTGATTGGACTTCAACTTCATCAAAAACTACCTTGACCAAAAACTTTAACCGGAAGTGGGACAGACGGACGAACAGACGAACGAACGGACGAACGAACAGACGGATGCACAGACCAAAAAACATAATGCCCCTAAGTGAGGGGCATAAAAAAGGAAAATTTTAAAATCTTGGTTATTTCTAGATTGATTTTTAAAAACGTAAAATGGAGAATGGAAACAGGGAATGTGTGAAAGAGAAAACAAGGCCACTAATGGGTCTTTAACATAGCGAGTAAATCCGGCACACGGAGGTGGGCTTCAGCTGACCCCTGATTTTTTTTGTACACTAGTTCAGCGAAATGGACACCACTCTAAACTCCAATACATACAAATGAACCAAAATTATTAAAAAAAACACACAAGACAAACAAAGGCTAGAGGTTCCTTACTTGGGATAGGTGCAGTAATGTGGCGGGGTAAAACATGTTGTGTGAGAACTCAACCCTCCCCTAGTTTCTGTAGACAATGTAGAATAAACAAACACACAGTAAAACTCAGTTTTAAAGAAGGACATTTTGTGGAAGTTTGAAATTTTATCTTATGTTTCTGTTATGTATTTATAGTAATTATACGTGTAGGTATAATAAACAAAAAATGATTGTGTTCAAAAATAACTGTAAATCAGTTTGGTTACTGACTTTGATTTTGTTGTGTTAATTGCTGGAAGAGTTATTGACTGTGGTCCTTTTTTTGTATTTTTCATAAGCTACTTTTACAACATTTGAATTGCATAAAGTCACAGTTAAACATAGAAGATGTGATTGTAGATTTCTCTTAATGTGTTGCTAATTTTATTTAGCAAGCTGTATCAATATCCACGTTTAATTTCAGATATATACGCTTTTTAAATTTGGGTACATATACTAGTTCACTGAATTAGCATGAAATGTAGATCCGATACTGTTTTAAGGCAATTTCAAGGGAAGCTTTGTCAATACGATTATAAGTTTACCTAAAGAGATTGAATTCAAAAAGTCATTGTACCAAAGTGGTCCAATTTTGGATGTTGAAAATGAGATAAGCATTATATTTTTAGTAAGGTACACAGTACTTTAAATATATGCATGGAGATAAGACTGATGCCAGAAAATGAATGAACATACCCATACAGCTGTCTGATAACACCTTCAAATAGTCATACTATACTAACCTGGTTTAGGTAAACTTTTAAAATATTCCTGAATATACTCTTCACCAGCTTTCTTAAGATCTTCAAGATCATCAAAACATTGCTGCATTTGTTTCTCCCATTTACGAACCTAAATAATAATTTTCAAGTTTTAAAATAGTCAAATGTGCTTTAACTCAACTGTTTGAGAAGTATTGCTTTTTGTGACTGTTACTACTAATACTAGTTTTTAGAAATATTTGGGTTTTTATCAGTTTCAAAAAAAGAATGATACCATTTTCCTAGCATCTGTTTTCAAGAGGCAAAATTTCTTTCAAACAATTATTGATACTTTCAAACCTACATATATTTTTTCGGTCATACTTTAACTGTAAGTAGATTTCATTTCAAGATATACTAAAAAGTACTCTGTATAAACAGAATTTTTAAAAGTGATCGAACATTTCCGCTTACACTTTTCGGTATCATCTATCCAAATAATAATTAACCTTTTTGCTATTTATTCACAAGTAAAAGGCCATTTGTAGAAATTGAAAATGAATACATATTTCTTACGAACAAAATGCCATAATACATGCACTAAAACCCAACTAGAGGTACTCTAAGGAAAGTGCACAAACTGATACCCCCACACCAACATAAAGCAAAGTCCATGATTTACAAAGGGAAACCATTAATGGGGGCCAAAAAATTAAACAGGAGGTCCACAATGGTATAAAATTCTGAAAAAGTTCTTATAAGTTCTTAAAAAAAAGGGGGTTTAGGAAGAGTTGCAGGTACAAAATAGGTATCCCACAAATACAGCAATGAAAAAGTACATGATTTGCTTAACTAAACCCAAAAAATAATTTTGAGAAAGTGTCACTAAATTCTTATATAAAGGTTAGGAGCAGTTATGGATACAAAATTGGTATCTTCCAGATAAAGGAATGGCAAAGTTCAAAAATCTATGTACTTTTAATATGCAACACTGTTGATGAGTTAATTGCTCCCAATTTATTTTTCTTTAGAACCCCACATGTAAATAGGTTATTTCTGCTGTATTCTTTATTTATAATTACCTGAACAGTATGATTAAGAGGAGCTGTCACATCCTTGAATTTGTCTTTTACATCCTAAAAAATATGCAAGTTTATAAATATTCTGTGAATTTTACCCTGATTTTATGGATATTACTTGTTTTGTGATTAGTGAGACAGTTGCTTTTTTGAGGAAAACATATGATTTGATAAATAAATAGAACATGAAACTGCAATCCATAATATATGAGGGATTGTAAATACAAAAAAAAAAATACAAATAGGATTCTCTTCAATAAAGTCCATTCTATGGCCTATAAAATGTGTGAAAAAAATAAAAGCTATTAAATAGCTTGAATTCAAATGTCAAACTGCAAAGAAAAAATGTCTGTTCATTCATGCCAATGCTATAGTGAAAATAAACCTTTCAAAAGTTACACAGTTTTGGAAAAAAAAATTAACAAAAACTTGAAATGATTTTTAGTATTTTTTTTTCATTAAAGTCATATGATACTTCAAATTTTTTTAAAAGTTGAATATGATTTATATACTTGAATGGCTAAGTTTTACTTTAAAACATGTGTACATGACAAACCGTGATGAAAGACAAGGTAAACAAACGTGAAAGTTCAATTCTGAAAGAAAAATTTTAATACACCAAATCATTTAACAACTGTTATGACAAAGTTTAATTATCAAATAGAAACTCATGGAAAATATAAAAAACATTGATCTATTGCATGTCTATCAACTCACTTATTTTTCACGTGCTCCATGATTTATGTGTTGAATTTTTATTAAGGTCTTGTTAAGTAAACTTAGACAATAAAAAACGAAAGCTAAGCAGGCAAACTTTTCACTAAATGAAATATTTATTGTCGATGTTGTGGATTTGTAATAGATGTAAAAATTTGAACAAAGAGGACTTAGTTTAGAATATATATATACATACATTGGTTCAATAATTTCCTTATCATTATAATTTCTAAAAAATTATTTCATATAACCTTAATACAAGATTTAAAAAGTACAGGAGAACTGAATATTCATAAAAACATAATATATCATTTCAAGCAGATTACTTTGATATTGTTATGAGTCATGGATTGATACACCAAAATGCTATATCAAAGGTCATAATTAGTTCAATATGAACTGAATCTTCAGTCTGAATGCTTATAAAAAGACATAAAAAACTTACTAATGCTTTTGGTGCAACATTAGTTTTATCGATAATACTTCCTAATTCTGAATATTTCTTTGTTTCACTAGTTCCTGTAGAAAAAAGAGAAATAGAGTTTTAAATTTTAAAGATATCTTCTGCCTATAATAGTAATAATAAATTATACCTTGTGTAAATTTCTAAGATAATAAGTTAATGAGGATGGGTTCTTTTTCTCATAAATTCATCATATCTGTCTTCATGTTAAGAATAGTAAGCTTATCTAGTATTACATATAGCATTTTTGATTAATTTAAAAGATTGAGATTTCCATAAGTATAATGTTTTGTGCTAACAAATTTATGTCATGATCTGGGCAAGAAAAAGTGTCTGTAAAATTTATTCACAGCTTTTCTAAACCTGGGAATATTTAGAGAATTACACCTGTCAATTGTAGAGGACTGTCATTTAAACCTCCAAATGTCTTTTGTTTTTTGTTATGTGGTTGGATTGCTGTCTTATTGACCCATACCTTTTATCTAATTTTATTCATAATACAAAAATGTATCCCTTACTGCAAATTTAATTTTTTATTCATCAGTAATATGGACACAATAGTACCTTTATATGACCTAAAATGTCTTTGTAAAATAAAACTGAAAGTTGACAATTTCCAAAAAAAAGGACAATCCTTGTGTGGATTTTGATATTTTTGTCAATTCTTTTTTTTTTAAAACATGGCAAATTCAAAAATGTATTTTCTAAACTATCCAAGAATTATCTTTCATGGTTATTTTGCATCTGAATGATACAAGAGTAGATAAAGTAATTAAAAAATTGGGATTAGCATGATTAGTATTAGAGTTTTCAAATGACACTTTACAACTCTGCTTTTTGACACATTTCATTGAAAACTCTAATACTAATCCCAATTTTTTATTAATTTATTTACTCTTGTAGCTATACATAACAAATTCTTTAATGAAATATATTTACACTAAAACTCTAATAATTTATTGGCTAAAAATTGAATATTTTGCATATACACTTGTGGTTAAAGCATTGCTTCATAAATACATGTACAAAATGAATAGGAAATTGTAGCTATTGGTTGTACAATTTCTTAAATACTTTTTTTTAAATTACTTAATAAATTAATGCTGAATACCTCCATATGTAAGAGGAATACAAGACTGAGCATTTGCCATTTTCTTATCAAGTTCATAATCCACAATTCTCCATTCTCCAGTCAATGGTATTCCACTAAGAGGGTCAATTTTAGATGTACGAGTACATGCATCAATATTTGGTGCTGAATATGTATGTTTTTCGTCATTGGCTTTGATAGATATAGGTCTGTATATTGGACTCAGTGATATTGGACATTCATATTGCTGTGCTAAATTATCATCTGTTATCTTGACATATCTGGGTAGTGGCTTCCGTATAATATCTAAACTGTAAGTCTGTGAGGAAAGAAATTATTATAAAAATAAATGATACATACTATTAGTAACACAGTGCACTAGTGACCTAATACAATATACTAGTATATGGGGTTAGTAAATTCCATATGGAGTGAGAGCGAATGTACACAGTGTGCTAGTGATCTAATATTATATATTTGGGGTCAGTAAATTCCATATGGGGTGAGAGCGAAGCTAAAACACTGTGTAACGAATTTATCTTACCGACTATCTTAACATGCAGCATTAAGACTAGTGGAATGTGTAAGAGGTAAGATTAATAACAATATCAATGCATCAAATTTGATTTTTGAATTAGGCATGTATGTTAAGTGTTTTTGCAAGGTATAATTTTGTGGACTACAAATCATATATGGCATAGACAACAGCAACTGACACAAATCATGGAATGGCCATTATTCCTAAATATAGGAAGTGGTAAAACTTTCGCTAAAACATAATGCTTTATATTGATCAAATTAATTGTTGTTTTCTGATTGACTCCTAAGCTAAATAAAACACTCGGCAAATGATAATATTAATAATTCAAAGTACATGTATTAAAACAAAATTCAAAAACATTTGGTATTTCAAATTTCTTCATAAATAACAAAATGATTCATTAATTTTAGAACATATTAACATATAAGGTTCAAAGTTTTCTTTCTATTCTTCTGCACATTTCTTGCAAGTTTTAGAAAGGAAGCTATCTATGAAATATTTGTCAATGGTTTCCGATAGAATTTGAATATACCTGTTTATTAGATCCATCAGCTGATGTAACTTCTATCTTGACATTTGTCTCCCCTACATTAAGAGGTGTAGATGTCCCTGGTTTTTCTCCACACAAAAGAATTGCATTTTTAGGATCAGGTGCAACTGGTGTTACTGTCACCTTGTCTGAATTGCAGGGTAATAAACCTAAAGTATTCAATAAATAAAGAAATAACTTATTGATCAGTGTCAAAATACTTGCAGAAAAATAAGACATCATACGTTCTTTTTTCAATTTAGAGTAAAGATCCTGAAGCTTGAACCTCAATTCAAAGTTATAACAATATATTAAGACTGTTTCTAAACTTAGTCAATAGATACGTTAGGAGAAATTACAATATCAGAATGTATGGTATACTTGCAAATGATGTATATCTGGAGATTGACAAGTGGGCCTCCAAATGATGTATATCTGGAGATTGACAAGTGGGCCTCCAAATGATGTATATCTGGAGATTGACAAGTGGGCCTCCAAATGACATCCATTTTCTATTTATTTTCATGGTAAGAATGTTAACTTCCTTCTGATCATTTTATGACATCCCCTTTAACAGGGCTGCCAAGTCTCACGCATTTAGCGTGAGACTCACGCATTTTCATACTTATTTGGCGGCATTTGCCTTTGATCTATTGTTTTTTCTCTTTGATCTTTACGATTTTGGCCAAATCTCACGCATTTGCATTATTAAAAGTTGGCAGAACTGCTTGAATACATCAATACTTGTTTATTTGAATAATTTGATATTGGAGAGTAAAATAATAAAAAAACAAAAAACAGGAGAGACAAAAACCATAAAGATCTTGGAGGTCCAAAACAATCAAAACAGGATGTCAATAGGCCATAGGAGCTGTCTGCCAATAAGTTTAATCATGAAAAAATGTATTGGATAATAATCCTATTTTTTTATTTATGAACATTTTCAATATTTTCCAGCAAATCATAATATCAGATTTTAATACTTTACTTACAAGAATATTCAAATACATTGTCAGAGAATTCTGGTGATAAGTCGCCATCTGATAACTTTAGATCACTCAACGTAGCATCTTTTGCTGATAATCTTTTAGCATGTATAAAATAATTCTTTATGGTACAATCTTCAGAAGTGACTTCTATCTTAATGTCAGTGATTTGACCTTCTTTTAGAGGAACATCCTTGCCACCATCACTTCCCTATCAGCAAATCAATAGCAAAATTAACAGTTGCTGTGCCATTGAGGTGTCAAAATATTTATTTTTTAATTGCAAGGCAGTAAAAATCTTAATAATGGAATTAAAGTCAGAAAATATTGTTTTTTTCAAACATTGGTACATTTTTGTAAGAATAATATGGATTCACTGATCTACTTTCTAATGATGAAGGTAAATCCAGAAAAGCGCTTCAGACGCATGAAATTAATAACGTGTTGTTTTCATTTTTCTAAAACATAAGGCAAATAATTTTGTTTACACAATCTTTACACTAAGGCAATAGATCAAATCATGATTTTGGCACTGTTCATGAAGTGCTGTATGTTATCTGCAGATTAAGTACAATGAGTTAAGTTTTAAGTAATTATAACATTCATTCATACAATATCCTTTAGATCTTATTTAATTTGTAACGTGTTTTGTCATCTGTGTAACTGTGTTTTTGTCGTCTCTGTAACTGTGTTTTTGTCATCTGTGAAACTGTGTTTTTGTCATCTGTGTAACTGTATTTTTGTAATCCATGTAACTAAGTTTTTGTTATCTGTGTAACCGTGTTCTCATCTGTGTATCTGATTTTGTCATCTGTGTTACTGTTTATGTCATCTATGTAATTGTGTTTTTGTCATCTGTGTAACTGTTTTTGTCATCTGTGAAACTATGATTTGTCATCTGTGTAACTGTTTTTGTCATCTGAGAAACTATGGTTTTGTCATATCTGTAACTGTTTTTGTCATCTGCGTATCTGTTTTTGTCATCTGTGTTACTGTGTTTTTGTCATCTGTGTAACTGTTTTATTGTCATCTGTGTAACTGTTTTTGTCATCTTTCTAACCGTGTTTTTGTCATCTGTGTAACTGTTTATGTCACCTGTGTATCTGTGTTTTTTGTCATGTGTGTAACTGTGTTTCTGTCATCTATGTAACTGTTTTTGTCATTTGTGTAAATGTGTTTTTGTCATTTGTGTGACTGTGTTTTTGTCATCTGTGTAACTATGTTTTTGTAATCTGTGTTACTGTTTTTTGCCATCTGTGTAACTATGTTTTTGTCATCTGTGTATCTATGTTTTTGTCATCTGTGTAACTGTTTTTGTCATCTGTGTTACTGTTTTCGTCATCTGTGTATCTATGTTTTTGTCATCTGTGTAACTTTGTTTTGTCATCTGTGTAATTGTGTTTAGTCATCTGTGTAACTGTGTTTTGTCATCTGTGTAACTGTGTTTTTGTCAGCGTTTGTCATCTTTGTAACTGTGTTTTTGTCATCTGTTTATCTGTTTTTTGTCATCTGTGTAACTGTGTTTTTGTCATCTGTGTAACTGTGTTTTATCATCTGTGTAACTATTTTTGTCATCTGTGTAACTCAGTGTTTGTCATCTGTGTAACTGTGTTTTTGTCATCTGTGTTACTGTGTTTTTGTCATCTGTGTAATTGTGTTTTTGTCATCTTCGTAACTGTGTTTTTGTCATCTGTGTAACTGTGTTTTTGCCATCTTTGTAACTGTGTTTTGTCATCTGTGTCACTGTTTATTTTTGTCATCTGAGTAACTGTGTTTTGTCATCTGTGTAACTGTGTTTTTGTAATCTGTGTAACTGTGTTTTTGTCAACTGTGTAACTGTGTTTTTGTCATCTGTGTAACTGTGTTTTTGTCATCTGTGTAACTGTGTTTTTGTCATCTGTGTAACTGTGCTTTTGTCATCTGTGCAACTGTGTTTATTTATCTGTGTTATTGTGATTTGTCATTTGTGTAACTGTGTTTTTGTCATCTGTGTAACTATGTTTTTGTCATCTGTGTAACTGTGTTTTTGTCATCTGTGTAACTGTGTTTTTGTCATCTGTGTAACTGTGCTTTTGTCATCTGTGCAACTGTGTTTATTTATCTGTGTTATTGTGATTTGTCATTTGTGTAACTGTGTATTTGTCATCTTTGTAACTGTGTTTTCATCATCTTTGTTACTGTATTCTGTCATCTGTGTAACTGTGTTTTTGCCATCTTTGTAACTGTGTTTTGTCATCTGTGTCACTGTTTTTTTTTGTCATCTGAGAAACTGTGTTTTGTCATCTTTGTAACTGTGTTTTTGTCATCTGTGTAACTGTTTTTGTCATCTGTGTAACTGTGTTTTTGTCATTTGTGTTACTGTATTTTTGTCATCTGTGTAACTGTTTTTGTCATCTGTGTAACTGTTTTTGTCATCTTTTTGTGTTTTTGTCATCTGTGTAACTGTGCTTTTGTCATCTGTGCAACTGTGTTTATTCATCTGTGTTATTGTGATTTTGTCATCTTTGTAACTGTTTATTTGTCATCTTTGTAACTGTGATTTTATCATCTTTGTAACTGTATTCTGTCATCTGTGTAACTGTGTTTTTGCCATCTTTGTAACTGTGTTTTGTCATCTGTGTCACTGTTTTTATTGTCATCTGAGAAACTGTGTTTTGTCATCTGTGTAACTGTTTTTGTCATCTGTGTAACTGTGTTTTTGTCATTTGTGTTACTGTATTTTTGTCATCTGTGTAACTGTTTTTGTCATCTGTGTAACTGTTTTTGTCATCTTTTTGTGTTTTTGTCATCTGTGTAACTGTGCTTTTGTCATCTGTGCAACTGTGTTTATTCATCTGTGTTATTGTGATTTTGTCATCTTTGTAACTGTTTATTTGTCATCTTTGTAACTGTTTATTTGTCATCTTTGTAACTGTGATTTTATCATCTTTGTAACTGTATTCTGTCATCTGTGTAACTGTTTTTTTGCCATCTTTGTAACTGTGTTTTGTCATCTGTGTCACTGTTTTTTTTGTCATCTGAGAAACTGTGTTTTGTCATCTTTGTAACTGTGTTTTTGTCATCTGTGTAACTGTTTTTGTCATCTGTGTAACTGTGTTTTTGTCATTTGTGTTACTGTGTTTTTGTCATCTGTGTAACTGTTTTTGTCATCTGTGTAACTGTTTTTGTCATCTTTCTAACTGTGTTTTTGTCATCTGTGTAACTGTGTTTTTTGTCATGAGTGTAACTGTGTTTTTGTCATCTATGTAGCTGTTTTTGTCATTTGTGTAAATGTGTTTTTGTCATTTGTGTAACTGTGTTTTTGTCATCTGAGTAACTGTTTTTTGTCATCTGTGTAACTATGTTTTTGTCATCTGTGTAACTGTGTTTTTGTCATCTGTTTATCTGTTTTTGTCATCTGAGTAACTGTTTTTTGTCATCTGTGTTACTGTGGTTTTGTCATCTGTGTAACTATGTTTTTGTCATCTGTGTATCTGTTTTTGTCATCTGAGTAACTGTTTTTGTCATCTGTGTATCTATGTTTTTGTCATCTGTGTAACTGTTTTTGTCATGTGTGTAACTGTGTTTTTGTCATCTGTGTAACTGTTTTTGTCATCTGTGTAACTGTGTTTTTGTCATTTGTGTTACTGTATTTTTGTCATCTGTGTAACTGTTTTTGTCATCTGTGTAACTGTTTTTGTCATCTTTTTGTGTTTTTGTCATCTGTGTAACTGTGCTTTTGTCATCTGTGCAACTGTGTTTATTCATCTGTGTTATTGTGATTTTGTCATCTTTGTAACTGTTTATTTGTCATCTTTGTAACTGTGATTTTATCATCTTTGTAACTGTATTCTGTCATCTGTGTAACTGTGTTTTTGCCATCTTTGTAACTGTGTTTTGTCATCTGTGTCACTGTTTTTATTGTCATCTGAGAAACTGTGTTTTGTCATCTGTGTAACTGTTTTTGTCATCTGTGTAACTGTGTTTTTGTCATTTGTGTTACTGTATTTTTGTCATCTGTGTAACTGTTTTTGTCATCTGTGTAACTGTTTTTGTCATCTTTTTGTGTTTTTGTCATCTGTGTAACTGTGCTTTTGTCATCTGTGCAACTGTGTTTATTCATCTGTGTTATTGTGATTTTGTCATCTTTGTAACTGTTTATTTGTCATCTTTGTAACTGTTTATTTGTCATCTTTGTAACTGTGATTTTATCATCTTTGTAACTGTATTCTGTCATCTGTGTAACTGTTTTTTTGCCATCTTTGTAACTGTGTTTTGTCATCTGTGTCACTGTTTTTTTTGTCATCTGAGAAACTGTGTTTTGTCATCTTTGTAACTGTGTTTTTGTCATCTGTGTAACTGTTTTTGTCATCTGTGTAACTGTGTTTTTGTCATTTGTGTTACTGTGTTTTTGTCATCTGTGTAACTGTTTTTGTCATCTGTGTAACTGTTTTTGTCATCTTTCTAACTGTGTTTTTGTCATCTGTGTAACTGTGTTTTTTGTCATGAGTGTAACTGTGTTTTTGTCATCTATGTAGCTGTTTTTGTCATTTGTGTAAATGTGTTTTTGTCATTTGTGTAACTGTGTTTTTGTCATCTGAGTAACTGTTTTTTGTCATCTGTGTAACTATGTTTTTGTCATCTGTGTAACTGTGTTTTTGTCATCTGTTTATCTGTTTTTGTCATCTGAGTAACTGTTTTTTGTCATCTGTGTTACTGTGGTTTTGTCATCTGTGTAACTATGTTTTTGTCATCTGTGTATCTGTTTTTGTCATCTGAGTAACTGTTTTTGTCATCTGTGTATCTATGTTTTTGTCATCTGTGTAACTGTTTTTGTCATGTGTGTAACTGTGTTTTTGTCATCTGTGTATCTTTTTTTGTCATCTGTGTAACTGTGTTTTTTGTCATCTGTGTAACTGTGTTTTTGTCATCTGTGTAACTGTGTTTTGTCATCTGTGTAAATTTCCTTTTCTTTTGACATTTAAATGCAATATTTTTTTTTTGTGGTAAAGCAGATTAGTCTTACTTTATAATGTACAGAGTGACAGAAGGAATGGAAACATCATGACCAGTAATTATGGAAAGATAACAAAGAATGAAATGTGAAAGATTAATTTTATATTACAATCAATGTAAGAGAAAAATATCAACACTTTATTATTTCTTTAATATCCTTATAAGGTTTGGGGGTTTAAAAACACACTTTAACCCTGCCACATGTTAATGTGCCTGTCCCAAGTTAGGAACCTTATCAATGTATCTTTGTGATCTTTTTCCCTTATAGAATTTGGTGTTGATAGCTGTTTTTTGTTAGTTGTTGTTAATTTGAAGGGAATGTCTAGTTCATATACTATAAAGATGGAGTCATTTTAACATGATGGTATATAAACTGCTTACTGAAAGCAGTTTGGTTGGAAGACACAATTGCATGATTTTATTTTATTTCATCAAATGTAGTCCCTACAATTTATTCAAAACTCTATTTTTTCCTGAAATTTCCCCAACACCTTTTTATTAAATATTTGTCTCCATATTTAACTAGGGTAAAAGTTTGCTGTGAAAAAAATTTGCTTCCTAAGGCCAACTAAAATTAAGTAGATTTTCATCCAGATTTTTGAAACAAATAGGGCGGGTGGGAGGATTTTATTTTTTAATTTTTATTTCCTCAGAAACCCCTTGTAATGTGTTCTTCATATGCAAGGGTAATAATAAGATTATGTCATGTATATAAAAGGAATTCTACATAATTTTTCAAATTCTTAGATAAATATTTCTGATTAGCAACCACTGTTATACATGTAATTGCAGCTTTAGAAACCTATTTTCAGTAAATAGCAAAAACATGGAGAAATGCTCTCTTTTAGACTGCCTAAATTTAATTTGCTTTCTAATCTATGGTTTGTAGTGCCCATAAAATGAAGCGTATACATTTAATATAATGCAACGCAAGTATTATGAGTACAGAGTGAAATGAAAACTCAAACTGTGTTGAAAATACTAGGGTTGATGCTTTTAAGATTCTTAAGCAAGGTGCAAAGATAATTACATGAAAAACACGAATTTAACCAAAAAGAATTTGTTTAATGACTCTGTTGAGGTTCTGGGGACAGAGGGGTTTGCTGTTTTGTACTCAATATACGGTTATAAATTACACAAGTTCGTGCTTGGGTAAATTTCTTTATTCCAGTCATGTTTTTTGTACCAATGTGTTCCACGATTCTTGCCTTTGGATATCATTCCCAGTCCAAATTTCCTAACACAAAGTCTTTGTATAAATAATAAAATCCACAGTTTTCTAATCACTGAAATTTGTGACATACTGCAATTTGCGTTCTTGGACACCGCCTGTTACTCGTAACCCTAATATTTCATGCCCTTCCCGTAATCAATCTCTATTCTTGGAAGATAATGTTGTCATCATAGGGCAGTAGAATATGTCAACTTAATTATTTTGGTTAAATCACTGGAAGAAATACGAAAACCGAAATTTTCAAGAGGAAGTTTTGAATGAAACGAAATGTATCGGCGGTTACCGATAACAAAAATGAACAAAATCCGGAATTCATAAATTTTTAAAAATTTTAAAAAATCAGGATGGGACGATTTCAGAGGGGTGGTCGGGGATGAAAATCTATCAATTAATTTTAATTGGCCTTATTTTTAAATGTGGTGATTTTGTCTTGTGACAGAAGGCTGAAATTAGGGATATTATAAGCTCAATCATACTAAATATAACTTATAATTCCCCTCTCAGATATCTGTGTCAATATGTTGAGTTAGATATCTGGCAACTTTTAATAAATTCTATTTTTCAAGAAAAAGTACTTTAAACAGAAAAAAAATCTTACATTATATACAAACAAGTTTGTGCATGTGCAATTTTTTAAATTTGCATTTATTATTATTATAAATGCAATTCATCAACAAATAAATTTCCATCCATTTGGTTATTTTCCGTGTCAGAATTTGTGTGATGTTTGGCCTAAGAGCGGGCAGTGTAATCTTTGCCATGTTAACAGTATTCTTTCCAACACTTTATATAATGAATTTAAAAAAATTGACAGCAAAATGTTTGGGTAAGTTAATTGTTGCCCCTCCCCCTTACAAAAAAAAACAATTACAGGGTTCAGTGTGAAAATTTCCTGATATACAATATACATGCATGTTCCCCAGTCATTTCAGAGGTATAGGGTCCGTTCCCTCTCAGAACACGTTCGCACCTCACACGTTTGCACCCTATTTTCATTCAAATACAGGTTGAATTATTAGATGTTTTTTTTATAGATCAATATATCCAAATATTTATATTTTATGAATAAAAATTCATGTATTTTCTAAATGAAATATTGTTTTTTGTGATTAAATGATTAATTCTTAAATGTTAATTTCGCATTAGTACTGGTTTCCTCTTTTGATTGGTCACTCTTTTTCCAATGTTTTGTCCCTTATACTGTTATATCTACATTTGTCATTTTCCTTTTTACAATAGCATATATATCCTCGTATTATGGGTTTTAGTGCCATTTAGAATGCATTGTGTTGTCACAATTTCCATTGAAAAAGCATGCATAGTACGGGAGTTTCTCGCTGCATTGAAGACCCATTGGAGGCCTTCGGCTGTTGTCTGCTCTATGGTTGGGTTGTTGTCTCTTTGACACATTCCCCATTTCCATTCTCAATTTTATAGTACTAATTCATATGACTTACAAAAACATATCATCTGACGATATATGTAAGTTAAGCTAAAATTAGTAAGAAGAAGATACATGAACTTTAACATGATTAAAAACTTATTCAAAACAAAACCTTTGAAAAGGGTTTGAACATTTAGGGTGCGAACGTGAAAGGGGGTGAACATGAACTGAGCGAACGTGATTTTTGGCAAACGGACCAGGATATATTTCAGACACCACTGACATGCAGCTATACATCTGCCATGATCTGGTTAGGACCCAAACACTTTTAATTTCTTACAGAAATGCAATATGATGCACCCGTATCACTGGTGAGAGGGTCAACATGAATTTTCTCCACATTGCTCGCTAGTGTCACATTATATTCTGTTGTGTCTTTATGAAACGCAGGCGACAATTTGCCGGGCTTTATGACTAGTTTATCTAAGTTGCAGTCGTCCATCTTGAAACCTAGGACGCTAATTTAGAGATTAATTTGAGGAACATATTCAAAATTGATAGATAAAGCCTAGAATGTATGATAAAATATGCCAATTTTCATTCTGTTTGATATTTTGTACTTTGAATTTTGATTTTGATTTTGAATTAAATAGGCCTAACTTTTTTTAGGCTACACTAGTCACAGGAAGTAACAAAATCGCGGGAAAGACGATTTTGTCAACAAAAACAGGACGCATTGTCAAAAAATGCCTTTTATTTCAGAAGAAGAATTAGATGATGAATTTAGTGTATTTGGTTATGAATTCAGTAGTCCCCAAATTGTCGAAAAACGTAATTGTATTTATCTGATAGAAACTTCACCCTTCAGTTGCCAGTTTTTATAGCCACTGCCACTGGTCATTTGTCTACCTTAGTAAAGTCCTTAGTAATAGTATCTAGGGATTCTAGCTGCGAAACCGTCCTTATGATATTTTTTTTACAATTTGCGGTCCGCAAATATCTTAAAGACCTAAGGTAGCAATACAAAGTTAGGAAATAAACTTAAAATTGACACTCATAATTTTTACAAGGCAGTGTCTGCGCGTACCCGCATGCGGGTACGAATAGTCAAATTGCCATTCATAGGCACATCCGGTTTTATAATAAAATGCCATCGGATCAGGAATGAAACGTGAAATATATACGGAATTTGTCGCAATTAGTGAATAAATTGATTAAAACTTCTCAGCATTTTTATAAATATTAATATATATAGGCAAGTGAACAGTTTTTCTCAGTTAATAAATATTCTTAAAATGGAAGAGAGTTATATACATTTGGGAAGACATTTCAAAGTTATCATGAATTGGAACAATTTGTTCAGAACTATCAGTCGATTAATTTTATACAATTGTATGAAAGAAACTCTGAGTCAATTGCAGCTGCAGAGAAAAGAAGAACTGGAAACACAAAAATTAAAGAGGAATTAAAGTTTAACAGATTAAAATTTGGATCAACGAAAGAAGAGAATCATGCGAATGGATATATATCAAATGTCAAAAAAACCTACACGATCAGGACTCTTTGGCCTGCGATTGTTGTTTAGACTGGCAACATTTGAAATGTGCAGGGATGAAATATATGTGCCAAAAAAATCATATTGGATATGTAAAATTTGTTCCAAATCTTAATTAGTTACATCAGAGACATGTAATACAATTGTATTATATGTCTCTGGTTACATGAATCTTTTATAATTGGCTTAATTTGACATTATTACTTGCTTCTTTAATTTTTATATTGACACCCAAGCTTTATAAATTTAGTCGTTTAAGACATTTTAAAATTTCAGTTTCTGTTTTACATTTTATTAAAAGATTATTTCTAAATCTCATATGGGTATTTTTCAAAATCAGTAAAAAAAATTTCTTTAAATTTGCATTTACATTTTACTGGGACTATTATACTTAGTATAGTTTCATTTTCCATCAGTGTGCATTTAATTTTCAATGTTTATTATGTATCATTATCTATATATATATAAATAAATACAATTTGAAAATATTATTTTTCATACTCTTCACTCGTTCTACACGAAATCCCCATATTATCGATAATTTCCGTATATATATTTCACGTTTCATTCCCGATCAGATGACATTTTATTATAAAACCGGATGTGGGTTCGCGTAGCCTATGAATGGCAATTTGACTATTCGTACCCGCATGCGGGTACGCGCAGACACTTCTAATTTTTAACCACCCTCTTTCCCTTCCTTTCTAACAAATAAGGCTTAATATTTGTGTTGCACTGTTATGCATGTATATATTTATGGAAAGAGCATCTTCCATAGATTTGATTTCTAATAGTTATAATGGTGAAATATAATCTCTTTTTGGTGTAACCATGGCAACAATCTGCATTTATTTGATACAAAATATTGTAAAGAGGGGGTGAAAATGTCTCAAAAGTCTCCAAAATTTGGTCCAAAGGAGAATTTCAATCTGTTAGAGTGATACCTTTCCTGAAACCATAGACATTTATCTATCAAGAGGTCCAAAAAAAATCATATGCTTTTCTGCTCGTTTTTCCATAAAATTTAATTGAAAAGATGGAGGGTCAAATCTTTACTGAAAAACACTACAATAATTTCTGGACCTATGGGCGGTACGGATGTGAAAATACCGACTGTCAAACAGAAAAATGGCCTATAAAACATGCTAAAAACAATCTAGATGTTAATATAAACCAGACTACACGAAATTCGTTGGACCATCGGACAAATCCTGTGAATAATGGATCGGTCTGGTAAAATTTTGTTGAATTCCGGTCCGAATGTCCGGTGTTGTTTATCGTCCAGTTTTGTTTTTTTTATTATCGTATTTCCAGTAGAATACCACTTCCTTTGTATTTTCAAATTTATATATGAAAGGATAACATGATTGGATTATTAAAATTTACGGAAGGAGCCGTATCTGGTAAAGCTGCAAAAAAGAAAATAATGGACGATGAAAGGAAAGAAAAAAGCAAATTATATGAGGCACAACTTTCATCAAAATATACACTCTTGTCACATGATTTTGTTTTTGTGCATTTTGGAGAGGAGTAGGGCACAACAAGTCATAAGTTTGTTATATTTTGTTGGATAATATACAATTAGATGTAAAAAAAATTGGTCTGGTAAAATTTCATTCGGTCTGGTAAAGCTAGGTTGTTTACCAGACCGAATTTTCAGGATTGGACTAAATAGCGATAAGGTGTATTGTCTACCCAACGTCATAATTACAATTAGGCCAAAATTAATAAATTGTGTGTTTCCTTATTTCACCTCCAAAAAAAATAGGTAGGGTAGGTACTAAGGAAAACATTTTATTTCATGAAAAAATTTTTTTTTCTATTGTTGACAGTAGAAAAAATGGTTCCAAATTAAATTGTTGAGTTGCCACCTGATATTCCTCATCCTACATATTAGCATATAGTTTCCCATGTGAGATTAAATATCTAAAATCAAGAAAAGGACAATTATAATATTTAGAATAATACTTAAATCTACAGCATTTTTAATTTTCTGTTTTAGTTCTGTGTCAGAAGTATGAAAATAAACTTTAATTACAAATTTTATGCATTTCATGGGTCAAAATAGGGAATATGATTTGCCGATGAATTATCTTAAACCAAAAATGGCAGTGAAAATTCATGGTATGTTATCATGTAGGGCCTAGTTGAACCTAACAATGTAAATGACACACAGGGTACGTGTAGGAGCAGATAATTACTCCTTGAAAACATTGTGAACCGATGCTAAGCAGAGGTTGATTATGATGTTTCGAGGGGCAATACTCTGCCCTTACACCCTCTTTTTTTAACATATAAAGATGTGTTTTTATGTAAGACAGAATGTGATCTTGAAGAGTGGTCTGATTCTGACAATATCAAAATTTGAGGTTTTGAGAAGAGTGAGAATGTGAATTCTTTGTCTTAACTCATTCGACCCCAAGAGATTTCTGGAAAATCGGGCATTTTCGAAAATTTGCAAACTTATGCAAATTAGTACACTCTTGATGCTGTAACTGATGCTGATCTATTAAACTATGTATTGAGATTTTGGGGCAGATGGCATGGATCGGGGGTGGGGTGGGAGGTGGTATATTTTCTGGTGGGTTTGAACCCACCCCTACTGAAAAATGGTAATTTTCAGTCTATTTTTCGATTTTAATACGACCTTGAGAGGTGAACATTGACTAAACTGTTTCTTTGTCATTCAAGTAATACCTTACAGTTACAGTGTATCCAAACTGACTGGAAGTAAATGTGACTTGAAATCTTGCTAGGGAATTATTATTGGCTAGCCAAGTATGCCTAAATGTCCGTTTTTACCGATTTCTGACAAAACAATGACCTAGATTTTACAGACCACATTTCTTTTGGCCATATAATACCTCCTTGTGTTCCTGTACCATCTATACATGTATTTATGATAATAGTTGATACCTACAGCCCATACCACTAACGTAGTGGCCATAAAAAGACTCCCATTCCCACCTGATTTTGACTACTTTTCACGTTTTTCTGATTTTGAAAACTAAAAAGGCCATTAAAGTTGCCATATTTTCATAATCACACATCTAGGAAGAGTTTATGGACCATGAATTGCATGGTTGAAGTCCCTGCTGTAAATACAGTTGAGCTGGGGCAGTTCTAAAAAAGTATGGAGGGTCATACAGGCCATCAAAGAATGGTGGTCGCCATCACGACTACAGGCGGGATTGGGGGCGAAGGGTTTTTTTTTTGTTTCTTGTATACAATGTTATGGGACCAACCAGAGAAAAATATAAAAAGAATAAAAGTTGACATATTGCCTGTGCAGATTCATTTATAAATGAACATGAATCATACACCATGTCTGCCTACTAAGGAAAGCTTCAGTTTATTTTCTTTCTTGTTACACATTGTCTGTCCCTTGCCATCATTGATAGCGTCCTAAGCATGATTCGGTACAACATTCGCAAGAGTGTTTTTTACAACAATATCTGGGTTGATTTTAGTTGTAAATTGAACACATTACACACTAAAACTGTTTGTCAATTCACGGACAGATACTGTCTGTCCAACCTGGAATGATTCTGACTTTTGGTCCAAAGAGGTTGAGCAAAGTGCGTCAGCTCCGTATTTTTTTCGTCTATAGCTATAGGATCATCATAATATTCTTTTAAAAGGTTCTGACATCATATCATAATTATCTGGAATCTATGTCACATTTCGCATATTTGACAGCTGATACGGCACGGTTGTCGACAATCCTAGCTGCGGAATCTTAACTCTTATAGTGTTTTTTATGTTTTCTGATTTTTGCGGATGGTTCGCAAATTGTTAAAAAATATCAGAAGGTTCCGCAGCTACGCTTGTTTATTTAAAATCTTTGTTCTTGATACGCTTTACTGATGTGTATATAAGTCGAAACTATCAAATGCTTTGTAGATCAATAGTGTTCTAAACGGATAACCGGAACTGGAATGTTTAGGGTAGGCGTCGGAAACGGAGGTAGGGTCGGGAAACCGGAAACACACAATTAATTTATTTTGGCCTTATAATGACAACCAACAATCAATTAATCAATCACATTTCGTGAAGCCTATCCTCGTATTATGGGTTTTCGTGTTATTTAGAATGCATAATGACGTCACAACTTACATTGAAAAAGCATGCATATTACGAATTCATATGATCTGACAATACTATTTCTCATGACATTGTACATGTAACTATGGAATGATTAAAATCTGAAAATTTTATGATTGCACAGAATTAATGATGTTATCAAAATCTGGGACATATTATAATGATGGGACCTGACACTAAACACACATATCGATTAGATTGTCAGGTCATTTTATTATAAACCTTATCGCTATTTAGTCAAATCTAGGAAAAACAGTTACTTAGACAACTTCCTGTTGAGATCATACTGAACCCAACAAAGGTCATCAGCAATGAGCTGAGGGAGGAAAAGGTTTGATAGTTATAAGAAGAAATCTTTAAAAGACAAATTAAAGTCATTGAAAATTCTTTATTTGATGTGTTTACGATGGTTTAAACATGTCTATATGAACAGTTTTATGCACAGTACATTGTTTGAACAAGGTCCCAGATAGCTTCAACTGATTTGAAAAGTTGTGTTATTTTAGAACTTATCTGCATAGGAATAAATAGCGATAAGGTGTATAACCGATATGATACTGAAACAGAGATATGTCAAATTACGTGTACATACTCGCTATTATTGACGATAATATACGGCCCTACATCAATCCAAAACAGTTTTAAAATAATAATTAGAAATTTTCTGGTATTTTATAACCATAATGTAAAAATATTTAATTCCAAAATGATACAATCTACATACAGTAATAAATTTATGTAAAGTTGTTTTAAAAGAGAAAACAGCAATTGCGATTATAACTTTCTTTCCTCTTTGTTTCTATTTTCTTATATGAAACAATATGAAAACCAACTTTCACATAAAAAGTACTCAAATGTGTGGTGTTTTTTTAAGAACAAATTATTTGAGAAAACAGTGTGCATGCTTTAAATCTTCTGAAATGAATAATTTCATTAAATATTATTTGTGTTGATGATCACAAATTGTTTTCTTGGTAGGAAATTAAAATTATAATTAATATATATTTGATTACCAATCAAAGGTTCCTGCTTTTTATTTGGTTTTTGTCGAGCCTGCTACTTTTGTCACAGAAAGCTCGACTTAGGGATAGTGATCCGGTGGCGGCGTTAACTAACTACTTAGAAAATTTATATTTTAGTTGTTTGAAGACCTGGATGCTTCATATTTTGTATATAGATGCCTTATGTTACAAAGTTCCCGTCTGTCACATGTCCATGGTCTTTGACCTGATTTTCATGGTTCAGTGACTACTTGAAAAAAAAGTTAAGATTTTTTGTAATATTAATTTCTCTCTTATAATGAGTAATAGGATAACTATATTTGGTATGTGCGTACCTTGCAAGGTCCTCATGCCCGTCAGACAGTTTTCACTTGACCTCAACCTCATTTCATTGATCAGTGAGCAAGGTTAAGTTTTGGTGGTCAAGTCCATATCTCAGATACTAGAAGCAATATGTCTAGCATATTAGGTGTATGGAAGGACTGTAAGGTGTACATGTCCAACTGGCAGGTGTCATCTGACCTTGACCTCATTTTCATGGTTCAGTGGTTATAGTTAAGTTTTTGTGTTTTGGTCTGTTTTTCTTATACTGTATGCAATAGGTCTACTATATTTGGTGTATGGAATGATTGTAAGGTGTACGTGTCTAGCTGGCAGGTGTCTTCTGACCTTGACCTCATTTTCATGGTTCAGTGGTCAATGTTAAATTTTTGAGTTTTGGTCTTTTTTTCTAATACTATATGCAATAGGTCAACTATATTTGGTGTATGGAAATATTTTATGATGTAAATGTCAGTCTAGCCGGTTTTATTTGACCTTGACCTCATTTTCACGGTTAATAGCTCAATGTTAAGTTTTTGTGTTTTGGTATGTTTTTCTATTACTATAAGCAATAGGTCAACTATATTTGTTGTATGGAAGGATTGCAAGCTGTACATGTCTGTCTGGCATGGTTCATCTGACCTTGACCTCATTTTCATGGTTCATTAGTCAATGTTTAGTTTTCTTGGTTAAGTCTGTATATTAGAAACTATAAGCAATAGGTCAACTATATTTAGTGTATTGAATGATTGTAAGGTGTACATGTATTTCTTGTTTGGTTTATATGACCTTGACCTCATTTTCTTGGATCATGTTAAGTTTATGTGATAGTTGTAGTAAAGCTTTATATTTAGAACTATCAACATAATATCAATGATTAGTAAAGAAGGCGAGACTTTCAGCGGAATCGTTACTATTTTCCCGGAAAAGTAGACTTTTAGACGGTAGTAAATGGTGAATGTACTACTGTGGACTTTGTACGACGTATTGGCTACAAATATTCTGCCAGAACTGATTTAAGAACTCATGTCAAGATATATCTGATTAGTACTGACTTTTAAACATACAGGCAGGATTTAAATGTGCCATCTATGAAAATATCAGTCATTTCATTACATAGACATTCCAAGTTGGTGAAACATGAAAATATAACGATTCCCGAATCAACATCTTCACTTAAGTGAAACTTTCAGTTTTGTTAGTGTTCAAATCTAATTGTCTTAAAGTCTTGTGGACATCAAGTCTACTTTTAGGTAATTTTGGAAACTGCTTTCACCTTTCTCTGTATAAGGACATAGCAACATTTTTCAAGTCTTGATGACTTAATAGATTTTCTTCCATTTTCTGAAGCTCACCTCTAATCACTTTTGACGGTCGTTGGCAAATGTCACCAGAGTTTTGTCGAACATGGACTCGAAGCTGACGTGTTTCTGCCTTGTGTTCATCTTTCTCGTGGTTGTGGGCATTCTTGGTTTTCACAACAGCAAGACATTCAGCGTCAGTTGTTATAGATTCTGTGCATGCTTTTTGGGAACTACATCTGTAAAAAGAGAAAACAAAAAAAAAGATATCAAATCTGATTTTTACTTCAATTTACAATGAAAATAGGGGGAGGGGGGCAAGAGTTTCTGTTAACTGTTTTGGATACATTTTTGAGTGTTGTTAACTATTTGCAAGCCCCCTTTGCCTACTTCTGTAATGAGAAAAAATCTTGTGGTTATCTCTCGATTTCTTTTTGTATAATATATAATGAATTGTCCTCATGCCATAACTTAAGTCAAATATTTACATTATTTTACTCAGAGAAATGTTAACATTTGTGCAAGGGAGGACTATTTTACATGTAAAAATCATCTGTAATGCAAGTTAGTCCATAATTTAGGTTACAACTATCAGTTAACCATTGTATATTTGAATACAGAAATGTATTTGTTTACAATGAAGTATGAACCCCCATTTTAACGGGAGGAAAAAGATTAGTGATAATATTTTGTTGTTGCAAAAAATGCTTTTTTAATGCCTGTTTCTAGAAAAAATCAATCCTTTGAAATAAAATCAGGGAAAAGGGGGGGGGGGGGGGATAATGTTCCCAAGAGCTATGGGACTCCCTATCATGCCTAGGATTCTTCTAACCACTGACTCAGAAATTTTCTGGCTGCTTGGTCACCAATCAGTGTAATCAAGAAGTAAATCTATTATTATGGCAAATACCTACCTTTTTTTTTTAAGTCCCTCAATTTAGATAATAAATACATTTCTACTGAAATCAGAAAGGTTGCCAAGTTGGAACGAGCTCTCAAAATAAATATCTTAATTTCATTGTATGCATGAAACATTTATGCCACCAGCATTAAGCAAAATATAAATCCAAATAAGTATTTTTAATTTTTCAAAGTGTATTTCCCTGATATTAGGGATGATTTTATGGTTTTAAACATGTTGAGTTGATTTTAAAGTTTCAAATCAAGTTTCGTTGTCATTGATAATTATGATATTTTTGTTCATTACTGAAAAGCTTAGATCCACAAATATTCACTCTGTGGTTAAAGTTTTTGAAATTTTAATAACTTTCTTTAACTATCCTTGATTTCTACCAAACTTGGACAGAAGCTTGTTTATGATCATAACATAGTATCCAGAAGTAAATTTTGTAAAAATAAAATTCCTGTTTTTCCATATTTTACTTGTAAATGGACTTAGTTTTTCTGCCGGGAAACATTACATTCATTCTGGTTAAAGTTTTTAAAATTTTAATAACTTTCTTAAACTATCCTGGATTTGTACCAAACTTGGACAGAAGCTTGTTTATGATCATAAGATAGTATCCAGAAGTAAATTTGTTCAAATATTTTTTATTTTTTCCGTATTTTACTTATAAATGGACTTAGTTTTTCCGCCAGGAAACAATACATTCACTCTGTGGTTAAAGTTTTTAAAATTTTAATAAATTTCTTAAACTATCCTGGATTTGTACCAAACTTGGACAGATGCTTGTTTATGATCATAAGCTAGTATCTAGAAGGAAATTTTGTAAAAATTTTGTACCTGTTTATCCGTATATTACTTATAAATGGACTTAGTTTTTCTTCCAGTTAACATTTAATACAGTCTGCAGTTAAAGTTTTTAAAACATTTATTAGATTCATAAACTAACCCTGGATTTATACCAAACTTTGACAGAAGCTTCTTACAATCAAAAGATAGTATCTAAAGGAATATTTTTATTGATTTTTTTCCTCATTTTTGTTGAGCCTGTGATTAACAGCAAAAGTAGGCGAGACACTGGGTTCCGCGTAACCCTTACAAATTTTCTTATAAAACTTCTTGAAAAATATTTAACATAGCACTTTATGTTTGAATTTATATACATTTTAAATGAAATAGTTTTCTATCTTATTTCAGTACAAGAACTTTGTGTACAGTACAATTTTGGTGCAGAAAAGATAGTTACAGAATGGGTAGCATTTGCCAGCACACACAAAGGTGTACAGATGACATTAGATGCTCTGGACCAATTAGACAGAGAAGTGAGAATTCATTTTGTACATTAAAATAATATAAATTATTCAAAACATTGAAAATGTAAATCACTTTGCATAAAAGTCAGATATTTCATTCATTGTTTATATGTGATATCCCCTTATCTGTTCTAGGTTTATTTTCTGGAAATTCCAATAGAGTTCACCACTGACAATTTTTTTTTCAAATTTCTGAAAGGGAAAGAAACAATACAAAAAATGATCATAAATTTGTATTTAAATTTCATACATCAGAACTTAAAAAAAAATCTTTAAGAAGATTGTCCCAAGGTTCTTCTACAGCATACATGTACATCTGTTCTAGATAGTTCACTCTTTTATCAACCTCGGTCATGTGTCAGGCCTTGGATGGTTATCTCCGAAACTTATATGAGGACATTATAGATATAAGTTGGAATATATCTTTTGGATCAAGTCTCTCTTAACTAGTACTTACCATACTTTTTTGGGGGATTAAAAGTTTATTGGAAAAATTTGATCAATGGTTTAAAGAGTAAATTTCTTTTTAATCCAAAAATGTAGACATTAGAACATATTTATTGCAATAAGAATATTTAAATGTGTATATTGAACTCTTTTGTTTTTTTCAGAGACTTACCAAGAAAGGATCAAAGACACCCAAGACTCCAGCTAGAACAAATACAATTAAACAAGAATACTATGATATTAACACTATACAAGGAGGGTATCCTTATCATTAATGACATTATACACTATAAAACAGCTTTAACTTTGGTCAAGACATTTAGGGCATATTTAACAGCTGTCTGCTGACTTTGAAAATTGAAAGAATACTTAGTTGGATGAGATTGCAAGTATCAATTTTCTTAAATATATATTAAGAAGTGAGAAAAGTAGAAAAAGAGCAGTAGTAAAACATGAAATCCTGAAACCAAGATGTGCACATGATCTTATTGTTCACTGTCACTGTGTACTATTTGAAAAAAATACAAAAAGTGACTGGGGAGGAAATCCATAATCAACACGAAAACAAAAAAGAAAAGACATATTTACACTTTGGTGAATTCAGCTGAATTTGCACCAAATGGAAAATTTGTAATTTGTTTACATGTACCCACAAAATCCAAGTAAATTCGTATCCTACAAATAATGATAAACTATAGTTTTTTTAAATGTATATGTGTAAACTGATATTGTATTGTGCACATGACCTTGACAAAAGATCAGTATGGACGAAAATGAAGCAGAGAACCTTTACAATGCGTATTCTACAACTCCATCATCAAAGGTAATTGAAATACATAAATATGTTTGATATTGAATTATTATTAATAATGGTTAAAATGAAACCTAAAATAACATTTGATATCTTACTAATTTAATAAATCCAAATTTTATTGTATATTTAACTTTAAAAAAGTAGCTATTAATGGAGATGTTCTAAGTTATATGTTCCTTAAAAGACGGAATAATTTAAGGTTAAATTTTTGTTTTTGTATAAGTTTGTGTATTTTCTGTTAACAGGTAATACAGCATTAGAAAAACAGTTATACATATCATTAAAATGACATATTACATAAATCATGACTGTTACAATTGAACATGCTGAAAAATTATAAGAAATCTTCCGTCATGAGACAATATTCACTCGTGAAAAAAAAAATTGGTGATGCTTTTGCTCAATGTATCTACATGTTCTACAATTAGTACAGAAAATAAAACCACCTTCATGTATAGAGTTGTGCAATAAGTATTCATCAATTACAGTGTTTTGTTATTTGATTTATATTAAACTATATATTATTCAAAAAGAGGTCTGACATTTTGGAAAGATTTTAATCAATTTGATATCAAAAGAAGCAGAATTGTCATAGGTTTATTTTGTAATACAGTCGACCTCGTTGTGTCGAAGTCGAAGGGACCGGACCAAAGTATTCGACTCATCTGAGGTTCGACTCATCCGAGGTCAAGTGAGTCGTCAGAAAAATTTTGAATGCATGAAATACGGTATGAGATTTGTGTAAACTAGATACAATGAACAGTGTGCCTTTTTTCGATATGACACTTTATGATTGTGTATTCAATCTCCATTTTTGGTCCTTCGTAATAATTAAACACAAAAGTACAGATACAAATTATGCACAAATAAAATCGATAATCTACACAAATATTTACAAAGGTCAGTCACTATAAATTATGAAATCACTCGCGGTACAAAATCAGTTCTGAATGGTCACTGATGAGGTCGTCTGCTTTACATTAAATTTTCATGAATATATTATAATTGTCCTAATCCTTTTTTTTATTGTAATTAATGAGTTTTAAATCTAAAGATTCATTTAATCTCGGCTTGGGTCATTTAAATTCGTTTCGTTTTTATCTCGGGTGAAAAATGTTCAACACACTAACATTCCGCTTGAACGATCAACAAAGGTGTTAATTATCGGTCACCATAAACATGTCATTTTAACTGTTATACAAACAAATATGTTTACTCAGCTTTAATCTCTTTTGAAAATGATTAGGTTACATAAAAAATACATCCGATATGAATTTTTATCATTAGGTCTGCATCTTTCGAAAATTATTCCTTTTGAACTTCGAGACATCTGGGTCAATTTACATTAAGTTTACTTCGACGGGACTATAAATTTACTCGACTTAACCGAGTATTCGAATTAACCGAGTTCGACTCATCAGAGGTAATTATGCATTGATCAAATGGGAATTTTACCAGGACCAAGAAATTACTTCGACTCATCCGGATTTTCGACACAACCGAGTTCGACACAACGAGGTTCGACTGTATTTGTGTTGTGTTCTCTTTTTCTGATGATATAAACACACAAATATGACTTTTTGTTACCTGATTTTTGAAATTGCAGATCATGATTTGATTTTAAACAAAGTGGTTAACAAGTATTTTTTTTAAAATATTTTTCCTGATGACAAAACATTTCACTTTGTTTCTGTTATATATTTTGATTGAAAATGTTGATTTTATATTTTTTGCAGAAAGGCACTAACCAACAAAAACGACAGTTAACTCCAGACAATCCTCCTCTGAAAAGATTTACAAATAATGTCAGAAGTCCCATGGTTCCATTTTCTCCTGCCAGTTTTTCTCCAGCTGGGTAATTTATGTTAAACATGTACAAAAACTCATACCAGAGGTCTTTTTTCTGGAATTATATAATTTAAGATTCAGAATGATAAAGGCTACAGGTGTACATATTGTTTAATGCTGAACACAACATTATTCTTTAAATAGGAATTACCGTAGAAAGGCTTGTATAGTCCGCGGTTTTATTCTCCAAAATTGGACCTTCCAGACGGGGTGCGGACTATAGAGTACAATAAGCAAGAAATAAGAGAAAAATTTCAATTTCGCGGGCGAGGTGGTTAGTTTACGTTCCGCCATCTTTGTTATTTATATTGTAGAGGGCGCTCTTATCATTTTTCAAACTAATAATATTAACTCATCCATATTAATAAGTTATTTCTATTCAATATCAAATTAATACTGATAAATATAAAACTAAACCTTTCATTACAAATTTCTCGTTTCTTTTCAATGCATTGGTTGAAATAAACTGGTATCTGCTTGATTGAAACGATACAAACATAGTGAAAAAGACAACCGTAAACCAGCTTAGAATTTGTAAACTACAAAATGTAATCGGTTATTGTTCGTTCCATTTTGGTGTTTCATACTGACTAATATGGTTTGTATTAGCTTAAGACCCTTCAAACATTAATGTGATAGATGTATTAAAGACTGTTTTACAAAAGGATGGAACTGTTTTACTTTCAAAGTCGTATTATAGTGATATCTGTTATGTACGGATTTCGACTCTCCGGTTAATTTCTTCTTTTACACATGCTTTTTAAACTTCCTGTTTAAACATACACAAGTTTCTAAATTGTTTTTTAAGTGAATTAAACTTATTTTAACAATCATGAAGCGTTTTAGAATCATTTACAAGCAGTTTCAGCTTCTGTTCGATGATGGAAAACAGGTTTTTCCAAGAAAATACCGCAAACGACCGCACAGGATTTGAAATTACCGGAGTTTCATTAGACCTTTTCTAACAGTTACAAAAAGTTCTTTTACCTAAAATTTCGTGGGGAGAAGGGGGTGCGGACTATGTACCAGTGCTAACTATAAAAGCCTTTCTACGGTAATGCAAGGTATCATGTATTTAGTTAAAAGCATGTACTTAAAGTTGATTTCAATATTTATAGAAAACCAGTAAGATAACAGGACAAAAGGTAGAAAGATGTAGAAATTCCCAATTCTCTAATCAATAACTGGACAAAAGGATCAACACCAGGACAACTAAGTAAACATATACACAAATGACAGAACAGAGTTTTAGAAATGTTTATTTTAAATTAAGTTGTGTACTTGTCTCTCTCTCTCTATTTTAGTGTGACACCATCAAGGAAAATTTGGTTCTGGGACTAATGCTGGGGAGGTGGTTGCCCATTTCAGTATAACTCATTTTGCAGGTGTGTTTGACTCCAATCTTATTTGACTAGGATTGTCAGTTTTTCTGCCGAAGGTCATGGCTCTCTCTGGGAACCAATAGAAACTCACTGCCACAATACAGCCAATAGTGCTGAAAGTGGCGTAAAACACCAACAATCAATCAATCTTTGTGTCTATTTTAGTGTGACCCCATCAATGAAGTTTAGTTCTAGGACCAATGCTGGGCATGTGGTTGCCCATTTCGGTGTTACTGACAACACAAAATGGCAAGGTCATGGACAACAAACCAGTTCTATACAGTTGTATGACGAGGAATACAAGTTGACTACAAGTTTCAAGTACATGTTCCAGAAATTGGTAGAAAAAGCTCATGGTATGGAATATTGTTTAATGATTTGTAGAAATTTACTGTTCAGTTTTAGGAAATGATAAGAAAAAAATAGATCATTGAAATTGAAACGATTCTATCATGTCGATGTTAAAGTATTTTTAAAGTCATTACAGATGCTTATCTTAATGTCTTTCCTACAGTTAAGATTCCTCATTCTCAAAAGTGAAAGCCACATATCTGAATGTAAAAACAAATGATGAAGTGATGTTTTCAGAAAATATATTTGTACTCCTGGTTGGTTCGGAGAATTGTTAATACTGGTCAAGTACCCAATACCATCAAATAGACAGATTTTGTCTATAAAATTCTTCAACAGGAAATGTTTGGAAAATATTTTCAAACCAATAATATGTTGTTAGTATACTGATTTAGATTAAGCTCCATAGACAAGTGACTGATTTATTTTCATGTACATCAAATCTGTCATTATGTGAAAAAAAAATAATGTATATCATTTCATGTTGTTTTCAAAAATGAAAAGAGAGAAAAAAATGTTTTTTAGGTTTTGACTGTCAAGATTGAATAATAGAATACCGACTTTTTATGAAAAACAAAAAAAATTGTTTCCTAAATTATAAGCAGAGATACCATATTTATGTTTCATGCTTGCTAATTTACAAAATGGCAAGCAACAATAATAGATCTTGACTAGTAGACATATAATTTGAAAACTTACTATCTTTTTCATTGACAGAATTAGTATCTTCATCAATGGTCAATACTGTTAGAAAAGCAATTGACAGGAGAATTATTTTACTATAAAAATTATTTTTCAGTTTTGAATGATACTGTAGATTACATGGCAGAGAAACTGCAAAGTCATTACAAAATTGAAGAGCTGTCACATGTGGCTGTGCCAATGCAGGTATGAATATTTGTATGAATGTTATTTTCTAGAGGATTCTATGTGCTATCTTCATTATGTACTGTGATAAGAATTTATTTGTTATATAAATAAATAAGTATTTGATATTTTGTTGGTGATTGAATTATATAGGTAGCAGTTCTCGACTTACAATTCACTTATCACCACTACACTACAAGTACATGTGTATGGTTGAATCTCTAGTCACTTTATACAATAATGACCAGGATGAAACAATGTACAGGTTTTTGTCTCGCCTTGAAGTAAAAAAGCAAGACATAGGTATGCTGTTTACGGCGTCTGCGTCAACAACAATGTATTAGTTTATGATTAGGTCTAGTTTATGGTGAACCACTAGTGGTAGGTCAATAATATTTGGTATTTAGTTGTATTAGCATTAGCAAATCTCATTTCCATGGAGATTATTTGGCCCTGCCCCTTCAGTCATGGTCTATTGACTTTGAAACTTTTGCATAGTTTACATGTATTGGCATGATTATTTTGTGATTAGATCATTATAAGATGAACTGCTAATGTAAATTCAATGATATTTAGTATGCAAATTTATTGGCATTTGCAAGTCTAACTCTTGTTTCCATGGAGATTATATAACCCACCCCCTCATCATGTTTCGTTGACTTTGAAACTTTTACATAGTTTACAAGTTAATGTTTGTGTTTAGGTTTGTTTAAAGGGAACGACTTAGGGCTGTCCCAGAATTAAATGTATGGGGGGGTCGGAAGGCACTTTTTTTTTGCACCTACCATTCATTAATTTTAATTACTTCTACCCCCACCATGCACAAAATAAAAGTGGAAAATATAACCACCATGCATAAAATTAAATAAAAAAATGTTTAATTCTTAAATGTTGCAATTACTGCGAGTTTTATTTAATCTGATGGATTATATACAAAGGTAAAACTTACTACTGATATCTAATAAAGTTTCCTGCATGCAGGGTAAGATATGCTAACCAACAGGAGCAAAATATATCTCTATCAGTTTTTCACGGGCGTCCTGCTTGCATAAACTGTAGTCTATCTGTTTTTTTTTTGTTTAAATGTTTGCAATGTTTGGTCTCTCCGTCATAAAACTTTTTCTGTGTTGGTAAAGAGTTCTTGTTCAGAGCATACATGTAAATTGATAAATTCTAGTTTGATTGGTTCATTTTTATTTTTGAGTAATCATATTGTGAGTTTTTATGGCCATAAAGCAAGCAGTCCTGATTTTAGATTCAGCCATGCTGGATATATATGATCACTCTGGATTTTGGAGACAGTGCAAAATTCTAAGTTGAAGACATGTCATGGAAATAATTAGTGTTTCAATGACTTGCAGAAACTTTATACACCATTTCAATCATCAACTGCCAACTTTTGATATGTTATTTGTCCTTAAATTAAGAAAAAGTTGGGCAAACAACTTCTTTATTTTAGATATACACTTGCATATAGTTCCTTTGTAAATCAAAATTTATATTAAATTGCCATTTATTAATTAATGTGGAAAATGTGATTTATCAAATTTAAGCAGTTGATAAGAATAATGAAAGTGTTTTATCATTATCTTATGTTCCTGTAAGCCATTGAATTCAATTTGGTTCAAGATGTGTATTGATATCAGAGTTGATTCCCACACTTTTTTGAAATGCTATTATTCCCATTCTTGAATTAGGCAAATGCGATTATTGATACAATACCAGTATGATGGACAGTTGCCACGATTTTCAAACAATTACACTCAAAGGTGTAAGTATTAATTGGATTAAACTCCAAATACAGTCTTAATTGACTGCAGTTATATTAATATATCATGACAGTTGATAATCATACTGGTATTGAGGTCAAGAATTTGTGTATTCAATTTATTACACATCTAACTGCACACAAAATCTTGACCTCAATAGTTGTAAAATCAGTGTCATCTGACATGAGTAAGTAATTAAGGTCTATTTAAGTTACAATTATCAGTAATTTGGTTGAAGCAATAAACACAATTGCATAACTCTTACCTGAGCAATCTAAAATCTAAAAAAAAAGATGTAAACAAAAAAATTTGACAGTTTCTTCAATTGAAATACCAAAATAATTTGCATCAATATTGCAAAATTCTCCATCTTTTAATAATTTGGCAATAGAATAGAAATTTTACAGTGAGATTATGGAAATGAAGGTAACAAAACAATTATTGAAAGTATGGTCAGAAAAAATGTCAGACTAGCTACAAAATTGGCTGAATCACAACATCCATGATGCTTTGATTTAAATCTGTAACTACTCCAGCATAGAAATGAAGCATGGAAACATAGAATGGCAGTATTATAATTGTCTTTCTTTTCTCCTCTAAAATTTAGGAGGGAGGGAGCAGGATGGAAAAAGTAAAGTCAATTTGGTCTGGCCAACAAACAAAAAAAGTATGAGAAAGGTTATATTATTTGGGTTCACCTATTATACTACTGGGAAAATGATTTAATTTTGGTCCTGGGTATCCCATGATAAAAAAAATTTAAATGGGCAGTGTGTTCCCTAGATTTTTTTTAAAAATTCAACCCACCCTCTTTAAAAAAAAAATTGACAGGGGTTCTCCTAGTGAAAGTGCTTTCAAATTCTTCACCATTCTACTTAGGCCTTCCAAGAGAGGGGAAAGGAAGAAAACAGGCAAAGAGATTGGGGGTGAAGCTCTCCTTATCCTTAAAGAACTTTATCTCTCTGCAAAAGATAGGTAATTTTAAAAACCATGTAAAAAAAAATAATAAAAGAATACATACCTGGAAGTTAATTTTGATATTTAAATTATTTCTGATAGCCCAGACCTTTTTTGTTGATTAACCGTTACATCTCATCCCCCCTATTTTACAAGTCATTTTTACCCAAGAAAATATTCATCAGAACACTTGTTCAAACCTATGAACAATTTTCTTTTTGCCTATGGCTACATCTTTATGGTTTTCTAGGGCAGGTTCACTTGATAACCATTTTTAAAATCCTCGAAATTCCACTTGGCAACATCAGGGGACTAAGGAAGGGGGAGGGCAATGTCCATGCTGGCAGAAGTGGGCCATGGGAGATAACTCGAAGACGATTACACTTCCAGTAGACAGAAAATCTCCGAAATGATCAAGTCTTGCATGCAAACATCGCGACAACAGCTTCTAATTTTATTTATTTTTAGTAACACCATCATAAAACATTATTTCAAATGTTTAAATTAATATTAATGAAGGAGAAACCCCACCATGTACAAAATTGAATTCAATTTATGACCCACCATGGATAATTTCAAAATGATTTTGCACCCACCAGGCATGCAAATTTAATAGCACTGCCGTCCGACCCTCCCATACATTTAATTCTGGAACAGCCCTTATGATAAGTCAATGGTATTTGGTATGCAGTTGTATTAGCATTTGCATCTATCATTTCCTTGGAGATTGTTTAGCCATGTACCTTCATATAATATATTTGCATAACTTACATGTTAAAGTATTGCTATTTTGATTTCATCATTTGCATTATCAAAATTACAAAAAGGCGAGACAAATCTCTGTGTTAACAGTTTATTACTAATATCCATAATTTATCTAATTCATTCTGTTTTACTACTCAATTAAAACAGCTTTCCATGACACTGTGCAGATAAATGGGAAATAAAGGTACGACAAAAATGTCTAAACCCAGTACAATTTTCATGAAATTCTGTAAATTTAAAAGGATCTGTAGCAAATCATTACCCAATAAGCAGCAAAAGTAACTCAATATGCAGCAAAAGTAACTGAATAAGCAACAAACGTAACTCAATATGCAGCATAAGTAACTCAATAAGCAACAAAAGTAACTCAATATGCAGCATAAGTAACTCAAATGCAGTTGCAGCAAATAAAGGTTTGGACAACTGTGCTATTATTTAATAAAGGATGTTTATAATAACTATATGACTATGCCACTCCGGTGTTAAGTTCACAATTTTGAACATATAAATGTATATTTGTAGGAACCAGTAACTGTAGCAGGTAGAATATGCTGTGATGCTAATGGTAAGATGAATGCCAAATCTGTGCTTTTAGAAGGTTCTAGAGATACTTCAATGGGAAAGTGTATACCATTAGATCTGGCAGAACTCAAACAATTTTCTTTATTTCCTGGACAGGTAAGTTAACAACCAAAAAAATTCCATTGGATAAAAAATGGTTTAATTGTATTGCTTATGTCTGAAAATTCTGTACATAATTCCTTTATTAAAACTGTCTAGTAATTCTTTCAGGTATCCAAGATGCAAATTTTTATAATGAGATGTCATAATTTAGTTGCTCAAGTTCAAAATCAAATATCTGGTACTTTTTCAAAACTGTGCATTAGCACATTTTGTTATGTTGTTGCTTTGTTTGAAACTTTATCAATTTGGTTTTTGGCTTGAAATATTGTAATTTTGAATGCACATTAACATCTCAGTAGGAATCAAATTGTCAAGATTCAGTTATGATTTACAACACTATGTAAAATACATTTTGTCTTTCAATCAAATAGCATTTGCCTATTGATTGAATGTTTTTCAAAAATCTTGTATAGCAAAATCTATTGCTGTAATTTTTTTTATACATCTTACAATAGTATCTGTAACTAGAAATTGAATTTCAAGAATTTTGTCTGATAGTGTCTGTTGGTAGGAAAATTCTGCGTAACATTAACAACTTTTAATATAGACTCTACACAAAATTATATTTTAATACTTTTCTGAAATCTACTCTCTAATATATAAGTGACTTTCCAACAGTGTGGTTGTATGAGAATGTATTGTTTGTCTTTGTTGTATGTATGACTTTCCAACAGTGTGGTTGTATGAGATTGTATTGTTTGTCTTTGTTGTATGTATGACTTTCCAACAGTGTGGTTGTATGAGAATGTATTGTTTGTCTTTGTTGTATGTATGACTTTCCAACAGTGTGGTTGTATGATAATGTAATGTTTGTCTTTGTTGTATGTATGACTTTCCAACAATGTGGTTGTATGGGAATGTATTGTTTGTCTTTGTTGTATGTATGACTTTCCAACAGTATGGTTGTATGAGAATGTATTGTTTGTCTTTGTTGTATGTATGACTTTCCAACAGTGTGGTTGTATGGGAATGTATTGTTTGTCTTTGTTGTATGTATGACTTTCCAACAGTGTGGTTGTATGAGAATGTATTGTTTGTCTTTGTTGTATGTATGACTTTCCAACTGTGTGGTTGTATGAGATTGTATTGTTTGTCTTTGTTGTATGTATGACTTTCCAACAGTGTGGTTGTATGAGAATGTATTGTTTGTCTTTGTTGTATGTATGACTTTCCAACAGTGTTGTTGTATGAGAATGTATTGTTTGTCTTTGTTGTATGTATGACTTTCCAACAGTGTGGTTGTATGAGAATGTATTGTTTGTCTTTGTTGTATGTATGACTTTCCAATAGTGTGGTTGTATGAGAATGTATTGTTTGTCTTTGTTGTATGTATGACTTTCCAACAGTGTGGTTGTATGAGAATGTATTGTTTGTCTTTGTTGTATGTATGACTTTCCAACTGTGTGGTTGTATGAGATTGTATTGTTTGTCTTTGTTGTATGTATGACTTTCCAACAGTGTGGTTGTATGAGAATGTATTGTTTGTCTTTGTTGTATGTATGACTTTCCAACAGTGTTGTATGAGAATGTATTGTTTGTCTTTGTTGTATGTATGACTTTCCAACAGTGTGGTTGTATGAGAATGTATTGTTTGTCTTTGTTGTATGTTTGACTTTCCAACAGTGTGGTTGTATGGGAATGTATTGTTTGTCTTTGTTGTATGTATGACTTTCCAACAGTGTGGTTGTATGGGAATGTATTGTTTGTCTTTGTTGTATGTATGACTTTCCAACAGTGTGGTTGTATGAGAATGTATTGTTTGTCTTTGTTGTATGTATGACTTTCCAACAGTGTGGTTGTATGGGAATGTATTGTTTGTCTTTGTTGTATGTATGTTTGATATGTTATTCTATTTGTTGAAAAATGTATAAATGGAAAAAAAAAACCAAAAACAACTTTAATACACAAATTTCTCAATATATATATTGATGTTTACAGTTGGTGGCCATGGATGGTATCAATAATACAGGGCAGAAGTTGGTAGTCAATAAATTATATGAGGTAAATATTAATTCAATTTTTTTTTAGATGATTATATATTGCAGTATGAATTTGTCAACTAATTTTAAACATAATAAGGTTTGTCCACAAGTAATTAAATCTTTGCTATATAAATAGTTGCCAAGTTTTTAAATCTTCATAGCCATATTGAAACTGAAGAAATTGAATACTTTATAAATTTGATTTGATTTCAGTCACTAATTACTAAAATGATGAATATTAAGAACAACATATTTATTTTCTGTTTAGGGTGTTGCACAAAGTCTTCCAGAAATCAAAGTCAAAACTGAACCAGGTAAGTTATATTCAGAGGAACAACTGGAAGTGATTGTTTAGTGGTGCAGATTCAGTTTCAGGAGAGATAATTGTTGACATGACAATGAATGTCCAATTGCCTGTTGTTCCTGGTTTTGTTTATGATGATGTTGTATTAAAATTATATCAGAACTTCAAACTCTTAATTATAATAATAGTGCAAAGTCACCAATGAATAGGGGTTACAAAATAATAATGATAATTGCTGGTTATTTTTGCTCTGCATTTAGAATTTTGCGGGGGGGGATTGTATAACCTCTCTAAACATTGAGAAGTGATTTTCTGCAAAAAAGAACAATTTGGGAAACTCACTTTCAGATACAATTTATTTACTTTACTCTGAAATATGCATGGTAACACATACTGTGTATGTGTTCATGAATATAACAATGAGAACTTGTAAAATTGCTCAATTAAGGTCCACAATTTAAATTATTTTGGTAATTGAATCAGAAAATTCAATTAAATTTTTAAGTTAAACATTACAACTGACATTTAATTTTGCACATTATCATCACTTTTAAATACAACCAATTTGGCCATTTTATTGCTAAAATACCAGTTTAACTAAAAACTTGGGAGTTTTCACTGACATGTAAAGATAAAATCTCTTCAATCAGTTCTGTGCTTATGACTCTGCGAGAGATTCTGAAGTTTTGCATATCAGTTGATTAAATTAAAAGGAGAAAATCAGTTTTTTATGCTCCACCTAGGGGCATTATGTTTTTTGGTCTGTGCGTCCGTTTGTCCTTCCGTCTGTCCTGCTTCAGGTTAAAGTTTTTGATGAAGTTGAAGTCCCAACAACTTGAAACTTAGTACACATGTTCCCTATGATATGATCTTTCTAATTTTAATGCCAAATTAGAGTTTTGACCCCAATTTCACGGTCCACTGAACATAGAAAATGATAGTGCAATTTGAGCATCCGTGTACTATGGACACATTCTTGTTCTAAAAAATTTCTTCATTACTTCTTGAATAATTTCATTATATTATGCAATTTTTCATTCAAGAAGCAGGTTAACCATTTTAGACTAAGTTTGTTACTAAGTATAAAAAGGAGAAATATCAAACAGTGGTGTGACAAAATAACTATTACCTTGGCTTACAATTACTCTAGTTAATCTGTACTTCAGGGTTAGGGAAGGTTTTAGGATTAGGGCTAGTTCGTATATCCCTTTATGAGTTTGGTCCCCCATAGTAAATTAACATAACCTTTTGTCCACTGTAATGGTTTTCTTTGTACTTTGAGTTTACATGTGTTTCATACTTAATTTTCTCAAAAGGCTAGTTGAATAAACAATATTGTTGATATTTCTTCCCTAAAATGAAATAATAAGTAAGGCATCATTGATTGATCTAGATCAATGTTGATCCAGTGATCCCAATTCCTGAAAATCTGATCTATCGGACAATATTAGGGGGAAAATGAAGGACCTGTGTAATTTGTCTGAACTGGTCATTATGATAAGGCTATTAGGAAAAAATATTTATAGTTATCATTTGTTTTTTTGCTTATAACATTTTAATTTTGAACAAATCAGTTCTTTTGATCTTTAATTTTTGTGAATTAATATTAAAGATATTCAGGCTTGATAATATTCTTGTCAGATTCAAGAGAATGTAACACTTATAAAGTTTAGAATTAGTAAATCATAATAATTAGAAACATTTAGCCTCTGGAATATTATTTGTAGATACTTTCATGTCAATCCAAGAAAGGAACTTAAAGGACTGAGGTTTATTTTTGATGCCCTTGCCGAAGGGGAGGGGGCATTAACGTTACCCTTGTCCGTCTATGTCTGTACATATGTACATCCCAAAATTAGTTTCAGTTCCTTTATTTTAGTTTGCCTCAACCAAATGTTATGAAACATATAAGGTTTATCAATGACTAAAGTCACTATGCAATTACTTAAAATCGTGTAGCTGTTTTGTTATATATAATCTAGAAAGATATCCTAGGAACATGCACCTGATTATTTTCTCTTTTTCAGGATCAGAGAAACTCAGTGTACTGATTGCAGCAGGTCCATTCTCCACATCAGACAATTTATCATATGAACCATTAAATGATCTTACCAAGAACATAACTAGAGATAAACCAGATGTCTGTATTCTGGTAAGAACTTATTTCTCAATGTCAAACCTAGGGGCCTCAGTGGCCAAGTGGATTGTTTTCCTACCGAAGGTGGGTGGTTCTCTCTGGGCACTCTGGCTTCCTCCACCAATAAAAACTGACCGCCACGAAATAGCACAATAGTGTTGAAAGTGGCTTTAAACATCAATCAATCAATCAATATCAAACACATTTTGAGCCATTATCTTACTGAAAACATGTCAAGATATTAACTAGTTTCCTTGGATTTTATATTAGAACTTTTCAAAGCTTTAAACCAATAAATGCTCTCACCAAGTTTTTAAAAAGAGATATAAACACACTAATTTTTAGTCATGTTAGGTTTGATATATTATTAATTGTGCATGAGCCTTTTGATCAATAACAATTGACTTAATTAAAATTGTTCTCAACTTTTGTGCTTCCAACTAGAAAATGCTTGAGTGTATAAATTAGAAGATATGTTTATATATAAATAAGGAGGTTCTGTATGATTGCCAATGGATACTAAAGAATGTAAATTACTGTGACCATTATAAAATGTTATATTTGATATTGATTTAATTAATTTCAGCTGGGTCCATTTGTTGACATGAAGAATGAAGTTATAGAAGTAAGTCATGTTCCTTACAAGTAACATTTCACAGAAATCAGGGTCGTAAAGTACTTTTTACCTGTGTAATTCAACTGTTTTTATATATTTATTCTGACATCAATTTCCATATGCACAAAACTGGAATATAATGCACTCTTAGCACAGCTGCTTATTTTGTAATACTGAAAGCAATTTAACTTACTTCCATCTTTGTGTATTCAGGGCCTCAATTTATTCATAAAGCTTACAAAATACACTTGAAAACTTGCACCATACTTTGTACAGTTCTTTAGTAATTTGTTACTTTTACATGTATGTGTTGTTGGTCTTTTTTGCCAGTTTCAGTAAATTGATATCAACCTAATTGCCTTTGAGAAATAGGTTTTGAACACCAAAATTAAATCTGTGAGGATAACATATCAAATCTTGATAATTATGAACACTTAATAAAAATTTATATTTTATTTATTTAAATATTTTAATTTTTTGCATGATTCTATTATTTTCAGAAAGGAAATTGTAAAATGAGTTATGACACGATTTTTAATGAGCAGTTAAAATTCATTGGAACTATAACAAAAAGGTAACCTAATGGTTAAAATGTGTATCATTTAGTTACTAGACGAGTAAATGATAAAAAGGAAAATCAGAATATTGAAAATTCATAGAATTACAACTAAAAGAACTTAAATAAAACAAAGATTTAATGATCACTAATATAACGGCATATGTAAAGACAACTGAAGCATGAACAATATAAACACCCATTCAAACCAAAATGATAATGGTACTTTTAAAGGGCATTTATAATGTGCTATTCAGGCTGCATTCACTGAATTACACTCAACAAAATTAATTTGCATTAAGTAGAATATGTTGAAAGAGCAAAACACTTGCCAGATTTGCCTCTATTAGTGCAAAACATTCTCTAATTTTAAAATGATAAATATGGACTGTCTTTTGTATCAAGACTATAAAGTTTCTAATATTAACCTGCTATAAGGTATTGTATGCTTTGCAGTGTTGAATGCCAAGTGATTGTTGTGCCATCATACAGAGATGTACATCATGATTATGTGTATCCTCAACCTCCATTTGATGTCAAGATACCAGATTTTAAGGTAATGTAAATCTCCAGAGAAATGCATTCATCAGAGATTAAAAAAAAAAAAGAAAAGATGAATATATTTAGTTTCTATGTAACAAATAGGCAATTTTGACCTTTATTGTAATCATGACTGACAGTTGTTAAAATCAGCCCAAGTTATAAAGTAATTTTCTGGCTTTGTAGTTTCAAATATAGCTGATAAGTTAACATGCTTGTGTCAGAATGAAATGTATGATCAAATTTCATCTTTAATAGTTTTGACCATCTGGATCTCAAAACCTATTGCATGGCACAAGTATGAGAAGACACAAATATTTGCCACAAATAAAGTAAACATATGACTAAAAATGTGTGATAATTTGCACATCTACACATTTCAGGAGAAGATTAATTTGGCATTTACCAGCAAAGCATTTTAAGAATCGTCCATGATTTTTGTCGAGCCTGCGACTTTTGTCGCAGAAAGCTCGACATAGGGATAGTGATCCGGCGGCTACGGCGGCGGCGTTAGCTAACTTCTTAAAAGCTTTGTATTTGAGAAGGTGGAAGACCTGGATGCTTCATACTTTGTATATGGATGCCTCATGTTACGAAGTTTCCGTCAGTCACATGTCCAATGTCCTTGACCTCATTTTCATGGTTCAGTGACTACTTGAAAAAAAAATTAACATTTTTTGTAATGTTAAATTCTCTCTTATTATAAGTAGTAAAATAACTATATTTGGTATGTGCGTACCTTGCAAGGTCCTCATGCCCGTCAGACAGTTTTCACTTGACCTCGACCTCATTTCATGGATCAGTGAACAAGGTTAAGTTTTGGTGGTCAAGTCCATATCTCAGATACCATAAGCAATATGTCTTGTATATTCGGTGTATGGAAGGACTGTAAGGTGTACATGTCCAACTGGCAGGTGTCATCTGACCTTGACCTCATTTTCATGGTTCAGTGGTTATAGTTAAGTTTTTGTGTTTTGGTCTGTTTTTCTTATACTGTATGCAATAGGTCTACTATATTTGGTGTATGGAATGATTGTAAGGTGTACATGTCTAGCTGGCAGGTGTCATTTGAACTTGACCTCATTTTCATGGTTCAGTGGTCAAAGTTAAGATTTTGAGTTTTGGTCTTTTTTTCTTATACTATATGCAATAGGTCAACTATATTTGGTGTATGGAAATATTTTATGATCTACATGTCAGTCGCGCAGGTTTTATTTGACCTTGACCTCATTTTCACAGTTCATTGCTCAGTGTTAAGTTTTTGTGTTTTGGTCTGTTTTTCTTAAACTATAAGCAATAGGTCAACTATATTTGTTGTATGGAAATATTTTATGATCTACATGTCAGTCGCGCAGGTTTTATTTGACCTTGACCTCATTTTCACAGTTCATTGCTCAGTGTTAAGTTTTTGTGTTTTGGTCTGTTTTTCTTAAACTATAAGCAATAGGTCAACTATATTTGTTGTATGGAAGAATTGTTAGCTGTACATGCCTGCTTGGCATGGTTCATCTGACCTTGACCTCATTTTCATGGTTCATTGGTCAATGTTTAGTTTTCTTGGTTAATGTTAAGTTTATGTGACAGTTGTAATAAAGCTTTATATTTAGGACTATCAACATAATATCAATGATTAGTAAAGAAGGCGAGACATTTCAGTGTGTGCACTCTTGTTACTACTAGTCCTGTCTGTTATGTAAGAGCCAGCAGATGTTGTACTCCCAAACCCTGCCTTGTCTAGACCTTAAGAAATTAGAGCAAGAAAATTTAACATATCCTAATTATTAACCTGTAAGGTATTATGTCTTTTTAGCACATGCACATGATGTCTGACCCCTGTACAGTATCTATCAACAATATTGTATTTGGTATAACATCAACAGATATATTGATGCATCTTGGAGCTGAGGAAATATCTTGGTAAAGTAAAAACAGCAGAACTTCTTTAAGGTGGTACCTAACACTACAGGGAGATAACTCTGTAAAAATCAGCTAAACGTTTTAATCACGTTGTAAATATTAAGCTTCTCAATGATCAAAATTAGTGTTTGTCAAACTGCTATATAACCAATGAAATTTTTCTGATAAAGTGGTTGGTTCAAATTTTTTGAAATTTTTATATTTTTGTCAAAGGGTCAAAGTAAACATTTTGTCAAAATTTTATGAAAATTAAACGAGCCAAATTAATATTAGTCAAGGTGTTGGGTACCACCTTAAATTGAAACTTGATATTCTTTTTAATTTCACAATTTTCCATGATAGAAATCTAATGAAAGGAGTGAAAACTCATAATTTAAAGTATACACCAATATCTATCTCATATTATGCAATTGTTCAAAATATTCTTTTCAAAATCTGTTATGGGTTTAAAATTAAAAAAAAATGTCCCTTCTAGGAATAAAAATTGTTAAATTTCATTGCTGGCCACTTGGGAGTTCAATTTTTAATGTTGAATTTTTGCATTATTTGTCCTAAAGTTTTGATAGTATTATCAGAATAATAAGAGGTATGGGTATAAATGGAAATTAAATTAAAAAAAGAAAACAAATAACCAATGTAAAATGAAATGTTATTTTTCAAATCTGTATAATCATGATAATAGGGTATTGTAAAATTGAATAGCAGTAAGTTTCAGCTATAATAAATATTCAAATAAGCTTTTTACTTGTTGAGCATGCCATAGTGTTTGAAGAGTGCCATGTTTTGGCATTATTATGAACCCATTAAAACAGTTGTGAGTGGTCTAGAGAAGTCTTTTACAAGACAAAACTTCAACAACAGCTATATTTTATCAATTTCCTGGTTCAACTTGCAGTTCAAACTTAATTGAATCATTTTTTAATATGGTTCTCTTCTTGAATATGAAATATTTGCTACTCGATACAAAAACAATTAATCAGATTGTCAAGTTATGAATTCCGAAAATGATATACAAGTCTGAACAAGACTTGACAGAACTGTGATCTATATTTTGTAACTGTTTTTAGGAATCCTCCAACATCTACAGATAGACTTGGAAGACTTGCCCAACATTTAATCACACAACATAGGTAAGATACAATGTAGTCAGTTGATATTATATACAATGAATAGAATGAATTCAACGATACTTGGAAGTTGTAGCCTTCCCCCTTTTATAATTGCTTACAAATGTGTATAGATGAAACTTATTATGCATATTCACATGATTAATATTTTATTGCAAAAACTTTGTGTATCCTACCGTAGTCTATAATCGGTCATATTGTCAATTCGTTCGCTTTTTAGCTCACCTGGCCCAAAGGGCCAAGTGAGCTTTTCTCATCACTTGGCGTCCGTCGTCGTCGTCCGTCGTCGTTAACTTTTACAAAAATCTTCTCCTCTGAAACTACTGGGCCAAATTTGACCAAACTTGGCCACAATCATCATTGGGGTATCTAGTTTAAAAAATGTGTCCGGTGACCCGGCCAACCATTCAAGATGGCCGCCATGGCTAAAAATAGAACATAGGGGTAAAATATAGATTTTGGCTTATATCTCTGAAACCAAAGCATTTAGAGCAAATCTGACACGGGGTAAAATTGTTCATCAGGTCAAGATCTATCTGCCCTGAAATTTTCAGATGAATCTGACAACCCGTTGTTGGGGTGCTGCCCCTGAATTGGTAATTTTAAGAAAATTTTGCCGTTTTTGGTAATTATCTTGAATATTATTATAGATAGAGATAAACTGTTAACAGCAATAATGTTCAGCAAAGTAAGATCTACAAATAAGTCAACTTGACCAAAATGGTCAGTTGACCCCTTAAGGAGTTATTGCCCTTTATAGTCAATTTTTAACCATTTTTCGTAAATTTTTGTAATCTTTTACAAAAATCTCCTCTGAAACTACTAAGACAAATTTAACAAAACTTGTCCACAATCATCATTAGGGTATCTAGTTTAAAAAATTTGTCCGATGACCCCGCCCGCGAACCAAGATGGCCGACATGGCTAAATATAGTACATAGGGTAAAATGCAGTTTTTGGCTTATATCTCTGAAACCAAAGCATTTAGAGCAAATCTGTCAAGGATAAAATTGTTCATTAGGTCAAGATCTATCTGCCCTGAAAGTTTCAGACCAATCAGGTAACATGTTGTTGGGTTGCTGCCCCTCAATTGGTAATTTTAAGAAAATTTTGCAGCTTTTGGTTATTATCTTGAATATGATTATAGATAATGATAAACTGTAAACAGCAATAATGTACAGCAAAGTAAGATCTACAAATAAGTCAACATGACCAAAATTGTCAATTGACCCCTTAAGGAGTTATTGCCCTTTATAGTCAATTTTTTACAATTTTCATAAGTTTTGTAAATTTTTGTAAAATTTTACAAAATATTTTCCACTGTAACTACTGGGCCAAGTTCATTATAGATAGAGATAATTTTAAGCAGCAAGAATGTTCAGTAAAGTAAGATCTACAAACACATCACCATCACCAAAACACAATTTTGTCATGAATCCATCTGTGTCCTTTGTTTAATATGCACATAGACCAAGGTGAGCGACACAGGCTCTTTAGAGCCTCTAGTTTTGGTTGTATTTATCTCGTGAATAAACTCCGCTCTGACGTTACTTTTCACATTTCACAGCGTACAAGTATCAGCTTCACTTGAAATCAACTCGTTTAAAAAAAATGAGATTCCTAAAGGTATGTATGATTAAAAATATATAATTATTTCATAAAAGTGCCATTTTCCTTAACCTCTTTTGTAAACAATTATCAACAGGTCTAAAATCGTATTTATAGTGAGAAACAAACCCAGTCCCGGCATCCACCTTTTTGTTTACATATTTTTCCAGGTCAGAACTCATATCCATTTCCTGTAAGGCCAACCAAATTGTTTTTTTACGTCTTTTCAATATAGCAAGCACTTTACATTATTTTATTAATTTTACTGGAAAATATGTCAAACTGAGATGAGAAAATCACAAATTACAACCAAAAAAAATGGTGGAATGTGCATATTAAAACAAACAATAAAATACTTGAAATAGGAAACAACAGCTTGTAAAACGTAAATACAAGGTAGATAATATTTCAAAAAACAAAAATAATTGCATTAAGAACAATTTCTTTAGTTTTATAAAGTAAATTTGACCTAGATACATATCAAATGTTTTACTGAATTTTTCTTCTTTCTGTTTTTTAAACACAAATGGGTCAGTATAATTAATAACTTTTTGTATTATATTTGTAGATCAATCAAGTTCATCAACCAGGAGGGAAAGCCAAATACAGGACCTATTCTCCAACTGCATTAACACGTGCATATTCAGCAATAATGGTTGATAAACTATCTATCCATAGAGATTCAAAGTCTTATGGTGTACCATTTCAAACTCTTAGGGATAGGGTAACTGGAAATGTAGATCCTGAGTGTTGTACTATGGGCAATGCACCTTTTTTTACATTAGATGAAGAAAGCCGGTTGGTGATACATTTGAAGGAAATGGCTCAACTTGGATATGGATATAACCGACAGGGAGTTGTGGATATAGCAACTGACTATGCAGTTATGCTTGACAAGAAAACTAAAAATGATAAACCTCTAACTCTTACCTGGTTCTATGGAATGCTTGGAAGATGGCCAGACCTCAAAGTTGTAAAACCAAGGGCATTGGAAGTTGCAAGAGCAAAAGCTGCCAACAAGGAGAACATTGCGAAATACTTTAATGAACTCGAGAAAGCCCTACTGAAATATGATCTAATGGACAAACCCCATTTGATTTACAATGTTGATGAGAAGGGTGTAACCATCAACCACAACCCATCAAAGGTAGTGTCAGGAGTTGAGACATCATCACAGGAGGTTACATCTGGAAAGGGTGACACTGTGACTATCTTGGGGTGTGGAAATGCAATTGGCAATGCATTACCCCCTTACTTTGTCTTCCCAGGACAGAGAATGAATGATCAGTTGCTAGAGGGGTCTACACCAGGAACATTTGGCACTGTCTCTAAGACGGGTTGGTCTAATTCAGAACTGTTCATGGATTTCCTCAGCAATCATTTCAAGAAATTTGTTCCAGGTAATGGGCATGTGATGTTATTGTTAGATGGACATAAATCTCATGTTGCTGTTAGCACAATTGAATGGGCAAGGCATCATAACATTGTTATACAGTTACTTCCAGCACACACCAGCCATCTTTTGCAACCGTTGGATGTAGGTTGTTATGGTCCTCTGCAAAATATATACAACAGCCTTTGTCATAGAACTATCAGAACAAAACAATGTGCACTAACTTGTTATGATGTTTGTAGCATGGCATGCAAAGCTTACGGAAATGCCTTATCAGCCAGTAATTTGCAGTCAGCTTTTAGAAAAACAGGAATTTTTCTGTTCACAAAAGACATTATCAATGACTTACCACTGACACCATCAGAGGCATTTATAAGTGACATTGAAAACCATCCTGAGAACACTGTACTAGAGACTGTAGAAGCTGTTAACAGTGCGGTAGTTGTGAGAGAGAATGAGAATGACAGTGTGGTGAGTGAAAGAGAGGAAGTTGAGAGTGATACGGATAATGTGGGTGTTCTGAGGGAAGGAGAGATTGGTTTGGAGGTAGCTAGGAGTGTTGTGAGTGATAGAGAGGAAGTTGAGAGTGACAAGGAGAATGAAAGTGTTGTGAGTGTGAGTGGTAGAATGATAGATGTAGTTGGAAGAGTTGAAGGCAGTAAGAGTGATTTTTTTGTAAAGAAGGTAGTGGCAATGAAAAGAGTAAAAGGGGAGAAAAAAAGAAGAGGAATGTGTTAAGCAGGGTTATTAGTGGAAAGACTGTGATGGAGGATGATGTGTTAGAGAGGGTAAAAGAGCATGTGAGTAAGAATCCTGGGAAGAAAACAAGTGATAGTAGTGTGAATAAAAGCTGTGCAAAAAGTAGTAAGAAAGGCCAGAATGGATCTGTGGGGTGTAAGAGGAAGAGAGAGCAAGAGAAGAAAAAAATTGTAAAATGTAGCAAGAGTGATTCACAGAAGCCAGGAACGAGTGGAGTGGGTAAATGTGTAAGTGAGTGGGCAATAATAATATATAATAAATACAATATTTATACAGCACATTATATAATAACAACAATTACTCTAAGCACTTCACATTTGAAAATAAATAAAATACAAAAATACATAAAACATAAATTACAAAGCACCAACTTACAAAAATCAAACAAGCATATAAAAATTAATAAAATACTAAAAATGAAAAATGCATGTACCCTAAAATATACAAAAAAACAGTCTAAAACTAATGCAGTCAATTAAAAGTATATAAAATCTACAAGAAATCCTTAAAAGCAGTTCGAAATAAGTGAGTCTTGAGTTGCTTTTTGAAAACAATAAAAAATAATAAATGATGTTCCCGGTTAAATCAATTCCCAATTCCTTAAAAACAGTTGCAAAGAACTATCATACAAATAAATAATATAATTGCCTTAGCCTAAAAAAATCACCTAATTGACAATAGAGCAATTTGATTGGGTATAACGATTCAATGCATCACGTGGTTTTGACGCCATTGGAATTTGAACGTAAACAAACCGGGTCAGCTGCTCCAGTATGGAACAACATTGTACATTCAGTGACTGAGAAACAATTATGAGTAACCAAGCTTGACAATACACAGTAATAAAAAAACCAAAGCAAAATCTACAGAAAAATAAAATAAAAAATGTCCTTAAGTGCACGACTTACCATCATTGCGGGATAAATTGTCCTCGCAGGAAAATGGGCTTCTCTAAAGAGGAGTATAATCCAAGAATTCAATAACTTTTTCAGAATTTGTGCCATTTATTACTTGGTTGGATCAATTTTCAATATGCCCAAAGTCAGAAAATGTCACTTTTAATCGGCTGATTAAGGGAAATACAATGAGTAAAAGACAGATATCTTAGATTTTTTTCCTCCCCTAGAACATTTTTTGTTGTTGGAAAAAACGGCTTGATCTTCATATAAATTTTATGCCCTCGCCATAGCGGAGGGGGCATTAAGTTTTACCCTTGTCCGTCTGTACGTCCCGAAATTGATTTCCGTTCTCTAACTTAAGTTTGCATCAGCCAAATGTTATGAAACTTATACACAATGCTTGTTACCACAAAACACAGATCAAATTTGAATTTTGATGGCGTCACTTTTACCATTCTAGAGTTATGCCCCTTTACAAATGGAAAAATTGCTGAATTTTTCGCTTCCATTCTCTAACTTTAGCATGCCTCAACTAAACATTATGAATCTTATAAACAATGATTATTACCACAATACACAGATCAAGTTTGAATTTGGTGGTGTCACTTTTACCGTTCTAGAGTTATGCCCCTTTACAAATGGAAAAATTGCTGAATTTTTCATTTCCTTTCTCTCACTTAAGTTTGCATCAACCAAATGTTATGAAACTTATACACAATGCTTATTACCACAAAACTCTGATCAAGTACGAATTTGGGTAACGTCACTTTTACCGTTCTTGAGTTATGTCCCTTTATAACGTTGTATGCAAGCAGGGGCATCATCTGTGTCCCATGGACACATTCCCCATTTATTTTAATATTTCTCACATTGATGAGCTGAAACATATGACATCTGAATTACAATGATACTATATTGTGAAGTTTATATATCAATAGTGTAACATTTATTTATTTTGTACCAAACCCTTTCAATTTGTCTCATTTCTTAAAATATGGTATTCCTCTGGTCATTAGCAACAGTGTAATGTTTAGGAAGATGAGACTGGTTTTATTTTTGGGGGGGGGGGGGAAATCAATGTTTATAGATCATAAAATACCTTCATATCATGTTTATAAAACCAAAGGGGTTTAGGTCAGTACCCATATTTATGATATTTCAACAATATTTGGTATGTCAATTGCTTGTGAAGAGTACATGTGTATTGAAAATTTGACATGGCTTTGACCTAATTTTCATACTCCAGTTGTCAGGTTAATTTTCCAGCATTGGGTCTGTTCCTCAGCAGCTATATATGGTATACATTTTAGTTGTGAGGAGTACATGTATGTCTGAGATTGTCATACCCCTGGACCTCTTCACAGATCCATTCTTTCAATACAGGTTATGATGACCTGCATTTTCACTTCCATAGGTTGACCTGACAAGTAAAGTTCCTTAAAACAGACCTTATCTTACCACCTCTTTACATGACAGGTCAACCTATGGAAGTGAAAATGCAGGGGATGACATGCATTATATGAATGTTTATGTGAATTCATTACAAACACATAAACATATACACCTGAAATGTTTCAATTGACAATTTCCTCAGTTGTCTACATGTGATTTATATTCCTTGAAATTAATTTAAGAATTGCCGCAGATTAGACATCATTTCTTTTCTTGACCTGTAATAAGAATCTTGATATGTTTATTATTTCAGCTATTACCCACTTTATCCTCCATCAGAAGAAGTTAACATTGATTATGAAGCATTAGATACTTTTGGAACACTTCCTGTTACTCCACATGTACTTATTCTACCATCTGATCTTAAACAGTTCATCAAGGTAATCTTAATTCATACCACTATATCCTCCCCATGAAGATAACATTGATTATGAAGCTTTCGATGCTTCCTTTTGTGAGAGGGAAATCTTCCACTTTGGACTGTCACTCCTATGAGTGGCATAAATGATTGTAATAATGCAGCATAAATTCCCATAGATCAATACAAGAAATCACATCTCATCTTCTCAGACATGCATGGCCAATCCAAACAAAACCAAGCATGAACAATGTATTGTGGTTTGTTAAAAGAATAGATAACTCATTCAGATTAAATGAAAATTTTACCTTAATTTACTCTAATTGGACAATTTTCAGATTTTTTTTCTAAAACTAAAATGCTAAAGGTGTTCACATTTACTGGAAGTGGGCAGATAATTTGAATACTTAAAGGTAAATCCTCATTTTGTAATGATTTAGCATGGCAGTATGCTACATAGATTTCCATTGAATCTAATGGGAGATTACTTTTTCATTTTTTGTAAAACTGCAACTGAAGGAATATCTGAGGGTCAAGCGTCAAACGGTCATTTCTGGCTAACATTAGTGTCAAATTGGTTAAAATTTTATTGTGATTCGTCAAGAAATCCTTATTGTGATTCTTTAGAGGTCTCAAATAATTATCTGTTACTGTTTTTGTCTCGCCTTGACGGAGTCAAAAAGCGAGACATAGGTATGCTGTTTCCGGCGTCGTCAACAATGTATTAGTTTGTAATTAGGTCTAGTTCATGGTGAACCACTAGTGGTAGGTCAATGATATTTGGTATGCAGTTTTATTAGCATTGGCACATCTCATTACCATGGAGATTATTTGGCCTTGCCCCCTCAGTCAAGGTCTATTGACTTTGAAACTTTTCATACTTTACATGTATTAGTTTGTAATTAGGTCAATTTATGGGGAACCACTACACGGCCACCAATCCAACTAAGTCATACACAATTAATATGAAAACAAGTGCGTTAATCCGACTTCCGAGTATGCAGTAGAAGTAATAAACAATCAAGAATTGCTATACATTGACAAGGTAAGTCACCTATTTATGTCATAAGCTTCATATTTAAAAAAAAAACGAGAATGTCATTCGACCCTTTATTTTGTTTTCCTTCATGTGTTATCACAACTTTGTTGTACATTGAGTAGTATTTTTACTACAGCTTTTCTCCCGGTGAATAACGATACAATCTGCACGAAATTCTTACCGTCATCTTATGTTATTTGTTAATAAGACACGTTATGCATAAGTACTGGTACATTTATTGATCTGTGTGATATATAAATTAATTCTAGAAAGCAAAATACTTTATAATTGTACTTATTATCAAATTATCGCAAGAAAATTAAGAATGTATGGTTAAGAAGGACCATATATGACTTAAAAGTAACGAGTATGATTAAGTGAGAGATATTTTAGTAACCAACATGATGATGTTCTTTTACACAATGTCAATGTTAATTATGAATAAATTCATCTTTAGGTACCGTCCTTCCTTTAGGGGATATATATCTAACAGTAATAATTAGCCAGTAAGCATGAAGGTTTAAATTCAACCCTTTTAAGGCGGATGCGCTCGACTCCTATCTTAGTTGACTGGGATTGCCAGTTTTATTAACCGAAGACCGGAGTGTCTACTGGAAGCCTTCAACAATAAAAGAAAACTAATAGTCGAAAACTGAGCTAGCAAAAAAATCCATTTAATGAAACACGCAGATCAAAACTATTTGCCTGGAAATGCAAATAATTATTGTACGCATCTATTTGCTATTTATCGTTATAAACAAGTTAGCAACCTGCATATCATATATAAATATTCTCGTCCTAAATTCATTAAATGAAGTAATCTAAGTTTAACAGCTTCTAACAATCTAACAATGTTTATAAAAATAAGAATACTCGCTCGGAAGAGTAAATAACCTCTCAACCAGAACCTTATATAAAGAAATGGATGTCTTTGATGAAACGTTAACAAAATGAGACAGCAAACAAACGATAAAAATAATCAAATAACCAACATTGGACATTGATTGAAATCGCCTTTTTCTTTGACGACCAATTCATCAATATTGTATCTGTAATAGTGCGAAAAGAAAATCAATCTGTATTTTTTGCAAAAACGTCAAATTAATCCCTTTAACTTTTCCCATTTGGAACCTGCAAAGACAAGAAAATAAATTGAGAGGAGAGCTTTTTCAGCAAGCATTACACATATAAAGATGTTTTTTTTATTAGAAAGCTGGATTATTGAGATGTGTAACTACATTATACTAAGAGCAATTTTATGATCTAAATTTTTCGTAGTGTGTTCTTACGTTACCATCAACTCATACTTGGTACGTTTTAATCATATATGATACCTTCAAACCATATCCTCCTAGGTTTATATCGATAAAATGATAATAAAGACATATATACACATCTCGCAACGTATAATTAATTTATATATCACACCGATCAATAAATGTACCAGTACTCATGCATAACGTGTCTTATTAACAAATAACATAAGATGTCGGTAAGAATTTCGTGCAGATTGTATCGTTATTCACCGGGAGAAAAGCTGTAGTAAAAATACTACTCAATGTACAACAATGTTGTGATAACACATGAAGGAAAACAAAATAAAGGGTCGAATGACATTCTCGGTTTTTTTTTAAATATAAAGCTTATGACATAAATAGGTGACTTACCTTGTGAATGTATAGCAATTCCTGATTGTTTATTACTTCTACTGCATACTCGGAAGTCGGATTAACGCACTTGTTTTCATATTATTTGTGTATGATTTAGTTGGATTGGTGGCCGTGCACTAGTGGTAGGTCAATGATATTTGGTATGCAGTTGTATAAGCATTAGCACATCTCATTTCCATGGAGAATATTTGGCCCCGCCCCCTCAGTCATGGTCTATTTACTTTGAAACTTTTGCTTAGTTTACATGTATTAGTTTGTGATTAGATCAGTTTAAGATGAACTGCTAATGTTAAGTCAATGATATTTGGTATGCAAATTTATTGGCATTTGCAAGTATCGTTTCCATGGAGATTATATAGCCCCACCCCTGATCATGGTTCATTGACTTTGAAACTTTTACATAGTTTACAAGTTAATGTTTGTGTTTAGGTTTGTTTAAAGGGAACGACTTATAATAAGTCTGGTATTTGGTATGCAGTTGTATTAGCATTGGCACATCTCATTCCATGGAGATTGTTTAGCCATGTACCTTCAGTCATGGTTCATTGACTTTGAATATTTGCATAACTTACATGTTAAAGTATTGCTATTTTAATTTCAACATTTGCATTATCAAAATTACAAAAAGGCGAGACATATCTCTGTGATAACAGTTTATTGGAAAGTAGTTAACGTGATTCGTCAAAATCAGTTGATTTTTTTATCGTCATGCAACAAAAATTACTGTTAATGTCATTTGGCAAGATTTTTTTACCGTTATTCTTCATGAAGGTACCCCAATTACGACCCTCATACCTACCGTATTCAGCACCAATAATAGTGTTTTTCGTTTTCTTTTCAGGAATTACATGATAGTTTCTGTATAAACCCTGGAAGAGTAGCTAAAGGACAGATAGGTGGTTCATACGCAAGGATGATGATAAATGTGAATGATGTGAAAACTCAGTCCTCAATAGTGCAACACACTGCTGCTCAAGTGTTACGTGTTTAATAAAACAAATTTTGTATGCTTAATATATTATTAAAACATTTGTATTTAGTTGAACCTCCTTAATATTTTATTTAAAGACATTACCGGGTATATAAAAGTTTTGCACAAAAAGATAATATCATTATTATTCAATTGTTATTATACCCCAACTCTATAATGCAATCACTTTGTCTGTTCATCTAACAAATATTTTCATCACACTTTTCTTAAAAGGTTATTCATATTTGGTCAGCAGCTTGACAATGATGAGCTGTAATGTGTGAGCACTTTTAGAATCTCTCAGATACCTACCTCCTGTTTGCCAATACTTTGAATTTTAAATATGTTGAATGAACCTCGAAATTGTCATTTATTTCTCCAATACTACTGAACAGGATGAAATTTGGTCAGCAGCTCAACAGTGAGCAGTTGAAAAGTGAGTGCACTTTTTGGATCTGTCAGACACTTCCTGATACTTTGAAATAGTTGACGGGGTAAAATTTGATAAATTTATCTTGCAAGTATACTTAATATAAAAATATGGAGATGTGGTATGATTGCCAATGAGACAACTATCCACCAAAGTTCAAATGAAGTGGATGTAAACAATTATAGGCAACCATACAGCCTTCAACAATGAGAAAAACCCATACTGTATATTCGGCTTTGACACCAAGAGATAACTGTAAAGGCTAGTGTATGGAATGATTGTGAGGTGTACATGTCTGTCAGGTAGGATTCATCTGAATTTGACCCCATTTTCATGGCTCATTGGTCAATGTTAAGTTTTCTTGAAAACATCTGTTTCTCTGATACTATACTGTCTATATAATTGGTGTATGGAATAATTGTAAGGTATACATGTCCATCTGACAGGGCTCATCTTACCTTGACCTTATTTTCATGGATCATTGATAATGGTAAATCTATATAATACTTGTAGTATTAATGAGTCGGTTGACAATTTCAGCCATGTTGACTTATTTTTAGATCTTATTGTTCTAAACATTTTTGTCCTAATTACGATTTTTATAAGTTTCTTTAAAAAATGCAATAAAATGCTTCGCTGAGCGCAGCCTGATATGACCGCAGAGGTCGAACCCTGAACAGTTGGGGAAAATTTGGACACAATATTCAAGCTTGATACTGTCGGAATTTGGATTGTAATCAAATTTTTGACATAATATAGGTTTCTGACACAAAATAAATGTGGTCAAAGATCTTATAAATCCATTGCGCAATACTGTGCAATTGAAGATTTCTTCTTGAAACTTTTCAACAATTCAAAATTTTAAAAATTTTGAAAAAAAATATGAATCCCTTAAAAAAATTGGGAAAAAATTCTCCCCCCCCCCCCCCTTTTGAAACCCCCCTTGGAGCAATAACCCAAAAACTCAATCCCAGCCTTTCCTTTGTAGTATGGAACCTTGTAGTACAATTTCAGAGAGATCCATACACTTACACACAAGTTATTGTCTGGAAACTAGAAAAATGCTTGTTTTTGGCCCCTAATTCCTACATGTTTGGGGCAATTAACCCCAAACTCAATCCCAGCCTTCCCTTTATTATATGGAACCTTGTGGTACAATGTCAGAGAGATCCATACACTTACACACAAGTTATTGTCTGGAATCTAGAAAAATGCTTGTTTTTGGCCCCTTTTTGGCCCTCAATTCCTAAACTGTTGGCCCCATAACCCTTAAAATGAATCCCAACCTTCTACTTGTGGTATTAAACATTGTGGTACAATTTCAGAGCAATCGAAGTTATTATCCTGAAATTAGAAAAATGCTTGTTTTGGGCCCCTTAATTCCTAAACGGTTGGGACCATCATCCCCAAAATCTATCCCAACCTACCTTTTGTGGTATTGAACCTTTAAAAATTTCATAAAGATTCATTTACTTAAACTAAAGTTATTGTCCGGAAACCAATGTGTCTTCAGACGACGACGCAGACGACGACATCATACCATTATACAATCCGAAAAAAAATTTTGCGGTCGTATAAAAATTGATAAACATCTTATGTCAAGGGCAACAACTCCAATAAGGGGTTGGTTGACTGATTTGTAGATCTTATTTGCTGATCAGTGTTTGTCTCACCAGAGACTAAGAGTCCCAGAAGGGAGACACAGGGATTACTATCCAGCTGCAACGGCTCCAACTGTTTTCAAAAAGCTTTATATTGCAGAAAGTAGAAGACCTGTATGCTTCATACCTTCGTCCATCATATATCCATTGTCCTTGACCTCATTTTCATGATGCATTAACTGCTTGAAATGTGAAATACTCTTATGAGTAATAGGATAACCATATTTGGTACATGGGATCATTGCAAGGTCTACCCATTTGTTGGACATGGTTCACATGACCCCAACCTCATTTTATAGATCAGTGATCAAGGTTAAAGTTTTTGTGGTCAAGTCCTTTCTCAAGGTGTACATGTCTGACTGGTAGGTTTCTTCTGACCTTTATCTTTTTTTCATGGTTCATTGGTCAATGTTCAGTTAATGTGGTCTGATCTATTTCTCTGATACTATAAGCAATAGATCAGCTGTATTTGGTGTGTATGGTATGATTGTAAGTGGTCATGTCTGTTTGGCAGGTTTCATTTGACCTTGACGTTTTTTCATTGTTTCATGGTTCATTGGACAATGTTAAGTTTTTATGGTTTGGGTCTAAATCTGAGGTTCTATTGCTAATTTGTAAATGTACCTGTCCATCTTGCAGGTTTCATCCGACCTTTACCTCATTTTTATGGTTCATTGGTCAATGTTCAGTTTTCATAATAAAAGTCTGTTTCTCAGTTGCAATAAGTTATAGGTGAATGTAAGTGTACACATCTCTCTGGCGGGAACCTTTTGACCTTGACCATGTACATGGATCATTGATAATGTTAAGTTCATGGGACACTTGTAATATAACCTTCATATGACAGACTTTCAACAGAAGTTAAATCATGATAAGATCAGATATAAGGCAGGGGAGTATTTCAGTGTGTGCACTCTTGTTTTTAGATTCTGTTTATCTGCTATAGTTTAAGCAAAAGCTAAAAATGGGCAAGAATTCATCCAAGTGCATTTAACAACTTCAATTATGTTTACTTATTTCAACATCTTATTTTTCTGAATTTTTTTGCCATTAACAGTTCCTCTTCATCTCTCATATTTTCTGCAACAAAAATGCAAAATTTCTTTTCAGGAAAATAACAACTATTAAGGGTCAATTAACAATTTCAGCCATGATTTAACTGTTGATCTTATTGCGTTGAACATTTTGTAATGTTTACAATGAGTAGAAATTGTCTTTCAAGGGCAATAACTCATGTATCATCGAGTCATACCACATATTATTATAATTGATGAATTATGCCATGATGACTTATCTGTAGATCTTATTGTGCTGAACATTTTTGTTGTATAATTTCTATCATTGTTTCTCCCCCATGTTCTATTTTTAGTAACAGCAGCCATGCTGGTTGATGGATCTTATCCTCAGATACAGGTCTACAAAGTTTCAAGTTAATGTGACTACAACTTCAATGAAACTACCTTAACCAAATATGGGACAGACAAATAGATGGATATTTGTACGAGAATATTTATTTTACACTAGAGGCTCTTTGAGCCTTTGTTTCTCACATTGGTCTATGTGCTTATTTAACAAAGGACACTCTCCAACATTGTAGACGAGAATAGAATTCATGTCAAAAATCTGTTTTGTTGAACTTGTATTACTGATCATTTAGTCGGTTTAGTTTCTCTCCATCTTCTTTAGTTTTTGCTGAAAACACAAAAGAGGGTAAAAAAATCCTCGTTAAAGGGCAATCACTCATATGAAGAGTGACAGTCTACTAACTATATTTTGATTTTTTTTGTGTGTGTTTTAACACCACTTTTTAGCACCACTTTTGGGCTATTTCGTGGCGACCAGTTTTTATTGGTGGAGGAAGCCGGAGTGGCCGGAGTAAACCACCGACCTTCGATAGGAAAACTGACAATCCTAGTCAATTAAGATTGGAGTCGAGTGCACCCGCACGAGCAGGGTTCGAACTCACAACCTCAGTGTTGACTGGCTAGTGATTACAGTAGTAACTACTTAGACCATTCGGCCACCGAGGCCCCTGACTCTACTAACTATATCAGCAAAATTTGACTTGTTAGTAGATCTTGCCTTGCTGATCATATTTGTAATTTAAAGTGTCTATTTATCTATTATAATTATTTATCATATAAGGCAAAACGCAAAAAAATACTTAAAAGTGGTCTTTAAAGGGCAATAACTCTAATAAGGAATCATCAGACCATTTCCTCCAAATTGTCTTAATTGTAGATCTTGTCTTGCTGATCATTTTTGCTTATTTAAGTTTCTATCTTTTATAATTTTAAAGATATAAGTGAAAAACGCATAAAAAATAAAAAATCGTCATCAAAGGGCAATAACTTAAATAAGGAGTCGACTGACGATTTCAACTATGAGACTTATTTGTAGAACATGTCTTGCTGATCATTTTTGCAATTGAAAGTTTCTCTCTATCATAGTTTTCAAGATACTGGGTAAAAATGAAAAAAATGGTAAAATTTGTCATTTAAAGGCAATAACTCCTATAAGAAGTTGTATGACAATTGGTAGAGCTCAACATTCTGAACATTTTTGCACTGTCAAGATTTTCTCTATTTATAACTGTTTTCAAAATAATAGAAAAAACTTGTATTTTACCCCCATGTTCTATTTTTAGCCATGTCAGCTATCTTGGTTGGCAGTCCAGGTCATCGGACACATTTTTAAACTAGATACCCTAATGATATTTGTGGCCAAGTTTGGTTAAATTTGGCCCAGTAGTTTCAGAGGAGAAGATTTTTATAAAAGTTAACGATGACGGATGCCAAGTGATGAGAAAAGCTCACTTGGCCCTGTGGGCCAGGTGAGCTTAAAATGTATTTGAAAGAATAAACAAAACAATATGTCTATACCACTCAACAGTCCTCAATTTTGTGTAAATGGCTTTCCATAAATTTTATATTTACTTATTAGGAATTTCGAATGCCACACCAGTCTGAAGTACATTTGGCTAGGGATCAATTTAAATAAAACACAATTCTCTTTTGGCCAATTGTTAATAAAGTTATTATTCTCCCTATATCATGTATACTGCTAACAGAAAAACATCTCTTTCACACATGTATGTATGATGTCTCTTTGGTGTATGCCCCCACATCTCTTTTTTTTTCAAATTTTTTTTGTTTCAATTAGTATGAATCGCACAACACCCTTTTGGTCTAGTTTGAAGTATTGGAGGTCAAGGGTTTCATTCCCTGGAAAAGTCAAACCAAGAACTTGAAAGTAGTTTTTGCTGTTTTGCCGCTGAGCATTTAGGAGTAAAACAGAATAATGTGTCAGGGTAGGGGAACAAGTCTTCCTGTGGACTGTTACTGGAAGTTCTACAGATATCCATCTGTATCATTAATGAGTTAGGTAGTTGTTAAGAAGATGGTCTGTAAAGCTTTAACAAATTGAAAAGCCTCGGGACCAAAGTAACAAAGATCTGAATTTGATTTGCAAGTTTATCCATCATTTCTTTATTCACATGCACATTTAATTAATCAAAGGTTTGTATATTTCAGCTCAGCAATAGTTTAAAATACTTAATAGTGATCATGTGATTGAAAACTTGATTCAGATTTCCCTTCTATATTGTTAACATTTAAAAATCCACAAATAACTAAATGTACCAATATGTTATTTTCACATCAACACACAATCTGAACTTCTGGAATATTCTTCTTCTTCTTCATCATCATAGTCATTATCCCAGTCATATTCATCATCAACATCATCATCAGAGTCCCGATAGCTGGCATCAGAATGTTCACTTTCTGCATAAGTAACACCAGAATCTTTTGGACTATAATAACAATGTGGACAGTTTGGATGACATGCAACGAGTTCAGAGGCTACTGTGGACACACAGACACCACTATTGTAAAGACTGGTTGTCACTGGAATGTCCTCTAGCTCAACCCAAATCTTCTGCTTACAAATATACTTGTACGATTTCTTAGACTTGTCACCTCCAAAAACATATAAGTTATCATTACAGAAGGTATACATTGCACTTTTTGACAACTCGATCGGTGGAGTTGTGATCTTAGGGTAGCAAAACCATGTATTGCTATTTGGGCTAAATTTCCTCATCATTCTCCGTTTAAGATCTAGCTGAATGATATCTGCTTTGTACATCAAGATCTTTGTAAATGAAATAGTTGAACTGCATGACTTTGCACGGGTAGGTTCAGTCAAGGCATGTGTATCTAAGTTGTAATATTTGATGGAGAAAGTCTTTTTGTGAAACCATTCACATACTATTCCAATCCTTTCAGAATCTAAGTTGCTACAATAGAAATTATCTTTTTCATTACAATCAAACAAAACCTTTGTTTCTATAGAACCCTCATCCTTGATTTCCAGCAGTTTACAGCTTTCTTCTGTAGTGCTAAACTGTTTAAATCCTCTTCCTAACAGAAATATTCTTTTACCACAAAGAATAAAATCATGAAGATAAAATCCTATTAAATGTCGGTCTTTCTCTATTTTAATTGTTTTCCATATTTTACTTGCTATTTCAAAGACATGCATATCATAACGGTTAAAGCAACTAAATTCTGATCTAACTGGACCTAGGTTTATTACGTGTATTTTTCTGTCATCACTGACTCTTATAGCTGGACGTTCTAAAGGTAATGGCATATTCCAAAGATTTGTCCACTTCTGCTCATCAAGATTAAAAGCATACATCTTTTTACTATTAGATCTAATGAGAGTTTCTCTAGGCTGGCCAAAATTGATTTTATCAATGAAAACCCCACCTCCCAATATAACTATGTCACTGGTTTGTATTTGAGGATTGACTCCATTTTTCCTATGCTCTAGTATAGCATTGATATCATTAGTTGGAAGAAGTCCATCTAATTCATTGTCTGTCAAAACATCATTTAAACTTTCATTTGATACATTTTCAAATTTTAAAGCTAAGAACAACTGAGCTGCATCTTTTCGTCTGTTATTTATATCAAACTTCAGCCAACGTAGTAAAAACTGGAGAAAGGAATCTTGTGAAACGTAGCTCAATGTTTCATCACTCACCAATGATAAAACAGATTCATGTGTTAAGGTTAGAATGTCTTCACCTTGAAAAACTTGTTTCAAATGACCTTTCATATATCTCAATGCTTCATCATGAATAGCTAAATCATACAGAGATGAAATTAGACAGATCTTGACACAAGATTTTGTGTCCAATGGTTGAGAGTTAAGGAATTCATTGCATAAATTTTTAAGGTCAAAACACTGCAAATAATCAGCAACTTCCAGAATATCTTCCAAATTAGACATTGACATCTCTATATTTCCAAGGTATAAATATTGCAAAACATTTTCTACTGCATATGTCTTTCCTATATGGATGGTGACTTTTCCTGTAAAACAAGTAAATACTCATATCTCTTTTGAAGACAGAATTAGGAGAAAACAAGATAAAATAATAATCAGGGGATTATAATGAGTCTCCAAAACAAAGATCATATAGGTCTTTTCCAAATATAGTTGGTAGCAAGGTACCTTGTTTACCATTCAGGGGTGTGGACATATATTGTCTTAATTGTAGATCTTGTCTTTCTGATCAATTTTGCTTATTTAAGTTTCTATCTATCTATTATAATTTTTAAGATACAAGACAAAAATGCCTAAAATTTGTAACAAGAGTGCACACGCTGAAATGTCTTGCCTTCTTTACTAATCATTGATATTATGTTGATAGTCCTAAATATATATCACATAAACTTAACATTAACCAAGTAAACTAAACATTGACCAATGAACCATGAAAATGAGGTCAAGGTCAGATGAACCATGCTAGGCAGGCATGTACAGCTAACAATTCTTCCATACAACAAATATAGTTGACCTATTGCTTATAGTTTAAGAAAAACAGACCAAAACACAAAAACTTAACACTGAGCAATGAACTGTGAAAATGAGGTCAAGGTCAAATAAAACCTGCATGACTGACATATAGATCATAAAATATTTCCATACACCAAATATAGTTGAACTATTGTATAAAGTATTAGAAAAAAAGACCAAAACTCAAAAACTTAACTTTGACCACTGAACCATGAAAATGAGGTCAAGGTCAGATGACACCTGCCAGCTAGACATGTACACCTTACAATCATTCCATACACCAAATATAGTAGACCTATTGCATACAGTATAAGAAAAACAGACCAAAACACAAAAACTTAACTATAACCACTGAACCATGAAAATGAGGTCAAGGTCAGATGACACCTGCCAGTTGGACATGTACACCTTACAGTCCTTCCATACAACGAATATACTCGACCTATTGCTTATAGTATCTAAAATATGTACTTGACCACCAAAACTTAACCTTGTTCACTGATCCATGAAATGAGGTCGAGGTCAAGTGAAAACTGTCTGACAGGCATGAGGACCTTGCAAGGTACGCACATACCAAATATAGTTATCCTATTACTTATAATAAGAGAGAATTTAACATTACAAAAAATCTTAACTTTTTTTTCAAGTGAAAATGAGGTCAAGGACATTGGACATACATGTGACTGATGGAAACTTCGTAACATGAGGCATCCATATACAAAGTATGAAGCATCCAGATCTTCCACCTTCTAAAATATAAAGCTTTTAAGAAGTAAGCTAACGCTGCCGCCGTATCACTATCCCTATGTCGAGCTTTCTGCAACAAAAGTCGCAGGCTCGACAAAAATTGTCATCAAAGGGCAATAACTCTAATATGGAGTCGACTTACGATTTCGACCATGCAGAAATATTTGTGGAACTTGTTTTAATGATCATTTTTGCAATTTAAAGTTTCTCTCTATCTATTATAGTTTTCAAGATAATAGGCAAAAATTTTAAAAAAAAAGTAAAAATTGTCATTTAAGGGAAATGACTCCTATTAGAAGTTGTCTGACAGTTTTGACATATATGAACAATTGGTAGAGCTCAACGTTCCGAACATTATTGCTCAATTCAGATTTTCTCTATTTATAACTGTTTTCATGATAATAGACAAAACTTGCATTTTACCCCATGTTCTATTTTTAGCCATGTCGGCAATCTTGGTTGGCAGGCGAGGTCATCGGACACATTTTTTTAAACTAGATACCCCAATGATGATTGTGGCCAAGTTTGGTTAAATTTGTCCAAACATGCTCAAGTTAGTGTACAACATGTGAAAAAAATAACTAATCTGACAATTAAAGTAAAAGTACTCTAAAACCAGAATGACAAATCAGAAAAATTTAAAAATCAACAGGGAGTTAGTTTCCTTTAATAAAGCCCATTACCAATAACAGCATAAAGTTTTGAGTTAATCAATCTTAGCATACTTAGTAAGGGTGTGATACTGTGAAAGTACTTTTATTCGTGGGGTACCAATTTTCATGGTTTTCGTGGATGGCTTTAAGTGTCCAACGAAATATAAGAACTGTTGTCCAAATCAGGACATGGAAAGATCCCCATTTCCATAGGTTTAACTACATCGAATATCAGCAAACGCACTATGAACTAAAGATGCAACTTTAGACAGGATTCTGTCCATTTAATCTTTAAAAAACCTAAACTGTACGACTTTTAATATTTTAATTCTCACGAAATAGTAACATTTTAATTCTCATGAAATAGTTTTGATTGATAAAAGTCAGACTTCCAGTGATGATATGCGATGATGAAGTGTTAATTTTATATCCTCATAATTCTCATACGAAAAATAATTTCATTAAGGGTTTGTTTGCTATTTGTTATTTCATAAGAATTGGTTCTACAATTCAAAGTACATTTGTCTCTTTTTCATGTTACTGTTTTCTTTAAGTGACATGTTAATGGCCCAATTAACACCTTTGGTGACCATTAATCTGTTGATCAAACAATCTCGGGTTAATAAGTGTCATCACTTCTGACTACAGGTGTGCAACAATTAAAATGTTTACTTTAAAGCAATTTATCTTATTAAAAAGTTTAATGAATGTTGTCAGTAATGAAAGACAAACAAGTAGGTGAAAATGAACACCTTATTTTGAAATGTCCCAGAAATTATTGTATAACAACATATGATTATTTTCACGAGTTTTCGTTTCAGATGGCTTCACATTCACCCAATTTTTTTTATCTTTAAAAAAACCTAAAATCCACGAATTTAAGAACCCACGAACATGCAACTTTTGCTCAAACCACGAAAATTGATACCCACGAATAAAATGACTTTCACAGTATGTGAAAAATTGCCTGACAGTTAAGTCTTGTTACTCTACAGTGACAAATTAATAAATTCTTATCTCTAAAATGTAGGAATGTTATGTATTGCTTTCACAACAAAATGTAACAGGCTCAACAAAATGACAGGTATGTAGCGATTAAGATTTATTACCATTTGACATAACGTTTTTTTTCTTTAATTTGCCAGCCAACTGATATGTTAAGACAAACAGATAGACTGACAGATAGGACAATACGCACTTATCAGCAAGGCCCTCACAACAATTAGAACAGAGAAATACGAACATACCTGATGTTTTCTCTGCTAAACCACTGTTGTACATTGACTCAAAATAAGGACAGGTCATTAACACACACCAGTGGGCTTTCAGTTCCTGAAAATGTATTTGTATCCAAATATAATACACAGTAGGCATTTCAATTAATCAAACATACTCATGTGTCCATATAAATAGGGGACATCAAATTTATCCGAATATTTTCCAAGGATAAAAGAATGAAATATTTAGAAAAATTTTAAGTAAAAAACAGCCATATTTGCTCAGTGTTGTTTGTGCATCTTTCTCTTTGGAGGAGTTATGATGTTGGCGGCTGGTATGGTTTGTTGTTATGGTTTTTTCTTCCTTTTGTGTAATATTAATCAACAGCTGTACCAGGAGCACAAGATTACCTCTGTCAAATGCAATTGAAATAGTTGCAAGAATATAAAAAAATATTGTAGAAGCATTATAAGTCAGATGTCAAGACAAAATAGCTCTGAGGAATAACTTGCAGGAGGATGTTCTTATGAATAGTTTCAAGGTATCAAAACGGGAACAACCTATTTTGTCTCTGCTAGAATAAAATCAGATGAAAAGCAATTGAACACCATCATTCAATATACTGTTTGCATTATTTTTTGTCCAAACCTTTCCTTCAATTATGATAGTAACATCACAGAGATCAGGTTGCTCCTCTCTTTGCTTGTTTAATGTCTTGGTTAAGTTGGTGGCATGCTTATACATGTACTGATTCCCCATCAATCTGCAATTCTTCGTAAAATCCATTGTTCTAAAAGAGAAGCAATTATATTTAAGTTGAGATAAGGCATATGTAGTTTCAATTAGATCCATTACATGGTTGGATGCTACCAATTATATTGAAAGGCAACAACATATCATCTTTTGTGGGGGTATGTTTTTTTTAAATAGATTGTTTGGTTCTAAATTTCTTGAAGAAAAAAAATCTAAATAAATGTGGATAGTGTCCACATGTGGACACAGATGATGCCCCTGCTTGCATATCATATAGTTATAAAGGGACATAACTGAAGAACGGTTGAAGTGATGCTACCCAAATTCAACTTGATCTGTGTTTTATCAGTGGAAGTCAAAATTAAACATTGCATTGCATAAAGCATTGATTGTAGTTGATTCAACTATAATCATGGACAAAGGAAGATAACATATCTGACTGACAAAATGGCCACCTAACCGGTAATATAGGAAAATGCAATACCAGATCTTATTCCGGAACTGGATAAGGCTATATTGGGGGTTGCCAATCAAATAAAAAAAATTTCAAGTTTTACTGACCAACCAACCCTATATTTTTTCAGAAAACTACAGTAAACACATCTTTTTTTTATTTTTTGTTTTTTTGCCTTATCCTGTTCTTGATTCAGATCCAGTATTGCATTTATCTTTATTTACTGTTAGTTGCCATTTGTCTATATTGTTTTTGGTCCGTATGATATGTTTTTACCTTATTTAAAACAACTTGTTGATAATTTTCCCCATTATAGACATTGAACAAAAATATATTTTGTTCAACTTTCAGTGAAAAAATATAAGGGTCAGTCAGGGGCACATTGATTGCCTGAAAAACTTCTGAAAACTTGGTAAAAACCCTAAAACTAATTGATGTTATTAGAAAACTTTATATTTGGAGAATTTATATGGTGTTATACTACTTGCATTGTATAACAATATGGCTGACATTATTTATTGAATTATCGTTTTTCCTGAGGTTAAATTGAACTTCAATTGAGTAAAAGTAACATATCTCAAAATTTGGGTCGTTATTGTAAATATTATGTATCAAACCATTTAACATGTTTAAATTAGAGTTTTCTGGTTACATCTTTTAGTTTTACGGTTTCTAACCAGTTTTCAGGCCATCAGACATGTCAGCCAGTACCTGTCAGTGAATTATAATTAACTCATACCATTGCAAACTCATACCAATGTCCACTTGTACAACTAAAAGCAAACTAGAACCGCTGCAAACTTGTACCATTAATTTATTCAAATGTCCCATGTGGTGTCAAATGTTAAACATATATTTGAATTTAACTGAATAACTCACAATTTTTTATAAGTAAAATTGTTTGAAAGTCATAAATTCTGAGGACACAGTTATTGTCCTTTGTTTTTCATTGTCTACTTTTATAGAGTATATAACTTGCAAATTTATTTCATACACCTTCCAAATTTATTTCTTAATATTTTATCCATAAAATAATTAGGGGGATGCCAAAACAAATTTGGGGCATGAAAAGCTGTCAAACTGAATTATAGATTATGTAAAATTGTCCATATTTTGAGTTAGAGCTAATAGACTTTTCTATAATTTTTATATAATTTGTCCCAAAAGTAGTACACTACACTACACTGTAAAAATCCTATTGGGATAGAGCAGGTCACTGAAGTGTGATTTTTTAAATTCGCATTAATTGTCTAAAAGAAATGCACTTTAAATCAAAGCCTTAAAGGCTGTTAAAGCAATTGCTGCCTAGTTAATGTGTTTGTAACTTTTATTTTATTCCACATGTAAAAGAATTAAAGAACCTTAGTGAGCGCGCTCACATACCCCACGTCCTCACATGTCATTGGAGAAATAAAATATGTGTAAGAAACAAAAATTGTATAAGAAAAAAAAATTGAATCATAATTTCCTGTCAATATGCACATCTACATAGTATGTCCTTATTATCTACAAAGTTTCATGAAATTATGTTGTGTGGTTTCAGAGGAGTTGCGATGACAAACTGTTGCAGAAGTACATTGAAGCAAATAAGTTCAAAGGGGCGTAACTCCTAGAAAAAAAATTGAACCGTAATTTCCTGTCGATATGCACATCTACATAGTATGTCCTTATTATCTAAAAAGGTTTCATGAAATTCTGTTGTGTGGTATCAGAGGAGTTGCGATGACAAACTGTTGCATAGTACATTGAAGCAAATAAGTTCAAAGGGGCGTAACTCCTAGAAAAAAGAACCGTAATTTCCTGTCGATATGCACATCTACATAGTATGTCCTTATTATCTAAAAAAGTTTCATGAAATTCTGTTCTGTGGTATCAGAGGAGTTGCGATGACAAACTGTTGCATAGTACATTGAAGCAAATAAGTTCAAAGGGGCGTAACTCCTAGAAAAAAAATTGAACCACAATTTCCTGTCGATATGCACATCTACATAGTATGTCCTTATTATCTAAAAAGGTTTCATGAAATTCTGTTGTGTGGTATCAGAGGAGTTGCGATGACAAACTGTTGCAGTAGTACATTAAAGTAAATAAGTTCAAAAGGGCGCAACTCCTAGAAAAAAAATTGAATCGCAATTTCCTGTCGATATGCACAACTACATAGTATGTCCTTATTATCTAAAAAGGTTTCGTAAAATTCTGTTGTGTGGTTTGAGAGGAGTTGCGATGACAAGAAACAGGACTGACGGACTGACGGAAGGACAGATGGACGGACGGACGGGTCAAAAACATTATACCCTCCGCAACTCGTTGCGTGGGGTATAATTAAACCTGAGAGGAGTCTTATCTAGTGAGAAGTAATGATGTTTTAACTTTATAATAATAAAAGACTTATTAGCATAAAGTCATTTTTACAATGTTTAACATTTCCCAGGATGACGACCTGTTTACCTGGCTTCTGGGGGAGGCAAATATATTTGTGGAAATGTATAACTCCCGAAAAAAAGTCAGATTATCCCCTTGCAGAGTGTTTATTACTGAACAATTATTAACAGGACAATCCATGCACCTGGCTTCATTATCTCTATTGCTTCTATTTTAATTTTTAAGTATATCATAATTGGTTTAAATTTAACCATTGAGTTGATGATTTCAACTTTCCTGGCACGAGTGTTCTACCGAACTATAGGTTTTTACAATAAGAATCATGCATTCATACATACTGATTAAAGATTTGAAGATGGGACGGGCTTCTGAAATTTATCTATGAACTTGCTAACGCTTTCTCTTTCATTACTAATCATGCTAATGACATTATCGTGTAAAAAAAAGATAAAAAAATAATGCAACAGATTTTAAAATAAAGAAATTAATTTACAGTAAAAAGTTTCATGAAGTCATTGTCAATATGCTTGACGATTTTCTGCATAGGATTGTAAATCAAATATCTTTAAAATACTGATGCAGTACAAAAGAAGTCATTCAAACTCCTGTTTGTTTCTTTTCTTTTTTTAATTCTTCTTTCAAAACGTCTTTTTCCCTGTTGGGCATTGTAATAGAAATAAGAACTAGAGGCTCTCAAGAGCCTGTGTCGCTCACCTGTATTTACTGATGCTTTGGAAATCATGTAATATAAGGTTAAAATCATAATTAATAGTATTAGATATTACATATTATAATGATATCTAAGATAATAACAAAAAACTAAAATTTCTGTAAAATTACTAACTCAGGGGCAGCAACCTAACAACAGGTTGTCGGATTCGTCTGAAAATTTCAGGGCAGATAAATCTAAATCTGATGAACATTTTTGCCACTTGTCAGATTTGCTCTAAATGCTTTAGTTTCAGAGCTATAAACCAAAAACTGCATTTTACCCCTATGTTCTATTTTTAAACAAGTCGGCCATGATGGTTGGAAGGCGGGGTCATCGGACAATTTTTTTAAACTAGATACCCTAATAATGATTATGGCCAAGTATGGTTAAATTTGTCTCAGTAGTTTCAGAGAAGAAGATTTTTGTAAAAGATTACAAAAATTTACAAAAATTTGTTAAAAATTGACTATAAAGGGCAATAACTCCTAAAGAGGTCGACTGACAATTTTGGTCATGACAACTTATTTGTAGATCTTACTTTGCTGAACATTATTGCTGTTTACAGTTTATCTCTATCTATAATAATATTCAAGATAATAACCAAAAACTGCAAAATTTCCTTAAAATTACCAATTCAGAGGCAGCAACCCAACAACAGGTTGTCAGATTTGTCTGAAATTTTAGGGCAGATAGATCTTGACCTGATTAACAATTTTACCCCACGTCAGATTGCTGTAAATGCTTTGGTTTTAGAGTTATAAGCCAAAATCTACATTTTTACCCTATGTTCTATTTTTAGCCATGGTGGCCATCTTGGTTGGCGGGATGGCAGGACACATTTTTTTAATCTAGATACCCTAATAATGATTGTGGCCAAGTTTGGTCAAATTTGGCCCAGTAGTTTCAGAGGAGAAGATTTTTGTAAAAGTTTACGGACGACGGACGCCAAGTGATGAGAAAAGCTCACTTGGCCCTTTGGGCCAGATGAGCTTAAAACGTATTATGGAAGTACTGTATCTTTGAATTTTGTAAATCAGCCTGGCTTTTCTTCTGAGGCTGTGTGAGAAACCTTCTTCCAGATGAAAATTCATCTGCCATGATATATATTGTTCGTGTACAAATTCACAAAATCAGGCAGGGCGTATTAAAAGGATTAAAAGAGTACATGGTGTCAGTACCTCAATATTAGTAGGCTAGCACAAAGCAGTCAAAATTATGCATACACCCTTTGGTTTTTTATTTATTTTCTTTTCTTTTATGTACTTATCTTTTTTGTACATACAAAACCTTCTACTAATTATTTTTGCAAAATTCACATACACATATTTTGGCCTATTTCGGTTTATACAAAATATTTGGCAACTAAATTCACATACACAATTTGGCATATCAAATTTATCCGCTCTTTACTTGGCTGCTGGGGTACCAGGACAACCTTGCTGTGGTTCACTGCCTTTGCTTAGCCTAGCTTTCCTCCTGTTCCTACTTTTGGTGGCTCCATTTTTCTATCTATTTACTTTTTATTTTCTTTGGTTTCTATAAAAGATTTCATTTTTATATTCTATTAAAGCTCTATTTTATTTTTATTCACCAATTTATTTTTTTATTACTTATTCTATCAATCAAATTTTTGCTCATTATTACCTTTTATTCATATTAGGTTTTTTATATTTGTCACTCAAAATTATATCAATTATCTTAAGGTAAAAATAAATTATTTAAATGACGAAAAAGGTGCAAGCCAGGGCTGACCGTGCGAGGGCTTTATAGCCAGTCAAGGTCGTTAAAAACCCCCATAAGTAAGTAAATGGTGTCAGTCGGGAAAGCGTGGGCGGACCGATCTAAGAAAACGATCAAACTGGTACACGGTCACTGCTAGAGAGATCTATTTTCAAACCATCAAATGAAAAGACGATGGTCATAGATTTTGTAGGGTCATTATGACATTGTCTCGTGATCTTGATTTTTACATTACTATAACGTCCATAGTGATTTTACAATAATTTTATGAATGAATGAAGATTTTAAGAATGAACAAGAGCAACTTGTCCTCTTTCAAAAAAAATTAAATAATATTAGACCGTATAGGTACAATTCAGTCAAATTTTCAATATTAAATCAACAACTGACATGTTCAATATTTTGATGAAACATCTCCAGAAGGAAATCGCAGGTATAAAAAATGCACTTTCTCACACTGCCTTCTATGTTCTTTGATAAGTCAAACGGTTGTCCTCTTAAATACAAAAATACATCTACATGAACATATGTTGAAACTTCACAAACCCACAGTTGTTTTTCAACTGTTTCAATTAATGTATTCCATTAGAAAACATACAGAGGATTTTTTGAATGACAGACGAGGAATCAGTTTTATCTGCTCAAAAACTTTGGCTTGATCGATCTTGATCACATAATCATTCTGGGTCACAAACATGACAAAGATGGCTATATGCGATAGCATGAAAGCAATTGCTTTAAAAACCTGTGTTCTCAGACCATGAGACCAACTTGTAGCTGATTGTTCTATATTTTGACAACAAAAGCAAAGAGCAAGTTTGTTCGGATATTTTGCTGTGTTGTGGTTAGTTGTATCTTGACTAGAAGGCATGATAACGAAACAAAGATTAACATTTACTTAGATGTTTTATTGTCCACAATTGCATAAATATATATAAAATCCACAAAACATCAAATATTTACTATCAATATTTCCGACCAAAACACAGCATATTTACTCTTCACCTCCACAATTTCATCAACATATAACATACACAAAATAAATAGTTAAATGCTCTCAACCATCACATAGCACTTCTTTTTGTGTTGGGTGGTTTATTAGTTAATTATAAAATTAAAACACTTTTTTAATGGCATAATTTTTGCATTGGTACAACTTTACCATGGTACGAGTTAACATTGGTACTAGTTGACATGCAACGAGTTTGCAAGGTACAATGGTCAGTCAGGGTACTATAAACACAAATATTTTTTTGGCCCATCTTTTATCAGTTTAATTTTTAAACATATATATATATCTAGGTGCTGCCAGGTCTTTAAACCTTTCCGGTCGCACAATTTTTTTCAAATAGTGACTGCATGGACATGATGGATGATGAACCTTAAAAATGTTGTTAAACACAATAACTCCCTTGGCTTGGGGATTTGCAAAAGTTGGCAGGTACAATGTATTATATTGGACCCAATCTTGTACTTTATTAAGACTTATAAACAATTTCCTAAATTGTAAAATGAATATATGCAGTGGGGGATCCGGTTCTGGGGGGTTATAATCCCCCCTTTTTTTTTTACGATGAATGCATTTGATTATGGGGACATATATTTGGATTTGGCCTTTTCTCCTGGGTGGGAACCCCCTTTTAAAAATGGCTGGTATTAAAAATGAAATTATTTCAAGAACTTTTCTTATTTAATTAACAATTATAAACAAATTGTTTGTGACTTTCTGTCCGTAGACTTTTTGTCCTATCACAGATTTGTGACATTCTGTTCGTAGACTTTTTGTCCTGTGACTTTCTGTCCGCTTACCAAAAAAACAATGATATTGATAAAATATTGACCGACCAATATGATGTTATCGTGATATGGTGAGTATATGTTGATTATTCAACCAAAACCCTTCATACTACAGCAGTCGCATAGCTCGTAAATCGTGTGTTCAAATGTATACACAGCAGATGGACATGTGTTACTTTCCCGCCAAATTTGAACTTCCTGTTTTACAGGATTACACTAAAGACCTCTCAACGATGAAATACCGCTGTCGCATATGGCTGATTTAGTAAAGCATAGATGTATAAATGAGACACTTTTGAAGCTATATTTGCATCAAAATTAAAAAGTAACAGCCAGGTAGATATCATCCTACTAGATTTTGCAAAAGCGTTTGATAAAGTGCCACACCATCTGTATCTGTATCTGTATCGAGATAAATTCTGCCAATGTAGGCACACCTCCAATGGAGTTGAATATATATATAGTACCGCCACCGTTATGTACAATTAATATATGATTTGACAATAAAAAGATAAAATTTATCTTTAATTTTAATCTGTATGTGTAACAAAAAATTTGTTCCGGCGTGACATTTGTTCCGCCGGAACAACTTTCATGGGAAATATGTTCCACCGGAATTTATATCACAGAAAATAAGTTCCAGCACTGTAAAATTTGTTCCGGAACTAATTTTTTGACAAAATGTGAAATAAGTTCCAGAACAAAAATCACAGCTCCATGAATTTTGTTCCAATGTTAAAAGTTTTAAAAAAGTGAAAAAAGTTCCTGTGATATTAGTTTTTAACGAACATATTTCATAGAAATCAATGAATATAAGTTCCTCTCAAACCTATTTCACAGAAAATAAGTACCTTTGCAACATATTGCAGTGAAATATTTTCTTGTTACACTTAAATTATAATGCAAGCTGGATGCTGTACTGTGCTGGCATGGGGTACATTTGCAATTGAAGGCATGACTGTAACTATATGATGTCGATAAGAATCAAAAGCGATGGTAATGTATCATAATTTGTATTTATGTTTTATATGGTATTCCTCCTTGTTTCCTGTTAACTGTCATACATGTACTTACGTCATGGCACAGTTTCAAAAGAGTATGTCTTTTGTCTCTTTATGTGTTTTAAAATAATTGATCAGTCACTTTGGCCTTTTCAAATTAGTACACATGTTCATCTTTAACTATACTTTTTTCGGAATGATTTTTCTTATTCTACTCTTTTCTGGCTCATAAGTGTCATTTTGGTATTTTTATGTAGTATGTTATTAAACATACTACATACTCCACAGGATCCAAATTTGATGTTTACACTTTTATTTTATTACATTATCAATATAATACATGTTTTTATAATGTACTTGAATGATAAATTGAAACTCACTGATGACAAATGCTCAGTATATAAGATAACTTGTTTAACCAGTGGAACATATTTCACAGACAAGGAACTTATTTTACCAGGTGGGGAACAAATCTCACAAACCCAGAACTTATTTCACCAGGTAAGGAACAAATCTCACAAACCTGGAACTTATTTCACTAGGTAAGGAACAAATTTCACAAACCCAGAACTTATTTCACCAGGTAAAGTGTGGAACTTATTTTATAGAGATGGAACAAATTATATAGAAATTATCTGTGAAAAAAGTTCTCCCAGAACATATTTCCTGTGATATTAGTTCCACTGGAACTTTTTTCACAGGAACAAATTTTGGCTAACATATGCACCCATATAATAACCAAAATTTATTATTGGTTGATAACCGTCTATTTGATTCGATTACAACTGATGATACCTGTGGAGATTCCCACCCTGATCATCAGCATAATGTCATAGTTTACTTTATATTTACTCCTCACGAAAGATTGTTTTTCTTTTCACATTTTTGTTGTTTGGTTAGCAGTTCATACCGCTTCATATATGCAGATTGTTAATAAGCTGTCTACACACACTCTCTAGTTGTCCAGTAATATTTTGAACAATTTCATTGTTACGTTTATCCACAGTATAGAAGAAAGGATTAACTATTAGCTGAACTAAGTCTACTTCCTCTACAAAGCAAGATTTTGCTAAAAGTTCACTACCCATATCAATTATTATCTCCATCAATCTTTTCCTGTCGGTTTCAAGTGACTCCCATCATCAGTGTTAGTAGAAAATGTGACAAGATTTCAGGACTCTTATTACAAAGTTTACATGTTGGACTGACTTTGTTTTTATTGAATGATGCTCAATTCGATTGAAATATATATGTTCCTGTAGCAATTTTGGTTCTTGTAGGAATCCTTACAATGACTCTATTGTTGGCTGTTTTTGTAGTGATCAATGGGTGTATTTTCCCAATAGTATATTGACAATTTATATACCGAAGAGTTGGGTACATCTTTGAGTCATCAAGAATTGTATTGGTCCAGTAGCTTTGCACTTTATTGTTTATAAAGGATTTCCATTTTGTTTTTGTTAGTGGATTGTCCAGAAAGTTTTCTATATTTTCTATATTATATAACAAACAGAGTTTTTTAATATCAATGAACCAACTGTTACTATTGAAAGATTTTAATTTAAGCTGCCTTTCCGCTGTTCTCCACACATTTGAAGTTTTTTTCTGATCTCGTGATGGTCCCAAATAATGTCAAAATTTTGATATGTAACTCAGCTTCAATAGGTATCATGCCAGAGAGTATATAAATGTCTGGGTCTGCTGTATTTGTAGATAATGATAGTAGCTGTTTTAATAATTTCTTGTGGTATAGATTAAGAGTTGTTAGAGATTTTCCTTTTAGGATCAAAATTTCTAGTCCATAAGTAAGAATAGGTAGTACAAAAGTTTTAACTAGTGAGAGAATTGTTTCTGGGTCCAAACCGTTGGTTCCATGTAGACCTGATCCCATTAAACTATATAAAGTGTGTCTTGCTTTTTTGATGTTTTCTTCAACTGTTGACTGGACTGAGTTTATTCTGATTTATGTATTCCAATGTGTGTTGCTGTTTTAACTACTGGCATTGGCTTATCATCCATATTCCAAAATCCTTCTCCAGTTTCTATTGTTTTTGAGGTTGTTCTTACTGGCAGTATTACACTTTTAGTTGGTTGTAATAAGTATCCTTTTCTTCGACTGAAGTCAACTGCGATATCAACCATGGACTGTATCTCCAGTGGATTTGTTGCTATAATAGCGACATCATCAGCGCAGGTAGGTGCACAACAGTTTATGTTACCAATTTTTCCGCCGAGGACTGTTTCACACACGAGGTTCAATAAAGGGTTGACATATACTTTATACAAGTCAGCAGATATAGTGCCACCTTGACGTACTCCTTGTTCTACTAAGAATTAAAGGTTCCGAAAGGTGACCATTCCATTTAATACATGTAGCAGCATTTTGGTAAAGATTTTGTATCATGAGTAGAGATTGATCAGATATTCCAATTTGGAAGAGTCTTCTAATGAGGTTTGCATGTACTACTACATCAAAGGCTGATTTCCCATCAAGCATAGCTATGCAAGTTGGTCTTTTTAGGTCTTTATTTTCTCTCTCAAACTCCTCTATGATGAGTTCACACATAAGTGGGGTGGTATCCTCTGTGAATCCACTTTGTAACGGGTTTTTAGATTCAATAATTTTTATATTTTCTCTTAGTTTCAAGATCTTTTCTATTATTTTCGATAAGGTTGGAGTGACAGTAATTCCACGGTAGTTAATAGCATCTTTAATATTGCCTTTGTTTTTAAATATTGGAAATAATGTGCCAATTTTGAGTAGGTCTGGAACATAACAGTATTTAAATGACATATTTATTAGTTCACGTATATAAGCTTTCAGATCTTCACCACCATATATAATATTTTCTGCTGCGATTCCATAAATGTCTGCTGCTTTGTTTTTGTTCAAACTTGATATTGCTTTCAACGTCTTCATCAGTCACTTGCATATGAATATATATATTTTGACAAATATCAGATATAACTTTAACTTCTTTTTCAACATTTTCCAAATGTTTATGATCGAACTTTGTATTGACAGACTTTTTAGCTAGTTCTCCAAAATGTATATGCCAGCCGTTAATAATTTGGTTGTCACTGTTATAAATATGATTATCAACATTGAGCTCCTCTATACGTTTTGACATTTTTCCTCTTTGATTTCTAATCATTCTAAAAAAACGTTTTCTAAATTGGTATCTGTGACTTTAGATTCAATTAGTTTTTGCCTCTCATTTATTCTTCTAATTGCTATTTCTAAGCGACATTGCTTCCTCAGTTCGTAAGTTGTTAGCTTCTTTTGTTTCAGGTAGTAGTTGTGCGGATCATTAATGCTTCCGTTACTTTTCCAGTTATAGAACGCAATTTTCTTGTTACTGATAGCTTTACGGATTTCCTCATTCATCACTTGTAATTTTGGCTTTTTTCCCCCTTTTTTTTGATTTAGAAGCAATAACTTTTGTAGCTTTAATTATGATGTTATTTAAAGTGTTGAAGCCGCTCTCAAGGTCTTCACGATTTTGTATTTTACATTTTGTTGAGCTAATTTCTGTAGAGATGAGGCTTGCATATTTTCCTGTATCAATTTTGTCCCATTTTATTCTTTTGTTAAATGTTTTTGCTGATGTTTGAGAGTTTTTAATAATATTGAGCTTTTTCTGATGATGTAATAACAGACAATAACAGGGGATAGTGGTCCGAAACATTTGAAGTTACATTTAGTTTCTGTATATCTGTTATGTTCTCTGAATATTTGTTTTGATAAAAGAATAAAGCCAATGGCAGTGGCATCTTTTCCATTTGAATGTATAAAGGTAAGTCCAGTTTCTTTTGAAGATAGCTCATTGTCTTGCATAAAGTCATTGATATATTTCTTTCTTTGAGATGAAGCACCATTAATTATGTCTTCATTAAAATCTCCTATAATTATCTGATAAGTATTGGAGTATGTACATACAATCTCATTCAGTTGGTCTATACATTCTAGTAGCTCTTGTGTACTATTAGTGGGTACTTTGCATGGTAGATATAAGGAAACAATGATGATGTTAGAATCCCCTTCTATTTCAATGCATTATATTCTATTATTTCCTGCTTTCAAAGTCGAAATTAAGGGGTCTAGTTCTTTTCGCCACAATATTGCCACCCCACCGTATCCTCTCGGCATTTGTATTGGAGGCAGAGGGTCATCAGT